CCTTTCTCATATTTTCGTTCTTCCTGCGCTGGTTTTAGTACATGTGGTGTTAGTGCGAATTCCCCCCCCCCCCCCCCGGCGCCGGCCCCCCCCCCCCCCCCCCCCCCCCCCCCCCCCGCAACTCTTGATCCTTCGCTCCAGACGGCTCGGATTCATTGTAAAAATAGACCTAGAGTCTAGATTCTAACGGTATGCCTTCATGAAAACTGATAACGCCAAGAAACCTGTTCAGTAGCGTTGCATGCGCACCAGGTCTTAAAGCTTAAACCTCTCCGGTTTCAACCTGCAAGTACACGGATCAAGGCCGATATGTCAAATCTTAGGTCTCGTACCTTCTTGACTAGATGATGTTCATACCACATTCCTCTCTTGACATTTAGAGGTTCCAATCGGGCCTAGCCTTCCAGAAATTTGGTCGTCCCATACTATCATTAGACCAGTTCGTCCGTTGCTTGTGAACCTTGGCGTTGGGTCGGTCCACTCGACCCCCACGCAGATTCTTTCCCGTATCTAGGTATGAAGCTAATCGACGATCGTTCGAACACGGGCCACACATAGCTAGGCTCATAGTGTGCATCTTGACATCCATACTAAAGTCGGCACTTGCTAGTAGTTGAACTAAAGTCTACTAGTAACATTGAAATGGTTTGCACAAAGTAGGTATCGAAACTCCCTTGATATGTGTTTTAGCAGCATTCTAGAAGGGATTGAAAGCATCCAATGTTGAAAAGATCAGACCATTCTCACACTCTCCCCTGATTCAGATATTTGTAAATTGTAACACGCCACACAAAATCACATGCTTGGAATAAACCATATTCTCTGTCTCAATACCTAAGTCAGTCAGAGCAAGAAAGGCAACTCGTACTGACTATCGCCATGCATCTATCAACCCTAACCCACCGTGGAACGAGGGTGTGTGCGTATCAAGGACACGATGGACAGGTGGAATGGTTGCTCAAAACCTGAACGGTCTCACTCGAGATAAGTCTCGAGACTTGCCCTGCTTTACTGTCGCAAAACTTTCAGAATCCGTATAATGTTTCACCGTCGAGGTCCGGTCCCGAAGCGCTGGGCTGGGAAGCTCGATGGGATTACGCAAGCTCGCAAGATAGAAAAATGCCCAGACCTTAGGTATGTAGGTCTACTTGCGATTACGTACCTATCCAGCCTCGCGGAGAACTGAATACGTTAGGTGGCAGGTACACTCCCTCGGCCCAGTTGCGGCACTGCGCATATGGAGATGTCAACACGCGTTACTAGGAGTAGAGGAGTACGTCTACGTAGGAGCGGAAGATAAGGTTGCCTTATCTAGGCTGTACGCTGGACGCACGGGAAGGATCAGGAACGGATAAGTACCATGCACACTGCAGCATTTATGCTGAATTCAGAAGGGGGGGAGGGGTGGAAAGGGGGGTGAATACAACGGTCCCTGTAAATCAAAAATGTCGACGATGTTCGAAATCCCAATAGGATCCGGCATGCCTGATTCGCTTTAGACTGCCGAGAAGAGTGCCGATCCTTGACCGATCATATTGCAACTCTGTGTACCTAGTTCGTACTCTATCTCGACGTTGCATCGTAGGGTTTAGTCCCTGGTAAAGTACGCCTGTCACACACGTTCGCGCTCCGGTGAGGGGATTGAGAATTGTTAATTGTAAATTGTGGTAAATTGTAAATTGCATGATGTGGTATGTACTCCTTATTTTCTATTCTCGCAAGACGATCAAATTAATTTGCATGTTCTGATTTCTGCATTGCCGACATTACTACAGTTCGTGATGTTCTCATTACCAAGACCTGTCTAAGCTCAATAAATAACATGGAACCAATTTATCGATCCAACGCTTGTGCCTGACACTATATCGTAAATTAATTAGCATGTCATACAGTGGTATTTCGTAGTCAAAGTGGAATCTGGGCAGACGTACCATGCTGTGATATACACCTCGCCTCTGAAGGAGAGTACTATGGGTGCCAGATTCTAGAACCTGCCCATCGCCAACGACGAAGATAATGTCGGCGTTTTGAATGGTAGCGAGCCGGTGGGCGACCACTATCATAGTCCTACTTTTCTTCGTCCTCTCAAAGACACCTTGCACTAGCTTCTCCGTCTCCGAGTCGAGATTAGACGTAGCTTCGTCAAGGAGAAGGAGTCGTGGATTCCTGACCAGGGCTCGAGCAATCGATATTCGCTGTTTCTGCCCGCCGGATAGTAATACACCCCTGATACCCACTTTCGTATTATAGCCTTCTGGGAGCGAGCTCACGAAGTCATGTATTTCGGCATCGCGACAAACTTGTTCCAGTTCCTCGTCGGAGATAGTGTCAGGATCCACTCCGAGAAGGATGTTTTCTCGGATAGTGCCGTTGAACAGGGATGGCTCCTGGGCTACCAGTGAAATTGTTTTCCGGTAGTCCCTTAGATCGATAGTGTCAATATCGATATCGTTGTACGTGATGCTTCCGGATTTGACACTGTAAAATCTAGGTGGAACTATGAGCTTTAGCTATTCGACGAGAGGATACCTAAGGATAAGACTCACCTTTCCAATAGAGAGATGACACTGGTCTTTCCACAGCCTAAATTATGTAAGTTTCAAAGTCATATGTTGCTGTTGCTGTTGGTGGGACTTACCAGACGGGCCGACGATGGCGGCGAATTGACCTTTTTCGATCTTGGCAAGTTAGCAATTAATGACATTCCCCTGTGGGCGGCGCGCTTACAGTCATGGTCAACCCGTTTAATACAGGGGCATCTCGCGTCGGGTATCTAAACCAAACATCTCGTAACTCGATCTTGACACCTCGCTTTTCCTCGTCAACTGGTTCATTTAGAGTGATGCCTCCATCGTCCTCATCTTTCTGTCTCATAGCCTGAATTCTGTTTGCCGCTATGGTCGCTTGCGCAATATCTAAAAAAGGTGTCAGCATTATCCATAGAACGCGCGTTATTGTTCAGGCCTTACTAGGTCCAAAACTGAGCCATTGTCCTGCTCCTGTGGCACCCTAGATCGTTTCGGTTAGCTCTCTTATCCGGATTCGTCTTGAAGCTAACAGGATGCTTTACCTGGATCACGGCAATATATACAACCACTAAATAGAGGTATTAGCTCATGTCTGCAATAAGAACCTTAAGCGGCTTACAATAATTAAACGTCTGATATTCGCCTTTCACAAGCAGGCTGCCTCCATACCTATAGGATTAAGAGTTAGCAATCTAGATACGCTCATTTGTCTTGCGTGAAAACATACCATAGAACAAAAGCCATGCAAAGGAATGGCAGGCTGTCACTTGCTGAAAATACCAATGTAGCTAATCGAGCTCGGACGAAGGCCTTCTTCACATGCGTCTGCAGTAATTCTTCGTATCTTTCACAGATGCCTTCCTCGAGTGTCAGTGCAGTCACTGTCCGAATAGCTCCGATTGACTCGGTGGCGAATTTGGCGCTCTCAGCGAAGACCTTCAGGTTCATGGCCTCGAACCTCTTTTCAACCCGGATGCGGAAGAAACCGGCGGCGACGGCCAGGGGTGTCGCTGATGATAGTGCGACGATAGTGAGCTTCCATCCGAAGTAGAAGGATATGATCAAGCACCCGACCACGCTAAAAATTGAAATTGCGGCGAACGTCATGTTGTTTCCGAGTAGTTGTTGCAGCTGGGTAGGATCACTAGCCACGATTCCCGTTAGAGCTCCTATCGACCGGCCTTCGCCGTCGAACCAAGATACTCTCTTGGAGACAATGTTTTGGAAGTACTCCCGGCGATAAGTAGAAGTGATTTTCTACAAGGGTTAGCAAGGGGTGATTATGTAGGGGGGTTATACTTGACATACGAAAGAAACAACCGTTGAGGAAAAGCCCAGAGCAAAGTAGCCTACGCCAGCCGCGGATGCTAATGCGACGAACATGAGGCACCAGAAATCAGTCAGCGCGACCAAAGTGTCTCCCCAATATGCGAATGACGAAATGAGCGCTGCGAATATGAATGCCTGCACAGGCGGACTTGCTACACCAAGCATTAGTAGGGTCTACGTCGGTTGAAAATCCATGGAGAACTTACCACCAGCAACTAAAGCACTAGACAACATCACCGTGTACCATGGCCAAAATGGCTTCTGCTCTACAAGTAGTGCACCGAAGCTTCTAAGCACACCCTTCTGTTTGTGCTCTGGCTCGTCGACCACGGTACTTTCGCTATCCCGGGGTTCTTCCTTGGTCTCATCAAGAGTCATGATATCCATGGTCCTCTTTTCCACTTCCGTGACCTCGGATGAGGTGTCTATGGAGTCTGTGTCTCCCATCGACAGTTTTTGAGAATTAGTAAGAAGCCAGTAAGGCCCGCCAACCTTGGCCATGAGAGCTTCGTGGGTTCCCCATTCGACAACTTTGCCCTTCGCGAGTACCACAATGTTATCTGCTTTCTTGACTGTCGACAGCCGGTGAGCTATCATGATCGTCGTTCGGCCCTTGGATACCTTATCGAGAGCAGCTTGGACAACCTTTTCGCCGCGAACGTCGATTGAACTTGTTGCTTCGTCCAAGATTAGGATCTTGGGTTGTTTGACTATGGCTCGAGCAATTGCTAGTCTCTGGCGCTGTCCACCACTCAACTTGATACCGGCATCACCCACATGTGTCTCGTAGCCCTCTGGGAGACGAGAGATGAACTCATCGGCAAACGCTTCCCTGCAGGCGTGCTCTACTAGTTCCCTCTTCTTGGCAATATCGGTATTTTCCCATTCTGTGCCTATTAAACCATTTGCAACATTCTGGAAAATGGTCGTGTTGAAAAGAAATGGTTCTTGTTGAACGAGGCCGATTTGAGATCTCCACCATTTGAGATCTATGTCGGTTAATTTTGTGCCCCCTATTTTTACGGTGCCATTGCGGAAAAGGGAGACCTGTGAAAAATGACAGGGTTAGTACCTACTAAACCAAATCTTGGCAAGTCATTGGGCCATTTCTTACCATTTTCTTGTCTTCCGCATCACCATCTAACTCGTACCATCGTTCTATAAGTGCTACAACTGTGCTCTTACCAGATCCCGAAGGACCCACGATGGCGGTGGTTTTCCCTGCTGGAAGAACTAAATTCAAGTTATCGAGGACCTTGAGTTTCGGTCTCGTTGGATATGTGAAATTGACGCCCCATAGCACGATGTCCCCCGATGCAGATACGTCAGGGTACTTGAGTCCCGAGGTGGCTTGACTTGGCGCATCAATACCATTAAAGAGTATGCTGGCTGCGCCCGCTGCGCGAGCTGCGGCAGAAATTGGTGCCGCAATTCCGCCAATCCCCATTACTATCATCATTATGCACATCAAAACCCTGTGTATACGTAAGCTATGACTGGCAGTATTTTTTTAGTGGTGGAACTAACGTGATCAGCGTCCCGACGTTGTCAATTTCCAGATTAAGGAGCAACTTGACGGCGAACCAGAAAGTAAGAGCAAAAGTCCTGTTGAAGTATTAGCACATGGCTTTTTCGGCGTTAATATGAGATGCTAACCCATAAACACTGAAGTAAACTGAGAGATTATGTTAGCAAAATACCTTCTTGACGAAGAGAGTTACTTACTAATGCCTTGCTGAATAGCGACAATCTTTGACAATCGAAGACCTCTGCGCTGCGCCTCGTCCACCCACTCCTTGTACTTCTTCACCATCTTGATTTCAGCTCCATATGCAGCCACCATCCTAATGGAGCCGAAAGCTTCGCTTGCGACTGCAGATCCTTTTATGTTGGCATCCTCAACCTCCTTCAAATTCTTGACGACAAAAGGAATAGTGAGGCAATATGTTATAGTGATAAGAAGCAAGCCACTGCTGGTTACTAGGCTCAACTTCCAGCTTCGAGTAAAAGCAATGACAATTGACGAAGCAAACAAAGACAAATTCTGGATTATTGCGACTAGTTTTTCAGATATTCCGTTCTGGAGAGTATTTGCTGTAGTTGTGATGATGGCAGCGACTTGGCCAGGGGGTTGAGTATCTAAGAGAGACACAGGTAGGCTAAGTAGAGCTTTGAAGTAAGCTAAACGCATTGCCGAAGAGATGCGTAAACTCATAGAACGAAATCCTAACTTTGCACATTGTGAGTGTTGGCTCTCGTTCAGGGGGGCGTCAACTTACAGTAGCGACATATCCCAACACAAATCTAGCTACAAAGAGGTACACCATGAAAAGGCTATATAATTCTGGATTTAGCTTACTTCCGACGAGCGCGACTTTCATAGTACTTACGAATATTCGTTGATGAGCGAAGTATAGTGTGCTTTTGCACCATCGGCGTTCAAATCGGACCTAGCACTTGCAATAGCTCCAACAAGTTGGCCTAAGTTATTAGTAACTATTATCGGTGACGATTCTAGAATTTCACGACAACATACCAAAGACGATTGTCATTAAGGGGAAGGCTACACCAGCGCCACATGCGGCGGCGGCGGAGATGAACAGAAATACTCTGTCCCACCATGTTGAATAAGTGAAGATCCTCTGTGCCCAGGTTAGCATTACCAACAAACTTATGGTGACGAAACTTACGAAGAAATTTGAAGAGGTTTTCTTCAGCTTTGACGGCTGGTTGGGTGGTGTGGTACCCTGGCCTTTGGGGGTTGCTGGAGGAGTAACAGCATCAGCAGTGGGAGGTTGAGGAGCAGTGATCGGTGATGCAGGTCCAACACTATTTCCAGGAGAGGCTGAAGGAATAGGGGAGAGGATGGTTCCTCCTTCTTGTGACTCTGGAGGTTTGGCGAGGGAAGATAGTGATGGCTTCAAATTTAACAAGTTGTGTTGACTAATAGGTCGCGAGGCATCATGCTCCGTCAACGAGGCTGCTGTTGACGAGCCAGATATTATTGAGTCTGTTCGACCATGGGGAGCAGAGGCTGCTAGAAGTTCCATAGTTGAGGAGTCCCTTGTGATACCAGGTGACGGGGGACTTTCCTCTATCGAGATCGAGACAGAAGTATCTACCCTGGGAAAATCTGAAGTCGCGATACCCTCATGCGACACATGTATGGGGGCTTCTTGATTAGCCGGGCCCGAGAGACCAGCAGAGACCTCATCGTGTGGGCTCTGAGAGGCTTCGGGCAAATTGGCATCATCTTGCCCCATGTTGCATGTGCGCAAAGGCGCGACTTAGATGCTATGCAGTAAGAAAACGACTAACAGACCGAACAGACTAATGACAATGCCTAACCACTGGATTTAGCAAGAAAAGGAAAAGTGTGTATATGTACGACCGAAGGTTGGGACAAGGATCAAACGTCCTAGGAAAATCAAGAAAAGCCAAACAGAACTATTAGAGCGAAAGGATATCATAGAATCACTAAGTACAAAACCATCTGAAGCTCGAAAAAGGGACCCCTAGCATAAGGGCCATAAGGAGCGTGGATAAAACACGATAGGGTTGGTCGGAGGCATGCTCCGCTAAGTAGGAACTAAGAACACTAAGCATCAATTAAAATAAATGAGCCGATATACCCCATTGCAGCCCATTGGCAGGGCCCCCCCTTGTCGTGCCTTATCCGCGTACAGGTCTCGGGAGTATTGGAGGGATCGTCATGCCGCTAACAGATGGACCCCCTGTGCTGTCCTAGCTGCCGATCATCTCTTCAATATAAGCATGCATTTTCCAATAGCTAACGCGGCATATCAACGAGCTGGCTGCTGGCTTGGTACTTAGGGCCAACAACTCCCGTGTAGGCGCGTGAAAAAGCAGGTCGTCATTTACGTCGTCAACTTGCTTCGTATCGTGCATATAGTATCAATTCCATTTTCTTTTGACAAAATTCTCTCATTTTATCTCAAGCCAAACTACCGCCAGCTGTGGCTTGCAACGATATGTAGAGTTACATCATGCACGGAATATTCCAAATCTGAATGGTCCCCGATTTGCTGGGTGCCGCCGTCTCGTTTTCTTTGGAAATCAGCATGCAAGTGTCGGTAATTATATTGTTGTATCTAGAACCCTTTCTGCATGTAGTAAGTTTTATATACAGAAAACCGGACTCGGGAAAGAGAAAACCAAATGTAAATAGTCTACGGCGAAATTCTAACATCTAAAAATCTGTCTATGCTGACGCCTCCTGCATCATCGTACGAATCACATCCCCAAGCTCCTTAATCACACCCTTTTCTCTTGGAAGGGTGTGCCCTTTACCATGGTCGAAAATGTATGCAGTGTCAGGTTCGCAAGTGTTGTAGAGAGCCATCGAACCCGCAACATACGGATCAAGGGAACCGACTAAACTTACTATCAATATCTAAAATTCTTAAAATGTTGGGAATATAAACTTAATTACTTACTAATGTGACAGGTGTGAATATTGATCATGAGGTCGGACTCGTCTGAGAGAACCATGGCGAACGTGGAAGGGTCTAGAGGCGGCCAACCGGCAAAGAACACGGCGCATTTGATCTGAGGTACTCTACCAGTATCTTCGAATCTTTTCTGCTCAGCGAGGAGAAAAGTCGAAGCAACGGTAGCGCCCTCCGAGTATCCGATGATTCCTTCGAACGGGCCTTCTTTCTCGCAGATTTCGAAGAGATATTGGATAGCTCGGTTCGTGCTGAGAACACTGCTAGCAACACCTTCTTTCATGAGTTCTCGCATAGTATCCTCAGCAGTATCACACTCGGGGAAATCTCGAATTCGAGAGAGAACATCGGTGTCCTTCGAATCTTTGTCATCTGGCTCGATAAATCGGTAGTAGGGAGGTTTTCCGAAGAAGTCTTCGAATCCCTCCGGAGGGACGGCTTCGCATGGCGCATCAACGAAACGAAATGTGGCAGAACCGTCCGACATCATCTCGTTCACCAGCGGCGCTAATGAAAATCGTCAGTAAGTTCCACGAAAACGGGTTTTACACAACATGACGTTGTGGTTCGTACCCAGTTGAACTTGGAATTTCTTCTCTCATGTTAGCGCGACAGAATATCCTCCAGAGAATACGAAGACTTACATCAGCGCTTCCATACGCGCCAGGCAGACACAAGAACTTCATGATGAATAGCGTGAGTTGGTTTCTCAGAACCGCGCACCTAGTCACACCGAATTTTCGAAGACTTAAGCGGGTTCCCGTCCATAAGAAACCAGCGGGAAGCAAGGAATGTAGTAAGATGACTACGTGTATTGAAAGAATAGGAAGACTCAGCCAGGTTAAAGATTACGTGTTGATCGGTTTACGTAGAAGATACTTGATATCCTGGGCTGGAACTGAGACCCTGCCAGTCCGAATTCTGTCCGGGGGTGTGTTTAAAAAAAGTCCGTAGACTGTTTTAGATACATAGATCTTGGCGCTATGTATGTTGTACTACTCCATGCAGTATGTAACGACAACCAAGGGACTCCCTATCACCCTGGTTGCACCAAGTTGCATGGCATGTGGGTAAAGTATCCGTCTACCCCTGTGCCTAGGCTTACAACGGGTAAGCTGAGGCTCTTCCCCTTGAGACACTAGTCGAGGCTAGGAATTTTTCGATCGAGCCTATAAAGACGATATATCTATATCAAATAAATATGGGAATAGCGTCGGCGCCACCCGGATTATCTAACAGGGAGAGAGATAGCACATTCAGGGGTTATAATGTTGTCCGGATGCTAGGGACTAGATAAGTCAAGCCCAGGCCGCTGCCATTGGGTCCAATAGCCAGCCAACTACGTAGTAGAGGCAGTATTCTCCCAGTCGGTCGAAGTCGGTGATGCCCCCACCCGCGCCACCGTCCATCGAATGGAGTTCAAAGTGCCGGACGCCAAGGCGCGGGGTGGGACTATACAATCTATCCATATTGCCTGGTCCAGGGGTCCTATCTACAGTCGTAGTCAGTGGTAGTTCGTCTCAAGGACGACACTACGTCTTACACCACATACTACGTAGCCAATACACTAATACGTAGTGTACCTCTGCCGTACCTAGGTATACTATGCCAGGGACGTGAAAGTCTTCGTTGCATGCTTATCGAGCTGCCGCCACAATTCGATCCCTGTCACATCGCAATGTCAATGTCTCAACTTATTTTTTTTACCTGGCTTAGCCCAAAGGGGCCTCAAAAAACTTCCGGAAATTGACTGCCTCAGATCGGAAAGCAAACAAATAAACCTGCAAATAAAGTTATTTACGCTGCCAATCTTACCCATTCTAATCTATTACTCGGTTAGCATTGATGCACGCCTAGTCACTAGTGATAAATGGATCGGCAGTGCTTCCCGCTGTCTCGATTTTCCGTAGCCTTAGGAGAGAGGCAGGAGAGCTTCCAGATCGAGTATCTCGAGGTGTGTGTTGGACCCTGCCGCTGATATCGCTAAGGCGAGCACGTCAGTAGTACCATGGGGCCATCGTAATGTCGTCGTAGTCGTAACGATAAGCTCGCGAGGACCCTGATCGCTCGTCGGTGACAGATCAACGGTTCGGCCAACGGGGAGATGATCCCAACAGATGAGGCCGAGGCCGAGATGGTCGTCGTCTTCGTCGTCGTGTTCAAGGTAGCCAGATCCAGCAGGTCAACCCCCTGCATAAGCTTCTTTTCGAGGTCTTGGCCTCAAATCGATGATACGACGGAGAGTAAACGTACTGATGTCTAAGACAAATTGTCAATATGATCGGCACAGTAACAGCCCTGATAGTCAGGGATGACAAATGGTCCAGGAGAACGAACTGGACTATTGGATCCTACGTTTCCCGTGTAGTGGTTTCCGATAGACGCCACGAGATCTATAGGGGTGTTTCCTCGCCTAAAGTTACAGCCATACTTCCGCGCTCAGGGTGGAAAGATTTTCCTATCCTCCGAATATCAGGCTCCATTCACATATGACAGAGTACCCTCCCACCCGGTACCCCGGAGACGTACGACATATTACGCGTCCGGAAAGTTCCCCTTGAGTCACGAATATAAACTCCAAATCTTCACTCGATGTTTACATTCTGCAACTTTCCTTAGAGAACGTTCGGCCACTATAGTACCGTCGCAACGATATCCGTAGCCATGGCCCCGTCAGCCACTAACGGCAGTGCATATAGCACATCCAACGGAGTGCACGAGGATTCGAGAGCTCCTACTAACGGCTACACCAATGGACATACGAATGGACACACAAACGGACACACAAACGGCTTCGCCAATGGCAACAGCAATGGCCTGAACGGGCATGCTCAGCCCTTCGGGCACACAAACGGCCACCGAGTTGGCCAAACCAACGGCCTCAGCAACGGCCACGCCAATGGCATCAGCAACGGCATCAGCAACGGAGTCAGCAACGGCGTGAATGGGAGTAACGCTCCGTCGATCAAAGACAAATCGCAGCCCATCGCTATAGTGGGAATGTCCTGCCGGCTTCCCGGAAATGTGGCTAGCCCGGCGGAGTTCTGGGAGCTATGCGCTCGAGCTCGGAGTGGCTATTCGGAGATACCCAAAGAGCGCTTCAACACCGCTAGCTTCTACCATCCGAACCCGGGAAAAGCTGGCTCCCACAATCCGGTTGGCGGCCACTTTCTCAATACCGACCTTACAGCGTTCGACGCGCCCTTCTTCAGCCTAACCGAGAAGGAGGCGATCTCCATGGACCCTCAGCAGCGCCTACTGCTGGAGTGCACTTTCGAAGCGCTCGAAAACGCCGGAATTCCAAAGCACACTATCATCGGCAAAGAAGTTGGTGTGTTCGTGGGGGGCTCGTTCCCAGAGTACGAATCCCACTTGTTCAGAGACCCGGACACTATTCCCATGCATCAAGCCACAGGTAAGCCGGCCCCGAAGATTGTCCTTGCATGTAGTTTCCCGCGCTGATTACGTTGCCAGGTTGCGCGTACGCCATGCAATCTAACAGATTATCACATTTCTTCGACCTGCGGGGTCCCAGTTTTACTACGGATACAGCCTGCTCATCAAGTCTGGTCGCACTGCATGTTGCTTGCCAGAGCTTACGCTCCGGCGAGTCGAACATGGCAATCGTGGGCGGATGCCATCTGAACATGCTTCCGGAGTTTTGGATTTCTTTCTCAAAATCGCGGTAAGGAGCAACTTGAGACATACCTTAGTTGGAATTTTCTTTTCTCTCTGAAACTGACAATGTCATCATCAGGCTCTTTTCCGACTCGGGTCGATCGTTTTCATTCGATAACAGAGGTACAGGATTCGGACGAGGCGAAGGATGTGGTATGGTAATTCTCAAACCGCTCGAGCAGGCTCGCAGAGACAATGATCAGATTAGGGCGATCATTGTCGGAAGCGGCATTAACCAGGATGGAAAGACTCCCGGTATTACGATGCCTTCCGGCGATGCGCAGGGTAAGAAAGAATTCTCCGTGGAAGCCAAGAGATAAGACAACCCCATAAGCTAACCAACCCCATCACCGCAGAAACATTAATGCGTCAGGTATATACAAATGCCGGACTTAACCCTTCTGATTGTGGCTTCGTTGAAGCACACGGAACAGGCACACGTGTTGGAGACCCGATCGAGGCCACGGCCATTTACAATGTATTGGGTGCAGGCCGTTCAGCACGTGATCCCCTTTATATTGGATCTGTAAGTACTTTCACATGCACCCCATCGTGACGTATGCCGGCGATGATCGCTAACGTAAGTGCGCGATATAGGTCAAATCCAACATCGGCCATCTCGAGGGAGCTTCTGGTATCGTGGCAGTTATCAAGTCTGCCTTGATGTTAGAGCGTGGTTTCATTCTCCCTAACTACGATTTCAAATACCCCAATGAGAAGATACCATGGAAGCAGTGGAACTTAAAGGTACCTGTCAGCCAACGCCCGTGGCCGCGCAACAAGAAGTACCTCAGCGTCAACAACTTCGGCTTTGGTGGTACCAATGCTCATGTAGTCCTTGAGAAAGTACCCTTCATGACGCGAGGTTCCAAGAACGATGCCGACCTCAAGGATGACAACCCCGGACGTAAGCTCTTCGCTATCACAGCAAATGACAAGAACACGCTGGAGGGTGTTCTGAAGGCCCTCGTCATCTACTTGGAGCAAAGACCTGAGATGTTCCAAAAGGACTTGATGTCTGATGTAGCCTACACTCTGGGTCAACGTCGATCTCATCTCCAGTGGAGAGTAGCCATCCCTGCCCTCAGGTCTTTCGACTTGATCGACGCTATCAACAGCCAACAGTTCACTCCTGGCAAGGAGGTCGATCCATTGAGGATTGGTTTCATCTTCACTGGTCAGGGTGCTCAGTGGTACGGTATGGGACGTGAGCTCTATGAGCAATACCCGGTCTTCACCCACGCCATCGACTATGCAGATGAATGCTTAAGAACCTTGGGTGCTTCTTGGTCACTGGTTGAAGAACTGAGCAAGGATGAGAAGACTTCTGCTGTCGGCGCAGCCCACATCAGCCAGCCCTCATGCACAGCAATCCAGTTAGCTCTGGTTGATCTGATGCGATCATGGGGTATTCGACCTCAAGCAGTGGCTGGTCACTCCAGTGGAGAGATTGGTGCGGCCTACGCTGCTGGCATCCTCACCTTTGAGGCCTGTGTATCTATCGCGTACCACAGAGGTCGTCTCATTCCAGTACTGAAGGAGAAGTACCCCGACCTAAAGGGTTCCATGATGGCAGTTGGCGGCAGCAAGGAGGAGTTCGAGCCTCTTCTATCGCAACTCAAAGAAGGAGAGGTCAAGATCGCATGTTACAACAGTCCTAGCAGTCTTACCATATCTGGTGATGAGGCTGGTATCGATGAGCTAAAGAGGGTCGTCGAAGAGAAGCAACTTTTCAACAGGAAGCTCTTCGTCGACACTGCTTACCACTCTCACCACATGAACCTCCTCGCTAAGGAGTACTATGCATCAATCGATCAACTTGAGGGTCCCATCTCCACTGAAGTCAGATTCCACTCTTCCTTACTCGGCCGACGTATCGACGGCACTGAGCTTGAACCAACGTACTGGGTACAGAACCTTACATGCCCTGTCAAGTTCAACGAGGCCGTTCAAAGTATGCTCGAGCCTGTCGATGAACACAGGACCGGTGTCAACATGCTCGTCGAGCTTGGACCTCACTCTGCTCTCCAAGGACCTCTCAAGCAGATTCTCAAGACTGTTGGCGGTGACGCAGCTAAGATCCCGTACGTTTCTGCTCTTGCACGCAAGAAGGATGCCGTGGGAACTGCTTTAGATGTTGCCGCAACACTCTTTGCTAAGGGTGCCCCTGTCGATTTCGAAGCCATCAACTTCCCTAAGAAGGGAAAGGCGCCAATGCTCTTGAGCGATCTGCCTCGTTACCCCTGGAACTACTCTTCCAAGTACTGGCACGAGTCTCGCATGACTCAAATGCACAAAAATAGGACTGCTCCGCGAAACGATATCCTTGGTACCCTTGCCAACTTCTCTAACGACCTAGAACCTACGTGGAGGAATATTGTGCGACTAGATGACCTTCCTTGGTTACAACATCACAGGATCCAATCCCTGACCATCTTCCCCATGTCTGGATACGTCTCTATGGCTGTCGAGGCCGCCGCCCAACGAGCCATATCCGCCAACGTACACTTCGATAAGTTCGAACTTCGTGACGTATCTGTCATCGCCCCTCTCGTTATCCCAGACGAAGATGTCGAGATGACGACAACTCTCAGACCTCACCAAGAAGGGTTACTCGTTTCGTCAGAAATATGGGACGAGTTCCGAATCTGCTCATGGACGAAGAGCAAGGGATGGAAAGAGCATTGCAAGGGCTTAATCGCTGTTCAAGCGCACGAGTCGAACGGTGTGGACGATGCGAGACAGAGCCTTGCGTCGCGAATCCACTTACAGTCCACCATCGCCGACATCAACAATACCGCATCCTCTACTATTGCTATGGACAAGCTTTATGATAACTTGTCCCAAGTTGGTGTGGCTTATGGTCCTACTTTCCAAGGAATTAGCAACTGCAAGGCTTCCAGCACTTGTTCGCAAGCTGATCTACTTGTTTCTGATATCGCTAAGGAGATGCCAAACCACTACGTCACGAACACTGTCATCCAACCCTCATTCCTCGAGTCCCTCATCTCCATGTACTGGCCTATTGCCAGCGCCGGTAAACAATCGCCGGATACTATCTACCTACCATCGTCCGTATCAAGCATATCGATCTCAAAAGACATCGTTGAAATGAACGAAAATGCTAGCAAGGCCTACCGAGCATACTGCCTTGGCTCCCTCCCAGCAGACAGCCCTCGACCGACTAAGGTCTCCATGTTTGCCACATCAGCATCCAATATCTCTGAGCCTATCATTAAGCTAGATGATCTCACCATCGCCCCCATACTAGACCGTGATACACAGACGGAAGATGCTCACCGCGAGCTATGCTACAAGCTCGACTGGGAGCCAATCTTAGATCCTGTTTCTGTCGATTCTGACAGTGCATCATCCGAATGGGTTCCCGTTGACGACTTGAAGCTTCCCGAGACTGAAATCGAAATTGTATATGGAGATGGCTTTTTACAGGCGCAAGTCGCTTTCAGCTTAGCCGAGGCCTTACAACGAATAACTGGCAAGCTGCCCAGTACCAGCAGTCTTCTCGATGCCCGGGCTGAGGGCAAGCTACTCATCTTCTTATCCGAGATCGACAAGCCTCTTCTGTCGCAGTTGAAGGCGAACGAATTCGAGGCTCTCCAAAGGATGCTCACCACCGTAGAAGGTGCCCTATGGGTTGTTCGGGGCGCGTATGATAACTCGACGTCACCAGACCTGAACATGATTCTTGGTCTGAGCCGAACAATCCGATCCGAGACCTTATTACCTTTCGCCACGTTAGACCTAGACGGACGCAACCAACTCTCCAATGAGCAGATCACTGAGGCTGTCCTGAAGGTATTCACTTCGGTATTTGGTAAGAGCAGCGCCTTGAACGGCGAGCTCGAGTTCCAGGAGAGAGATGGTTCATTCTACACCCCACGAATAATTAACGACCCTGTCATGAATGAGATCGTTCACCGGGAGACCAAGCCTTCAGCCCAGCAACCTACACCGTTCGGCGAGGGTGACCGAAAACTGAAGATGGCTATTGCAGACGCTGGCGCTCTTGATACCCTCCACTTCATTGACGATGACGCAGCCGAAGCCCCACTCAACGGAGAGGATATCGAGATCCAGGTCAGCGCCGTTGGCGTCAACCACCGGGATCTCACTGCTGCTCACGGCAAGTTAGCAACCCACGACTTCGGTGTAGAAGCTAGTGGTGTTGTCACCGCCGTCGGAAAAGATGTCAAGAACATCTCGATCGGAGACCGAGTAGCAGCTATCACGAAGGGTGCCTTCGCCACCTCCACTCGCACCAAGGCGACGTTCGCATTCAAGCTCCCGCGCGACATGCAATTTGAAGATGGCGCAACTCTGCCGCTGGCTTACACCACGGCCTACTACTCGCTTGTCGAGCTCGGCCGCCTCAGCGAAGACGAGACCGTGCTCATACACGCGGCAGCTGGCGCCGTCGGACAAGCTGCTATCTCACTTGCGCAGATGATCGGCGCAAAGGTCTTCGCCACCGTCGGCAGCACCGAGAAGAAGGAGTTCCTCATCAAGGAGTACGGTATACCAGAGGACCACATCTTCTACAGCCGCAACCTATCCTTCGGCAACGCCGTCCGACAAGCGACCAACAACCTCGGCGTCGACGTGGTGCTGAACTGCCTCACCGGCGACGGCCTGCGGGAGAGCTGGAACAGCCTCAACAAGTTCGGCCGCCTGATCGACATCGGCGCGCGGGACACGAACACCAGCACGAGGCTCGAGATGACGCAATTCGAGCACAACGCGAGCTTCATGACCGTCGACATCATGGCCATCGCCGCCGAAAGGCCGAAGCTGCTCCAGAGACTTCTCGCCGACGTCGCGAAGCTCATGCGATACAACAAGATCCGCCCCATCTCTCCCGTCACCGTCTTCCCCATATCCGAGGTCGAGTCCGCGTTCAAGACGCTCCATGCTGCTAAGACGCACGGCAAGCTCGTCGTGGTCCCGCACGCTCACGATATCGTCAAGGCTACCCCTCCCAAGAAGCCTGCGCAACTGCTTAAGGCTGATGCTACTTACATCCTCATCGGTGGCACAGGCGGTCTTGGTCGAAGCATGGCCCGATGGATGGTTAGCCGAGGTGGTCGACACCTGGTTCTTGTTTCGCGAAGCGGCAGTGTAACTGGCAAGGTCAAGGAGCTCGTGGACGAAGCTGCGCAAGTTGGTGCCGAGATCGTTGTTCGTCGCGCTGATGTAGCCAGCGCCTCGTCTGTCGACGAGCTAGTCAAACACGGCTTGGAAGGTCTACCTCCCGTCAGGGGTGTGGTCCACGGTGCCATGGTACTCAACGTAAGTTCATCCCCCGCCCCTCCCTCCAAATATCTCCCTGGCGAAGATAACAACTAACCCCCAAAATTAGGATGTCCTATTCGAGAAGATGACATACGAGCAATACACCACCGTCATCGAGTCCAAGGTCAACGGGGCCTGGAACTTCCACAACGCCCTCGCCACCACACCGCTCGACTTCTTCGTCGCCATATCCTCCGTCGCCGGCGCCGTCGGCAACCGGGGCCAAGCCGCCTACGCCGCCGCGAACTGCTTCCTGAACGCGTTCGTGCAGTACCGGCTCGCGCGCGGCCTGCCCGCCTCCTCGCTCGACCTGACCGCCATCTCCGACTCGGGGTACCTGGCCGAGGACCTGGCGAAGGCGGCCGAAGTCGCCAAGAACCTGGGCAGCGACACCATCTGCGAGGCCGAGGTGCTGGCTCTGCTCGGCGCTGCTATAGCGGGGAAGCTGGAGGCGGCGTGTAATAACCATACGATCACGGGAATGCGCATGACGCCGTCGATGCAGCCGTTCTGGACCGCGGACGCGAAGAGCAAGCACCTGCGCGAGGCGATGGAAGCGGCTGCGGCCGCGGACGCGGCGACGAACGGCGGCGCGAAGGCGATCTCGTATAACGCGGCGGTGAAGGCGGCCAAGACGCTCGAGGAGGCCGAGGCCGTGGTGTGCGACGGGCTGGTGCACAAGCTGGCGGCGGTGATGATGATGGAGCTCGAGGACCTGGACGTGACGCGCTCGCTCTCGCACTACCCGCTCGACTCGCTCGTCGCTATCGAGATCCGTAACTTCATCACCCGCGAGTTCGAGGCCACACTGCAGGTCCTCGAGCTGCTGTCCAGCGGCTCCATTCAGACATTGTCGAAGGCCGTCTGCGTCAAGAGCAAATTGGTCAACTTCTCTTAGCTTTTCGATGGGAGAATGAAGAATGAGAAGAAGAAGAAGAGAGAGGGGGCTTTGGCCCCCGCCGTCAGGGGGACGGAAAAAAAAAACTTACACGATTAGAATGACACGGAATGAATGAGGATTCGCTTCCTATTTTTCTTAATCTCTACTACTACTTTTTTTACTTTACCTCTCTCATCTATCTTTTCTAGTTGGTTTGGTATTTTGTCTTCCTTTTCTATTCCTTTACATTAACACACTATTTTGAAATACGGTCTAGATGAGATGATATACAACGCATGGCTTTTGTTTGGCGACAACATCTAGACTCACCTTATATACTGTATACAAGTTTAACCCCCACGCCTCGAAGCTATTCTGGTCTTTTTTCAAGTTGGAAGTTGGGTTACGCCAGGATGGTAATATTTCTTCCCTTAGTATAGGTACTTTTTACTGGTAATAGACTGTCTCTATCCTACTTGCTCGCGCGCGATGATCGTGATCGTGATTTATCCTAGACCATATTTCGTATGAGCCATCCCATAAATCATGGTTCTTTACGCAGAGTGACTCTTCCACTGCTACATAGGTATCGGCATTTCAACATCCTATTAATGTGGCCATTCCTGTCAACATTGGTTTGTACCAGCAACAGCCGCGACTCAACATTATCACCTACAACTTCTATTTCAATGACAGACATCTCGAATTCGCGCAATTCAAAGGTAATATATTAAAATGATATACGAGAAGTGAAGGGCAATTCGTGTATACATTAGTTCCATTTTTGAACTCGTAAACCGTACAAGTAATTCATCCATACCTATCGACAAAGCTCCCGCAAATACCACCCTTACGAAGCTCTAGGATCCCAATTAAGATCGACGTCCGCCATTAAAGCTTCGCCGAGCACGTCTTTGAGATCGACCAGCTTGAAGCTTGCCTTATCACTGGTGCCTCCTTCGGGTAGTTGATTGGCATCATCGTGAACGACTACCAACCCGTTAGGGAACCGATCCCCTAGGGCTGACCCGACCGCCGCAAGACCATCCGTGTTAGTCACGGCGTCTATTCCCTTCGCTTTATTCTCGTATATCGTAAACGTCTCAACATACTCGTGAGGAGCTCCGCGACGATACACATTGTACGCGCTGACACCTTGCTGACTGACGATGATGAAACCCTGGTCTGCTGTAGGACCTTCGACTAAAGTCACGCCCTCATTATCAGCGTACATTTTGCCGCTACCAACCTCGTCGATGAGGAAGCCGCTGCTGGCATCGTCGTCAGGCTCCGCGCCGTAGCGCCAGAGAGCGTGGGGTTCCTCGCTGATGAAAACCCATCCGTTCGGTTCGTCTGCGACACATCCCTCTACTTGACCCCCCGCGCCTCCTGTGAAGTTGCGCACGAAAGTGGTTTGTAGCGCGCCATCGGCCCACGATAGCTCGTATTGAAGATACTCAGCGGTCTTAGCATTGACGAAGAGGTATTGCTTGCCACTTTTTTGCGAGCGGTAGACGCAGCTACCGTACACCGTGTAGTCATCCTTGGTAGGTTGAGAACCACCAGCAATGGTCTGTAGAGTCCCGTTGGAGGTGATTTCGAAGAGACTGTTGAAGGTTAATTGAGAAAACAGGGTTGATAGTGTTAAAATGAACATACCACAAAGTGTTATCTGTTCGACAGGCGGCGTATGCCAGATCAATGGTCCTGTTTCCAGCCTGAAAACCGTATATGACATCGACATTATCCGGTTCTCCAGCATCTATCACTTGGAGCATCTTTCCGCTAAGGTCGAACACACCGAGCCCAGAGCCTTCTTCGGATTTGGTCGTCGTGATTATACGCGATTCAGATACGTTGCTTGGCGATATCCAAATCGCCGGGTCGTCTCCGTCGCCGCCGTACGCGTCCGTCTCGGTGACAGGCTCTACCACTTTGAAAGCGCAGTAGAGGCCGCCCCATCCCTCGTCGCATTCGCACACATTCGCTCCGACGCATTTGCCATGAGCCGAACAGTTGTTACGGCAGGTAAACGCCTCGCAATGCGCTCCGGCAAATCCCGCGAAGCATGAGCATGAACCCGCGCACTTGCTACTGTTACCCGTCTGGGAAAAGCCGCTGAGATTGCATTGGGAACGAATAAGGGTAGAAGCGTTAAGAGATTTCTGGCGAGGGTCGTAGGCGGTATTTAAGTCTAGGCCCAGCTCGTTGAACGCTGATTCCAGAGAACTGACAGCAAACGCTGTGCCAGAATCCGAGTCAAGTGCGTAGGTTAGTGCGCCAGCTGGGTATTTCTCTGTAGGCGCTTGGTAGACACTGAGACCCTTGACTTCGATGCCATCATCTCCGGTAACTGTCGTAGAACCTAGTAATGTGAATGAAGTGTTGTAGATGGCTACGACGTCGTCCTGGGCAACCAAAAGGTAATCATAGTTGGTACCGAGATAGGCGGTAAGTCCAGTTACTTCGTCGTCAGCTTCTCCCAAGACGCTTATTTCAGGCGCCGTGGTTGTTTCAGCTGCCGCAAATGCGTAGACCTTGGAGCTACCCTTGGTCGTGAAGTAAACGGACTGCGCAGACAGAGACACAGCGCAATCAGAAGCTTCGACTTCCGTGTCGAATGTCTGGATCTCGACGATTTCGTAAGAACCATTGCGGGCTCTCATGAGAAACTGCACTGCTTGACTCTTGCCGAACAGGTAGAGGTACTGCTCACCGCTGCTTCGGCTTTTCCAAGGGCAAAGCGCTGACCAATCGCCCAAGGTATGCGCGAGTGGTTCACCGATTTGCTCAGAGGTGCTTGCATCGTAGAGGCGAAAGTACGAATCCGGCTGAGCGATAGTCGCAATGAGGTCCTTCCCGCCAATACCGTATACGGTCGTCACGAGTTTGGTTCGTCCCGGTGTCTCGTGGCTCGTCTCCGTCAGGTTGGTTTCGCTATCTAAATCGAACGTACGGAAACCGCCTGTACTAGCACCACCGTCGTTGCCGACGAGGATAGGGCGCGCAGAATCGTAAACAACGGCCGTGAAGCCAGAATCAACCTCGTCTGACTTTGCTGAAATCGGCAGGTCGGCTTCCAATGCAGCGGCAGCGGCGGTGGTAACACCTGCAGCAAGCGAGGCGGCAAACAAACTAAAGGATCTCATGCTGACGGGACGGGCTACGCATTCCAACGCAAGGGAGCGCAGAATGAGGGAATTTACGCGCAGCCATCGTCGTCCGCTTTAAAGCAATCGCAAATAAACAATTCTCGCATGCGGTAGTTCGAACGTTACAGTATCTCTGGGACCTCATCCATAGGCATCCCTGTGTAAATCAGACCCGAAACATGCCCGTGCTTATATACGACGACGTCGTTGGTGACTTCATCTCCACGCCAAGGAGCTAAAGAGATTCGCCGAAATTCGCCTTCCGATTTGGCCATGGTTGAGAAATATCTGGCCGGCTTTCAAGGTCTAGAAGGAAAAGCAGCCGTTTTTATGGCAAGAAAATCGGCGACGAAGGTTATTGGACGCGTAATGAATATTAAGTAAGCTTAATTATGAGGAGGGATCTTGTGAAGCATTGGCAACGTGCTCCCCTTTTTATATCCCCACATACTAAGACGAGATCGGCAAGGGTTACGCCCAGCTGGGACCAGCCGAATGCAAGATCTATCAGCTGGGATTAAGTAGATATGCAAATGCATAAATGGTTCATATCTACATCATAAACATACTGGACATAAACCATAGATGTATTATGCAAGGCCTACATAGGTACAAAAGACGCTAACCTGAGTCCTTTTGACTTTATTGATGGAACAATCTTATTGTTTATCTCCAAATGATAACAATTTGTTAGATTGGTAACATCGTCATCGCACATCCCCTGTCCTTTTGCTCGGTATCGTACCCCAGCCGCAGGTTTGACGGTTTGCATGGCGATAAGTACGACGATGCCAACCTATCACCTTGCTCACCTTGTCATTGGGAATCCCAAGAAATCCAAGAAATTCCACAAAACCCCGGTGCCGTCGTGCCGAGCCAATACCAACCCCGGAATCCACTTGCAAAGCTTATCTCACCTCGCGGATTCTCAAATCGTGATTGGTAGCACAGGGGGTTGGCCTTCTGAAATAGGAAGTGACACATTCGCATCGGGATGCGGGATGAGATATGGGTTTGGGGGTTTAACCCTACAGTAAAAGTCTTCTGAGCCCTTCTGGGTCCTCTGAAACGAAACCCGAGCAAACCTACGGAGTATCCGTCGTCTTTTCCCGAGACAAATATGAAGTCTAGAACTTGCATGGACTGACGAAGGTACGAACGATACAAGGTACTAAGCACAAACTCGATAGGTTGGGCAAAACGAGCCTTTGTGCAACGAATAGACGAGGCAGATAGAATGGTTGGACTATACAGGGCATGACCCCCGGGAAGCGATGATAAAAAGTGGCATGCTATATCCGCCATAGCAGCAGCCCATCAATCAGAGCTGGCAGATTTCAAAGTAACTAGCCCAGAAAGATCATCGTAGCTATCTAGAATCCTTCGGCGTCGTGTGCCACAATATGGTTGGCGTTGTACATGTACCATCGTAATGGTTAATGGTGACAATACTGGGTATGTACTATGCACAAGTAAACGTCTATCGGGATGGTTAACACGTTCATTTTTTAAGTACCGGCACATATTGCAACATCTTACCTATGGACAGTCGTTATTCGACGTCTGAACGCAGTCTATCAGTCCATCAAGACGCCGACTGCTGGAAATGTCCAGTCGATATATTGTACGACAATTCTCCGGTCGATCCGTATACCATAACACACCAACTTACCTAGATATGGAAATAACAACTTTATAGAGATTTGCGTACTAAGTACTGCATGCTCGTGGAATATTACCAATCGCGTATCTAGCCTGAGACAGGACAGGCTTCTCTTATCAGCCCCAGAGTTCAGCTCCAACTTCGAACCTGCTCTGCAACACGCTCTGCCATACGCTCTCCAATCTTTAATATAACAACCAGAGCCGTACCCGGATTAGGCCGCACTCTTTTCGGGCCGTCCGTAGAGGGATAAGTGGTATTCTCAGCTTCTTCAGGCTTCTTCTTCAGATAAGGGGTATAAGGGATCGATGCTCCCCGTCCTGCCGTCCCTCGGTGACTCAACTTTGCATCATCGCAGCAACGGCTAACACGCCAGTTACACACTCGCGTTGCCACGGGTGGTCACGACTGCCCAATGCTCACCGATAAGCCTGCAGACATAACTAACATACTATCTACATATACACGCGCCTCGTAATCTTTTTCCTTTTCCTTTTCTAGAAGCTTTCCTCCCCTAAATTTCCACGCTTCCGCTTTTCATACCCCTTAACCCCAATCTTCAGCCTGAATCGTCAGCTATCCCCCCCAACGCGACGCGATCGACCATGGAGGTCAATGATTCTCCCCGCGGCACGCCTGCCTACCAGGGTAGCGGCGATAACATTCACGAGAAGCAGAACCCGATGGCCGACCACATCTACAACGGCGACCACGGCGCCGAGACCGCGCTCCGACGAACCCTCAGCACCCGTCACTTAACCATGATCGCTCTCGGTTCCAGTATCGGCATGGGTCTGTGGCTCGGAAGCGGCAAATCTCTCGCGAGCGGCGGCCCTGCAGGTATATTTCTCGGTTACTGTCTCGCCGGCTCGATGATATGGTGTGTCAGTCATTCCATCGGTGAAATGGCTTGCATGTACCCTCTCCCGTCTGCCTTCGTGCAATGGACTGGTAAGTTTGACACTGTCTATCTACTAAATCAACATGTTTTGGACGCATTAACTAACGTGAATGGATTGAAGGCAAGTTTATCGACCCCTCTGCTGCTTTTGCTCTGGGTTGGTCTTACTGGTTCTCGTACTGGTTAGTATCACCCGTCTCTCCTTTCTCCTTTCTCCACAATTCCGTTCCCACCAGATATCATCTTCCCCTGAGTCTGTTCAGGGACCTCCAACCTATTCTATGGCTGTAGTTACATACCATCTCGTCAGAAGAGTTCCGTCACTAACTGCACACATCTGCAAATCATATAGTATCACGATCGCGAACGAATTACAAGCTACCAACACAATCATCAATTTCTGGACAAGCGCCGTTCCCGTCGCGGCATGGATCAGCATCTGGTTCGTAGTCATCGTGCTCATCAACGTCGGTGCCGTCAATCTGTTTGGCGAGATCGAGGTTGTCGCCAGCACGATCAAGTTTGGTTGGATCTTCGTTGTTATCATCTCCATGATAGTCATGTCGGCTGGAGGCGCGAGCTACGGCCCGGTGGGATTCCGATACTGGAACGAGGAGCCCTTCACGAACGGGTTCAAGGGCTTCCTGAACGTCATGCCCACCTGTATCTTCGCCATGTCCGGGTCCGAGAACTCAGGCCTCGTTGCCGCCGAGACGGCAAACCCGCGAAAGTCCATCCCTCGCGCCGTCTCTTCGATCTGGGTCCGTCTCTCGCTGTTTTACCTGCTCGGATCGCTGATGATCACCATCAACGTCGACCCGCACAATCCGAACCTCTTCGGCCAATCGGGCACCAACGCGTCGCCCTTCGTCATCGCTTATTTCGACGCGGGCCTCCCCGCCCTAGCTCACATCATGAACGCCATCATCCTCATCTCGGTCATCTCGACGGGCTCCATCTCGGGCTACGGCGGGTCGCGCACGACCATGGGCCTGGCGCACCTGCAGATGGCGCCGAAGAAGATGCAGTACGCGGACCGGAAGGGCCGCCCCTGGTACGGGCTCGTGCCGACCTTCATCCTCGGCGGCGGGCTCGCGTACCTGAACGTCAGCGAGTCCGGGTCGGACGTGTTCACGTGGTTCTCGAACCTGACGTCGCTGTTCACGCTCTTCGGCTGGGGCATGATCTGCCTGTCGCACATACGCTTCCGCGCGGCGTGGGCGCGGCAGGGGCACACGGCCGCGGAGCTGCCGTGGCGGTCGTGGATCTACCCGTACGGGCCCTGGTGGGGCCTCGTCATGTGCGTCCTCCTCATCATCGTGCAGTTCTACCTGTCGGTCTGGCCGCTCGGCGACGCGCCCAGCGCCGAGAACTTCTTCGCCAACTACATCTCCATCATCCTTATCGTCGTCATGTGGCTCGGCGCCAGGCTGTACTACCGCGGCCGCTGGTGGATCGACCTCGACACCATCAACCTCGACGAGGGGCGCAGGTTCTACGGCGCCGACGTCGAGAAGGTGGAGGCCAAGGGTGCCTTGGGCAAGGCGAAGAAGGTCATCGGCGCTGTTCTCAATTAGGTCGTGCGTGGCTGTTCCCTGGTTGAGGAGGTAGGTAGGTAGGTAGGTAGGTAGGTACTACGTGTGTAAGGCGCAAGGCCACCCGTGTACATAAGGTTGAATCGGGTACTAACGAGTGGCGGTGTTTGGGCTGTATATGTTAGGCATTATTTACCTACACTGCCTACACTGCAACGCAAATATTAATTAAAAAAGTACTAAAGTAAATTACACCGCTCTGTTTTAGTAGGTGATATCTTTGCTGAGAAGTCCGTTCTAGACTTGATGTGTTCATTAAACGTTGTTGAAACGGTTCGTCCCTCCGTCGGACACTGTACTTTGACGTCTTGGTTGTCCCCGATCGATTTGAGGTGTGAATTTATTAAATATAGTAATACTAGCCTCATTGGTGCAGGATAACCCTTTCGTTGTTAATAATACTCTATCTGTATACCTAGGTTAGGTGGGTATTGATGCTTGTGATGCCCAAGAAAAATAATTGAGATTACCACGATATTCTTTCGTAGATCACCCCTTTTACAGTCACACATGGTAACATGATAGTCCGAGCTGTATTAGTGAAGAACTAGTGCAATGCGGAGAACCTAGTTGTAGATCTCATATCTTGATATATGCCTAGAGCTACATTAGGTAAGAACAATAGTTAGAATACAATGCGGTGGATGAACGGCGTATTTAACCGCCATGGCAATGGATATCATCGAACATTTAGGACCACAGCGGAGATCAAGAGGTTCCGACACAGGCATTTCCATGGCAGGAGCTCGGTTCCGGGCGTCGATATTTTACCGTTTTCCTATCTAAGATCCCCTACAGAAAATGGAATGGCTTTAGAAGGCCAATCTATCCCGCGCAGGAACCAAATTCACCTAACTCGGTAGAAGACTGTAACGTCGGATTTAATGCCTTTCGTTCCTTATTGAAATATGTCACACATTGCACTCATAACATAATACCGAAGACGACAAATGGCACAATTAATGATATTTCTTTCTATTTTCTTAACAAGTGAGTACTTACTATGACCTTTACCCAAGCGCTTAGGCCAAGAGTTTCATATCCAATAAGTTTCGTACTAAGTTATCCATTTGACTGGCAGTCGTTGCCAGCCAGGCTAGACACATAGAGAATGGTATATGGGTTTATAGCTGTTCTGCCTTGAACCCTTAGGAGTATTCTGCCTCCTATTAATACCTAGCATGGGACAACTACCAGTTAAAACAATACTTTTAAAATCGGTGAGGCCGCATGAAAAAGCCTTAGTCTGACAGGTAGGCACACATCTTGTGTCACAGTAGCTCAACTATCAGCATCAAATCATAACACATCTGTATAGGTAGATATTTACCTATGGAATAGAGGGTGGATGGTGGCGCAGTCCTTCCATTCACAAGTTTGGAGATGCATATATGCCTTGGGGCCCCTTCAAAATCTGGGCTTTTTTTTCAATTGCTTACTTTCCCGCTTCATCGTTGCAAGGCTGGTTATGACAGCGCTGGAACATCCTACGATATGTTAGACCCATTCTCTGTAGCGGGATCTGCGGTTGGCGTTGTGTCTCTTGGGCTAGAGGTCCTCAAGGGCCTTACTTGGTACCTGAGTTCCATCAAAGGAAGAGAACAGGAAATAAAGAGCTGTAAAAAAGAGATCGAAACATTATCATCAGTACATAGCTCATTGGAAATCATCCTGTCCTCGGTTAATATTGATGTTATTCAAGAATGCCTCAAAGGCAGCAAGCTGGAACTAGAAGAGCTACGTCAGCTTCTGGAGGAACTGAAGAATACTTCGACCTCATCGACCTCATTAAAGGGAAAAATAAAAGACACCGGACACTCTATTATATACCCTTTCCGCGAAAGACAGATGAACTCGCTTCGCCAGACCCTACAGAGGTTGCTGGAACACTTGAACTTGGCTATCACCACGACATTACTGTACGAATAATTACCACTCATTCCTTCAAGTACCTATTGCTAATCTTGTGCTTCTAGGAGATATACAGTGGACCATGCCCGTAAAACCACTACAATTGAAACCACTGTTGAAAATCTGCGAGATGAGTTCCGTATCCAAAATAGCGGATTTAGGGATATCTCCACGCAAATCCAGTCGTTGCAGACCACTCCCATTCCATCAAAGCAAGAACTGTATGACATGTTCTCACAGCTGTTCGATGAAAAGATATCGGTAAGAACGGTATGATACACTTAATAAATTATTCTCATTGAGTACTGATGGGCTGATTTCAAATTTATCAGTTTGCAGAACGAAGTCCAAAAGGGAGCGAGTGCAGTCCTGTGGGGCAGATATCTTCACTGCGCTCGAGTCCTTCCAAGCCGCAAGAGGCCGTTGGTCTTCGTGGAACGAAAGCACTCACAAATCGTCCCAAAGTCGTGTCACCGATTTGCGACTGTCAGCTGGCGAGTCACGCGGTCACCTACACGAATACTTTCTGCGGTGTCAGAATTCGACGTTTTCAGCGGACGACAGAAAAACATCGCCCGGGCTGCATATTCTATGGAATTGATCGTAAGATAGAGAGAACTATGGAGATGCAGCTTTCGCTGAAGATGAAATGGCTATTCGCAAGTGCAATTCAAACTTCTATCGCACTCGCAATAGGAAGCAACAATCCAGGAATCTCGATACGATTGAAGAATTTCGTTCCGAGGAAAAACAGCCCATTCTACCGAAGTGTTGATGCGTTATCTGAGTCGATAATTTCTCGTTCAGATTCAAAACCACCCGAAGTTCTCATTCAGATATTCCACGATTTTCGGTGTGAACTTTTCTCGCTGTATAGAGAAAGGAAAATATCGCCAAATGATCGAGACGAATATGGCCGAAATCACCTCGATGTAATGATACCCCAAGAAAAAAAACCTTGGAAGTTTCTGCGAACCAATACTGATAATCACGTAGATTCTGTTGGACACAACGAGTTTTAGTCTCGAACAGATATTGGCCATTGACTCAATCGCGACAGTGTTCATACAGCTGTTGTGTGATTTGGCAAAGCTTGTACGAGTCGACGGCGAGAAAATGCAAGTCTGACTTTTTGGTATCATTTATATTCATTCTATTAACATATTATAACCTGTCTAGCAAATTTCAACTCCTTATTTATTACTTGGGTCATTCTGCACTTCCAGATAATTGGACAAATTATCAGCGCATGGTCTCGAGCCTTGCGACAATAATGGAGATCGACTTCAATTTAGTAATACGCCCCTTTGATTACAGATACGATTGGCCTAGTATTTTGGCACATTTTCCAGAACTCATTGACGGTAAGCTACACATGTCTAAGGAGAATCCCGAACTTTGCTAAATATACTTACATCTAGTAGTAGCAATGGATATTCATCCAATTGCTGGTGCAATATTATCTCGATCCCTCATAGACCTGGAAGAAATTATATTGCGCGATCCTGAGGCGCCAATGGCGAGGATATTAGGCCTCACAACTCTCCAGCTATGTGCATCCTGGCCAGAGGGATTGCAGGCTTTACTCAAAACAAAAGCTAAAAGTTTGATCGATCTTGTAGGCGATTCTCCTTATCATCGGACACCTGTTTCGAGGGCCAGTTGGTATAATTGGGCTGAATCAGTGGATATCCTTATGAAAGCAGACTGTCAATGGGATGCGTATAGGTGGTTTCGCCCATTTTTCAATGATATGAATCTGAAAAATCTGTCGAGCGAAGTGGTCTCGGTGATTGCTTCCAACCTAGCTGAGAGGAGACGGAATCTACTCAGGTTGGCCGAGCAAGAACTTAGGATCCCCCGACACGCGGACCCATCCTACGTTCCAGATTGTATTGCAGCAGATCTCTGTCGGGATTTAGATCTTGCTGGTGTCTCTTTCCATCCATGCCTCAGGGTTTCACAGTCATACGAAACTATCTATCATATCCCATTGTGTCCGATTAAGGTCTTCCCAGCGTTCTTCAAAGAGGGATTCCAAGACTGTGCTGCGCACGATAGCACAGGATTAACTCCAGCCATGATCTGGAGACACTATAATTGGGAACGCCAGGATACGCTGTCAGCATTTCTATGGATGTGCGAGCAAGGGCTGCTCGATCAAAAAGCAGAGGACCCTTTGAGGCTGGGGCTGAATGTACATGCTACTGGTTGGCATTCCATTGCTAGCATGTTTGGTGCAACATATATCATGTCTCTGGCTTATTATGATCCTCAGCCTCCAATGGGATGGGAAATAATGAAACGATTCTCCCGGGTCGAAATGAGGGACGAGTGTGTTTGTTGGTGTAGTATTGACGGCAAGGGATGTTCCCCCCTTATGTCTTTGTGGAAAGCGCATGCTGCACGTGGCATGAACCTTGAATATGGGGGATGTTACAGTCTCATTTCTAGACAAATAAGGCATCTTCTCTTTCACAACGACAGCATGTTTAGCATGAGAGAGAACGGACCGTCATCACTACTACTTGAATTTCTGCGGTTCATTACCTTCGAAGCCCTCGACATGAAGCATACTTGTTGTGTTCTGAGTCGAGTGGACTTATCAAAGAGGAGCTGCCATATAGTAACAGAGGACATTGAGTATGCTTATTGCAAAGAGAAAATTGTTCTCGCTCATAGGGACCAAAGGGGAGTTAAGAGAACTCTGGCAGATGATTTGGAGCAAGAGAACGCCCAGACTTTGGAATTGCTAATGAAAGACTTCACTGAAAAGCTAAAAACGATGGAGCCGTCTCCCAGAGCATTGGAGACTTTCCTCTGGGGTTACTGGCGACGGCGTATATCTGAGCTCTACTCTGTAAACACTGAACTCGTAAATGAGATGGGCCGAGAATTGAGAAACGTACAGACACGTAAGTTCAACCACTGCAGAAATCAAGAAAGGCGCAATCTTTTATTAATATTATTCTTTTCCAGATATACTTTCTGAAAGAGTTCTGAAGTTGCTCGGGGAAGATTTTGGCTTGTTGAGGTACAATACCCGGGAAGCATCGATGGGCAATGATGACGATGACGACGATGCAAGCTCAATAGAAGATATTGACTTACCACCCCACTGTCCAATATGTGACGGCGAAGACAGCGATAGCGACGACATTGACGAAGGCGACGAAAGTGATGATTATGAGGATAGCGAGGACGAGTGAATAATTATTGCAGTGGCAGTGGGCGAGTGCAGAAACCAGTTTTTTACGAGGACTAGAATGTGTGAGATGAGGTTATTGCAGCAACTGTTATTCTGCCGGTGTTGACCAGCTTACTAAGCAAGTCCTCTAGATATTCTAATGCATAGACCACCTAATCTTTTTGCTTAGCCTTACTTTCAAGGATCTGAGAATAATCAAGAGTAGGTAATTATTTCAACCACGAATTAGTCGATGTCAAAGTCTTGTAGAATAGTGCAACTAGCATCATTCGACTCAGTCTTTCAACGGCTTCTAGAATAACTCTATAATCATTATATGACAATCTTTTATGAGGTTACATAATTGATTAAAAATACCAGCTCGTACTTGCGCACGGACCCTTCCTTTTAGAGTACTTTGATTTGTATGGGGATTTTGTATGGTGGAAAACGTACTAAAACGGCCAAGATTTTTTCCTTGTAGCTGGTAAAAAAGGCAAAAAGACCCCTCCTAAACTCGGGCAAAAATAATAACCTTAGGCAATGATCACACCTTACTTCACCTTAAACTAAGAAAGGGAGAAGTTTTTTCTGATACCCAAATCTTCTAACCTCAACCTCCGCTGCTCTCCTCTGACATATTACATTTGAAGAAGATTTCCGATTCATTCGTAGTCATCATACGTAGTTAGTAACACAGCCATGTTACCTCCAACCGTCATCAGAACTTGTCCTTCGCTGGACGACGACTTTCAGCCGTTGAGTGAGTACCAAGCTCAAACTCCGGAAACATTCTTCGACGGAAAGCCAATTCTATACTACCACGACGAGAATGTGAAGGCGTGGGTCTCGGCAGAACAACATGATCTCTTGTATATCTTCTCCAAGCCACCTGATGACGCCAATACGCCACTAAGCCCTTCCCCACCGGAGTCCTATGCGCTCGAAAACAACGGCGGGCAACACTTGCGTGAGGAGAAAGTCGAGGTATTCGTTGCGTCGAAGCGAGTACAATTCATATTCTCATTCGGATGGAGTGTCAACTAACATAATATCTATAGTAAGCTGACACTGTTTTCTCATAAGAGCGGAGCTGGCATCGAGATACCATACCCTGCTATCACGCTCCACGCAATAAAGAACTTCCGCCACGCGGAGAGACCTGATGATGCTTCATTCAAGTTCATTGGAGTCTACATGCAGATCGATTTTCCAGGATCGGGAGAAGAGGATGATCAAAGCTTTGATCCCATTGAACTCACCCTTATCCCCTTCAAGGCATCCTCTACGGAGACTTCGGTCGTTGATCCTGTGAATAGCGAAAGGGCTACTGCTTTGTTTAACCAGGTATCTGCGTGCTCTAACTTGCATCCCGATCCCCAGGACGAAGAGGAAGAGGACGAAGGAGAAGACAGTTTCGATCGTATCGTCTTTGAAGGAAATGTTGAGGGCGAAGCCATAGAAGGGTTACCCGGTGCTTTTCGAGGGGATGTCAATGGCGGTCTCCCACCCCCAATGCCGGGAAGCTCTGGTTGGATCACCGCCGAGAACGTCAATCAATACTTCGATGGAGACGGCAACTGGATCGGAGAGAATGGTGGAAGTGGTGAGCTTGGAGATGGAGCAGGCCGTGTCCGAGGGCGTGACGAAGTGGAGGGAGACGGTGCGGACGGTCAAGTAAACGGCGATGACGTTGACTTGAAACGTCCACGAACCGAATGAACGAACCGTGTTATGTAGCAGATCATGCCCTCATCCCCAGGGAGAGGCCACGGTCGGTCCGTCTCGCGGGCCTTGAGGCACCTGTATATCAATGGAATACATTTGCCTAGTAATTCACATGAACTGGGTTTCTTACCACAGTGAGTCTAATAACCAGTTTCCCACCTAGAAATTATGTTTCTTTACTTATTATCAGCCGATGTTAGATACCCAGAGAAGCTCGATTAATAAAGTGGACCCATAAACTCCCATAATCAAGTAATTCGAGACCCCGGTGGTGTACATGAGACCCTAATACGGCCAACTCCTCCGTACTCCTGAAAGACTATACTAGGATGCCCTAGACGGGCTAGGTAAGTTAACAACAAATATATAACGAAGATAAAAGGTATCAGGCAAACTGTTTACACGACAAAAGAAAAGAAAAATACACCCCTCCTCTTAGAAAGGTAGTAGTAACACAACCACGTCCTAACTAATCCTTCAGAAAACCCTCCGTATCGTATAAGCTTTCCACACTCGCCCTCTTAACCGTCGTCTCTTCGCGCCTCAACTTCGTAGCATGAGTCCGGAGCCGTTCAGCGTACTTCGCAGGACTACCCCCCACCTTCCCGCCACCGCTCTTCACCGCGTCCAAGCCCCCCTGCAGCACAACCGTCCCCCTCCGCGCCCTCGACACGCTCGCGCTCCGCACCGGACTATCCCTTTCCCTATCCCTTGGCCCCCGGACGCTCCTCCTCAACCCCGCCCCCGCACCCGCACCCGCACCCCGATTCTCCTCCGCACCACCCTTCAGCGCGCCCCCGAGCGCGAGATAATTCCTGCCCCCGCCGCCCTGGCGCCCGGGACTGAACCCGCCGCCGCGCATGAGCGGCACCGTGGCGCTGGCCGTGCTCTGGTCGCTCAGGACGCTGACCTGGCTGTTCATGCGCCGCAGCTCCGTGATCGCCGCCGACATCCGCACGCTCTTGCCGCGCTTCGCCGCCGTCAGCGACCGCATCGGCGGCACTCGGTCCCCGTTATCGTCCTGGTGGTCCTGGTCCTGCGAGTACAGCGACCCGTCCGACGGCATGCTGCGCCGCGGCTTTAGGGGAGAGCCTGGCAGAGGGGCCATTATTACCGTCGTCGTCGTTGTTAGTGTAGGCTGTTGTGGTTGTTGTGATTGTTGTTGTGGCGCCGACTTGGGACTTGGGTGTGGTCGGATCTTCTCGATCGCGCTCTCGTAGCTCGGGATGCGGAATCCGACGCGTGATTCGCGGCCTGACGACGATGTCGGAATCTGGCTACTGAACTGCGAGGGCGAGCCCGGGCCCGAGCACCGCGGCGTCCTGTCCCCGTCGCCCTCCTGCGACTCCCCGTGCGCGTACGTGTAGCTATCGTACACGGACGACAATCCGGCCTCGGACACGGTGGGGCTGGGCGCGCGCCGCGGGTTGCTAGGAGAGTTGAGGATGGACCTAGGCGACGGCATCGCGGTCCTACGAGCCGGCGACGGCGTCGGCGTCTTGTCGAACTGGCTCTCCTGCGACGGGTTCCGGGTGCCGGGCGAGGAAGAAGAGGAAGAAGAGATGGAGTGCTTCGGATCCGACTTCCTCCTCCTCTTCGGGAAGTCCACGGGCAGCGGGGAGAACACTTTCGACAGGCGAGCCGGGTTCCGCGGCGTCGCTTCTGCGACGACGGTGAACGGGTCGTCTTTCTCGCTCGGCGCGTGCACCATGAATGTGGACCTGCTGCTCTTGGGCAGGTCTACGGATTTCCCGTTCTGTCGCGATGCAGGGCGTGAGGCGGGCGTGTTGTTGGGGACGACTGTGCCGCCGAGGGTGCCTCGGCGGATGCGTAGGGGCGACGGGATGTCGTCGTCGTCGAATTTGCGCGTGGGGCTCTTTGCTACGTCTGTCGCTCCCGAGTTGCGGTTTGACCTAAGCATGCCGAACGCCGAGAGCACTTTCTCCGGAGTGCGTCGAGGCGTGTGCGCTGGGCTGCTCCCGAAAACTAAATCCGCGGCCGGTGGGCTGCGGATCGACCCCTCTTCCATGCTGTAAAGTGTGGATAGGGCGGACGACATGGTGCTCCCGTTGGAAAATGGACGGGACTGTTGTTGCTTCTGTCCTTGCGGACTAGGGGTCGGTTCATTGGACCTGGTGACGCGGCTCGGACTGGATAGCGCGGTCCGTACTTCGCTGAGCGATTCCCGCCTGGGAGCCACGAGGCTGTCTGGCTCAGATACCATTGATTGTTGCGACATCCGCGGGTTGTGGGATGGCTGTCGCGAGTGTCTCGGCGTCTGCATCTGCCGTTGCGGAGATTGGTTCTTGGGGGTGCAGCCTTCTAGCTCCGCGTACGACATCGTCGCCGGCGCGCTCTTGTGGCTCTTAACGGGACTTACGTCTCCGCTATTTGTCGGGTCGTAACTGTAGTCTATCGGTTTGCCATCGTGATAATACTGGCCGTTCATCGGTCTTCCGGTGGAGTATGGTGTATATGGCATATACGGCGTCATTAGGGTCTGCCGTCTCTCGCTCCTGAGTCCATCCTGGAGCCTTTCGGCGGTCATGCGCAGTATCTCTGTCAATTCCGTGTCCGTGGCGCTGTGATCTAATATCGGCCGTCCTCGCGTCTGTCCCTGCTGGCCGTTGGACGGAGCAGGCAGACGTGATGTGCCTGCCAACTGCTGCGCCGCCTGGAACGAGACTCTGTTCCTGTATCTCGGGTTGTGGACAATATCCGGCGGTGACTGAGCCGGGTTATTAGATCCGGAACCAGGACTAACCAGGTTGGTGGGGCCGTACGATCTCTGAGGACTGGGGTACATCTGTTGCTGCTGCTGTTGCTGCCGGTTTGGACTCGGCGTCGTCGTATAAGAAAAGCGAGCCCCCTGTTGGGCCTCTCTGGCGCTCTTCTCGGCGGGACTCTCGACAGGCGATTCGTAATGCTGTCCCGCTCCCGGAGGCGTATCCGTGCAAGGAAGCGTGGGACTAATCTCGCCCATCCCGCTCCTAGTCGATAGCCTGCTAAGTGAGCGGCTGAGCCCGCCGTCGAACCAGCTCACCATGCGCCTGTGCTTCAGCTTCGTGCGCTGGGGCGACGTGATGGTCGGCCCGTGCAGCGCGTCCTCGTCGATCCACGACGTCTTGCGCCGGTGCGTGTACACGCCATACCCGCGCTGCTTCTCCGGGTCCCGCGACTTGCCCAGCGTGATCTGGCTCTGGTTCGCCGTCTCCACGCTGCCGCGCCGGCTCCCGTTCCTGCTCTCGTCCCCGATAAAGCTCAGGCTGCCCTGCCGAGTCCGCGTCGGCGACACCGCCGTGAAGCTCGAGCGGCTGCTCTCCTCGGGCAGAACGTCCTCGTCGTTGGCGTCGTCCTTGTCGTACTTGGTCACCTGGCCGATGATGCTCCTCTTGCGCAGCCGGTTGGGCCCGGGCACCTCTACGACGCCGGATTCGACGGTGTTGCCGAAGGCCGAGTTGGACTTGCGACGCCGCGTTGTTCGCCGCGCGAGCTTGACGAGGATCCCCGCGACGACGAAGAACAGGACTGCGGCGCCGCCGATGGCGATCCCGGCTATGGCGCCTGTTGAGAGGATGGCATCGGAGGGGGAGGCAACTTCTCTCCTTGTGTTGTTGGACATTGTGTGTTGTGTATATTCCGTAGCTGTATAATCCTAAGTTATGGTTCCCTATTCCCGGCGTGCGTGCTCGTACTCAGAACAAAGCGTATTCTGAAATATATCGGTGTCGACGGCTTGCTATCATGCTATTTGGCGAATCGTATAATAATCCCGAAGGAGCGAGGACGTCGTGAACTTTCACATCAGTCTTACTTAGATGCAGTAACGTTTGTTGGAAATGAGACGGGAGAAAAGAAGCACGATGCGAATAGATGAGGATAACTCGCAAAACAAAACACAATCCCGGCGGTAAACACAATCTACGCTCTCGGAATGCGTCATCAGAGGCCTCAAATTTCACGTTGGAATGCGTTGCTATCTCGGTGTGCGTGCTGAGTGTGCTCGGGTGACTCCTCGCATTCCAGCCGGCAACAGTGTCATCCCAGGCTTCCGAGACAAGAAATTGGGGGAAGATGCACTGGTATCCTACTTATTCCACACCTACCTAGGTAAGCAAGACGATTAAGATTACGATAGTTCATGATATACTCTACTAGAGGCGTTAGCTTTTAAACCCATTCAGCAGTACTACACCAAGGTAGTACGAAACCATCACGCCACGAAGTAAGAAAAACGATCTCGATAACTAAAGCGAACTATCATCACTACCTAACGCAAGGTGGTGTAAAAAGAGAAGCTATTCACAGATAACGAACTAGCACGTCAGGACGAAGCAATAGAAAATTGGTGGCGAGGTCACTAGTTGCGATAACGAAACTCAGATTGATCACAGAGGACGGATGACTGTTTGGTTCATTGATGTCATTGAATTTCTTGAGATTTGTTTTTGATGCTTGTAACCTCAAGGCCCAGGGAAATTCGAAAGATCTCTTGCCGGAAGAGATACACGCCCAAAATCGAATCATCACCTAGGCCATGCATGTTTTGTATGTCTCAACTCTGCAAACAGACTCGCCACCCTATTGTTCGTCAAACGCCCAGATATGAATCCCTTATGCAATATATTGCCAGCCGAGACCGGCTTTGCATTGCGTAAAGAGATGTATGCAATCATTTCTGCATTGATGCCTTGCAATCCATCGCGTATGTCCTTGCTCCTCCGGAGAGGAGCCCCCCAATGTACTGAAAAGTTTCCGGGCGTAACGGAATCAGACCCTGAAACGTGATGCAAAATTTATCGCCAATTCCCATCGACGAGAAAATATTTCCACCGAAACGAAGAGAAGAGAATGACTAGGTTGATCACTTATGATCGTCGAGCATGGTGCTGGTGTCGCCATAAGTGCTTTTCACGCAGCTTTCGTGCAGAGATTGCCGGTTGGGACGTCACCGTCATAGTGGTCAGGACGTCATCAGTTACGTACACGACAGGCTCCATCCAAACTATCTCCTCGACTACGCCAGCGTTTGTGACCGTCTGGGTGCTAACAACTTCGTAGGACACGCCCGGCTGAGAAGCAACTTCCGGTGCGGAAGTAGTTGTGGGCGCAGGTGGCGCGGAACTCGAAGCGACACTCGAAGACGATGTTTGGGCCGCGGGCATACCGAGTGCATTGAAGGCTGCAGATGACGACGTTGCCGCCGACTCAATGAAGGCTCCACCCGTGGGGAGGCTGAGTGAGCTTGCGATAGATGAGGTGATTGGGGCAATGCTGGAAGATGCGGTTGCCGAGCCACCACCAAATACACCACCGAGCCAGCTGGTAGCAGCAGAGATTGCAGAGTCGATCGGGTTACCGCTGCCAGGAGTAGCAGACTGAGGACCAGATTGGATCGCAACGTTGCCTGGGAGACTCTTCAAGTCCGCTGCGGAGTCGTCCTCCTGAGCTAACGCAACAGGCATGTCGAACTTACAAGTGTTCTGCTCCGCCTCACTTTGGAGAGGAGTTGGGCTTACGAAGAGAGGACAGTCTCGAATGTCACCGGAGTCGCTCGTGCAGGTGTTAATAGCTTCCTGCAAGAAGTCTGCGTCCCAACCAGCCATGAAGTCACCGTGATAACCGAATCCTTTCATCTTCGTTAGTTATATGATGAGAAATTGAACAATGAGCTTACCAGTTGGATCGCCGTTAGAAACGACAAACTGTCCCTGTCGACCTTGGAACTGCTGCGCATTGGTGTTCCAGATAGTTTCGTAGAACAGAGTGACCAGGCGCTGAGGATGAGTGTCCGGGCAATCGCCATTTCCAACCAAGCTGGGATACGCTACGTGGCTCTTATGATCCGTTGAAGTTGTCTGGCCGTTCCAGCATGAAGGGAACATCAGTTCAAGACGGAGACCATCAGGGCAGTTCCCATCAAGGTAGGTCTTCTCCGGCAGGTAGTGACGGTACAATGAGGCCTCGGGCGTCTTATTATAGTCAAGACAGTTAAACCCAATGGCTCGTTGCTCCAGGTCATCCTGGCTAGTCTGCTTGAGGGCAGCCCAGTTGGATTGAGGGGGGTCAGGTGACTTCGGATCGCCGACAGTGTAGTCTCGACGGTAGTTGCTACCAGCAATCATCTGGAATCCAGCTGGGAAGGCCGTGACGTTATCTCCACGCAAGAGATAGTACCTATTATTAATATTAGTATCTTCAAATCCATCATCCACCACAAATAAGCAGAGATAAGGGTTGGTGTGGATACGAAAGTGAGGGAGGATAGCAATTAGACATTATATAGACTTGTAGAAGCGTACGTCGTGATTGAAAGGACGATGAAAGCAAACAATTGACTTACGCAAGCATGCCTCCAACTTGAGGAACAAGCTCAAACTCCTTCGTTGAAGCATCCTGGAAATAAAGAGCAGGAGTCCAATACGCCGACTTGTCTTGCGTGACGGCACATGAGGTACAATTACCTCCCATCAGATCATCGAAAGTAGCAGCAAGGTTGAAGCCTATAAGTTGGTTAATAAACTTGGTAAACATTTGATGAAATATACACATTGTCTTCATATCGAAGGCATATTAAAAAATCACAACCCAAGAAGTTGAGAACACTTACCAGAAGATCCATGGACAGTGTGGGTATGAGGCGCCACTTCGCCTAGGTCCATGATAGGGTCAATACGAGCTAGGCCTGTGCGGCCTCGGCACTCCATACGCCAGAAGGCTGACACATCAGTGACGGCGCTCAGGAGAGCGAGGACAGAAAGAGTCTTGGATGCCATTGTAAGGAAGTAGATGTCGGCGATGTTATAAAAATGCGCCGCAAGTACGATTCACAGTTGACAGGCTGTGGTTGTTTGGATGAATTTTTGAGAAGGCGCCGCCTTTCGAGATGTTCGTTGAGATAGTACGGCTCGAAAAAAAAGGGCGTATTCAGTTCACTTTCCTTAGGTCCTTATTTGGTCATTGACAAACACTGAGAGTCAATGATCAGGCGGAGTACAACTTCGGTAGTACGATGTGAATGATTGGTTCCAAACTTGGCCGGTCCCTTTGTCGATATCGGCAAACCACCGATGACCTTCGTCGCCTTTTGCTGAATTCCTTGATGTCGCACCCAACGTAACCAATGCTGTCGCCTGTCCTTTCCACCTCGACTCTCCCAAATCAGTTCCTTGTCCTTCCAAATCTACCCTTACTATCCAGAGCAGTCACTGCACTTCAATATCTGTGAATTTGCGCTGCGGTGGAGAGATGAAGTGCTGTGCGAAGTATGGATGGATTCCACGATTCGATATGTAGTCTTGGATGGATACGATTTGATGATTTTAGAAGAGTGGTGTCCACTAAGTTTCGAGATTCGTTGTAAATTCCTTGCCTATCACTAACCTCACTAAGACGGGTGTCAAAGACTTGTTTGCTTGCTGCTTCGGAGTCGTAACGAATGCGATCAACACAGGAAAAAAAGAATGTGATACTGCCAATAATCTAGATGGAAGTCTAGACTATTAGTCAATATGAGTAAAAGAGCGTGAGCTGACGATGAATCGTCGGTTGGTATGAATGAGCGGAATGCTTCGGCGGTGATGTGTAAGGGTGCAGACCCGAAGGGAACGAAAGAAGAGACGAAGAGAAGTTGGGATGAAGGGGGATGGTGAGAAGTAGTAGCGCGTAGAAAGGGCAAAGATCGCGGGAGGTAGGTGGGGACCAGTCGCATAAGGAGGTTGAGTATCGTGAGACAGTACGGGGTAGGGCAGGTACTATCCGGTACAAGGATACATCGCTACCCTAACAAGCCTAGTGACCCGTCAGGAGGTCAACTTTTGTCCTACGTGTACCCCACGATTACATAAGTAGGTATCTAACTCCATTAAAAAGGGTTCATCTCATGTATGTATTTCTCAGTACCTATGTACCTCTGTACCTACCTAGGTATGTGAGAAGGATCTGGTTTCGATCGTGTAATCCAGTTTGTATAATCACTTCCAACATGTGCAGTTAGGGATATAAGTTGATCTGCCTCCTTAGCTATCGATACATACATGATATTCATCAACACCCTCAAACAGCCCAAGGCCAGTCTGATAACGGTTCATAGGTTACGCAAGGAAGGGGCTTACTACAAAGCTTGGCGAGGTGACAATTCGGCTTTGAGAGAAACCCTAACCAGATCGTCATTCCTACCGAAGAAATGATTAGGCAGTTTACTGGATTGAGTTAGACCGTCTAGCCTATCAAAATTATATAATCAGGGGTCTTCTTTCCTTATTGGCTAGAAATATCCAGGAACGGTGAAGAACGACAAGGGGGTATACCCGCAGGTGCGACGCCCAATTCTCCAATCTCCAATCTACGGGCAAGAACACTTTAAATGCCGCCGCCGTAAACGCAGGTACAACATCATCCATCCATTCAATTCAAATCAATTTCAGCCATTAATCGGAGAACGGCGCAGCTAATGATACACAGCGTGACATCTTTTAGTGTGCCTAGATAACACACATACTGCCAGCTGCTCATGCGCCGTTCAAAAGTTTGCTTTACTGTAGGATAGTCGGAGGGGACATGGTGTAGCATAGTACATGTGTGAGCAAGTCATCAAACAAGTGATCCATCTCTTTATATTATAGATAATTATCTTTCATAGCTGCATGCTAACTGTGCACTACGCTGCTGGTAGTCGGACTAGCTACTTCTTTCCAATACATACAATTTGGAGACTCAACGCAAAGCGCAAGGACCTAGGTAGGATTCGGTTGCTTCTCCGATAACCATCAATAGTATGCGAATGCGCCTTATGTCATCCACAGCAACGGTACCGTTTCATTAGGTACATGCAGGTACTTACTAGACAGCTAAACTAAAGGAGGGGCAGAAGTCGGGATGGAAAAATTCCAGGCCCATGAAACAGTTTCAGGGACTAAAATACAAGATCAGCCAATTAAAACCCTTCGCTTTGCCTGACAATTACTTGCTTGGGAATGCAAACGTGGTCTACGCAGACACTTTCAGACCGAAGAAATATCCTTAAATTTTACACCTCAGCAGCCAGGCATATTCGCATAGGACTCTGTAGTCTCTTGAATACGTGTTCTACATAGTATGATCCATAGTACCCATTTGCTTTGGTTGCTAAGTAGATACATATGTATCTTCTACACCGTCAAATAGTTTTTCGAGTGAGAGTGTGATAGCGCCGCTTTATCTGTAGTGAAAACCAAGAGTCATGTTTAATTCAATGAATTATGAATTAAAACTGAAGCACAAGACGTCCTCTCATATCGGTCAATCGGACCGTGATTGGAATACACCCGTCCGGCACATGTACTTCGTGTACCAAAGATTTAGACGGGAAGAAAAGATGACGAAATGATCTACCGGTGGGAAATTTTCATATACGTAAGGCACAAGGTGTGATTGGTCGCTTTTTAGCAGATGCTGCTCAGCTCATCACAATTAAACTAAAACCATACAGGGCACACCCTGGATAATTACCCAGATGTACCTAACCTGCCTGCCCACGAAGGTCCTATGTAATAAGTTGAACGTTCCTCTCTCAAGCCTTACGTATCCAACAGTCTTCTATGCATATATTGTCCTCAATTGCAATCCTAAAAGCATCAGTCTCTGTACCTGCTGTATCCTATCCCTCAATTCATTCCCTCCCCATTAAATATTTTACTACCTCATGAAAATAGTATTTTCACATAATGTCTTCAGTATTAATGCAGTGATGAGCATAGAAGTCGACAAATTCGCGCCGTTTAGATAGTACGCAATGCCGAATGCTTACTCTAGCGGTAGCTTCCAAGTTGTTAAGCAACTGCCCAGTCTGCCAGTGGCTGAATATATTCTTGTGATGATCACTGCAATATAAAAGGGGGATCATCATCAAAGTCCTAAGTGTGTACATCGCGCAGGCATGGATCAGCATAGCCGCATGGGACAAGAGAATAATGACAAGAAACCGGTATTTAATATTAGAAGAATCGTAGCCTTGCAAGGCCGCTTTAAATTGACAGTGAAAGTAATAAAATTCGCTGAAGAGAGTAATAATATTCAGACGTTTGCATGGAGCAAATAGAGGCTACAAAAGGTGCAAATAGTTGAAGTTCAACATAGAACATGCTACTGGGAAGGCGGAGTCGTACGTATACATTAGTATGTACCTAAATGGGAGCTGAGCAGGTGATTGAGTGGGGATTAAACTGGATTACATAATAAACGGCCTGACGGCTTAAGCCACACACGGTTATCCCCGTAGCTTTAGTAGTATCAGCCACAATTTGACCCATATCTGAGTGGATCGTTGAAACGAACAGCTGGATCTGTTCAGATGCGACAGCGCATGGAAAACAATTCCTAGACGAACATCACGGCCGGTGTAGGCATGGAACTAATAATGTGGCATCCTTGATATGACGATATTGCCAATTCCTTCCGCGCAACGATGGATGATCTCTCCGGACTTGATTGGTCTTCAGCCAACTCTGGCAAAAGCAACAATAAACCTTCCATGAACCCGAAGCCGAACCCTATGAACCCACCTTCTTTCTACCCGAGCCTACGTCCGACCCCATCTCCTCAGCCTTCCGGCCGATCTACGCCCCTCTCCGCCCAAGGCTCCGGCTTCACTGCACCTAAGCCGACTACCTCCAAACCAGCCGCCGATAGCTTCAGTAACCTCGTAAGCTTTAGCGGCGCCAAAAGCAATACCAATTTAAGCCTTCGAGAACGGCAAGAGCAGCTCGAGGCTCAGAAGCGCCAGAAGGAAGAAGAAGAAAGGCGAAAGCTACAATCACAGTATGGAGGCGGCCAATTTTGGGATAATATCGCACAGGGCTCTACGCCCGCATCTCGAACTATCTCTCCGGCTGCCCACGCAATTGGTAGTGGGATAGGGACTCAGAATGGACATCAGAAGAACGACGACGACGACCTCTTTGCTGCATTCAATAGAGATACCCAGGTCGACAATGCCAGTCACTTTCCTCCGCCCGCGCACGAACAGTCAAGGAAAAACACTCCAGCGAGTGGACCTCAGCTTGATCTAACATCCGCCAATGCATGGAATAAACCTACTACTTCAGGTGGAGATCAGTTCGACGACGATGATGATCCTTTCGGCTTGAACAAGGTGAAGGGTCAACCACAGAGGCAGCCAACTAATGACGCAGAAGAAGATGACGACCTCTTAGGGGACCTTGGCAAACCGGTCGATGAAGTACGACGGAAAACTCAAGCAGCTCAGGCGGCTCAGGCAAAACCAGAACCGGGGAGGCCTATCGAGGATTCTGATTCGGAATCGGAACCTGAAGCTCCCCCGAGAGGAAGCAGCTCAGATCCATTTGACCAAGCCGTGGCTGAATTGGTCGACATGGGTTTCACGGCCGAGAACGCAAGGCGGGGTTTAACGGAAAGCGGTGCAGGTTTGAACGTCCAAGCGGCAGTCGGCTGGCTCTTAGATGATGCGCATAGACAGGCGCGCAATAAGCCGACTCCTTCAGAATCAAGTACAGAACGACCGAGGAGGGATGATAACCGTTCTAGAAACCGCGGCGGTCCTGCGTGGATGAGTGAGGACCAACATGATGATATTCCTTCGCAAACAGAAAACCGGTCACCGGTTTCAGGAGATGACTTTTCAAAAAGAGCAGCAGCAGTGAGCTCGAGCTTCTTCAAAACTGCCAATTCTCTTTGGAAGAGCGGACAGAAACAGGTCCAAAAAGCAGTCGCTGATTTCCAGGAAAGCGGCGATCCTAGTCAACCAAAATGGATGCGGTCAGCTCAGCTAGAAAGGTCACATTCGGGAGGGAATGTGTCTCAGACTGCCACTGATGAGGCTCTGATGTTGGAGTCCGGTGGGCCGCCAGATAGACAACCATCTAGGCCTACCCAAAGGCGACCTGACGAAGGTCGAGGTCAATCCCCGGCTCTGCCGAGTCGACCAGTTCCTCATTCCTCGGGGGCACCTAAATGGCAGCAAACAGCACAGCCGAGCGCGCGAGATCCCCGGGCACGGTTAAACAAGCAAGCTATTGAGGATCAAAGCGCACAAGCTTACGTCAGTCCCGCGAGAAGGAAGAAAGCAACACCTCAACCAGCACCCCAACCCGCGCCTGAGCAGAACCTCCTCTTCGATCAAGCTACTTCATCTAGGCCTCAGCGCTCTCCTCAGCCATCAGGCCCCGCAACTAAACCACCTACGCAGGCTCCTCCAAAACCCATTACACCGCGGCCATCCGCCCCTACTAGGAAGATACCTACCATCCCTTCGTCGGTGTTAGAAGCCTCTACACGACATCGTCTAGAAGGAACTGCACATTTCAAACGAGGAGACTACGACGCCGCACATACGAGTTACACGAACTCCCTAGCTGGCATACCACAATCGCATCCTATTTGCATTATTCTCCTTACTAATCGCGCGCTTACTGCATTGAAGACCGGCAGCCCTAAGCAGGCTGTAGGCGACGCAGATGCCGCCATTGGTATTATAGGGCCCTCCCACGGCGAAGGCGAGAAAGTCGCATTGCCTGATGGCGAATCCCGCGATATGAAAGATCTATATGGTAAAGCGCTCAGTCGGAAAGCGGAGGCGCTCGAACAGATGGAGAAGTGGGCGGATGCCGGAAACGTTTGGCAGCAATGTGTCGAGGCGAGCGTCGGCGGGGCCAATGCTATCGCTGGCCGGCAGCGGTGCCAAAAGGCACTTGCTCCCAAGCCCAAACCTACCCCGAAACCAGCACAGGCGGCCAAACCTCGACCGAAGCCATCTGCTATATCCGATCTTGGCCCACAAAAAAGCTCCGAGGCAGTACAGCGCCTTCGGGAAGCCAACAAAGCGGCCGAGGCAGCCGACGACGAGAAGTTCGCCCTCAGCGAGAAGGTTGACGCAAGAATCGCCGCATGGCGAGACGGCAAGAGGGACAATCTGCGCGCTCTCCTCGGAAGCCTTGACACGGTATTATGGGAAGGCAGTGGATGGAAGAAAATCGGCTTGCACGAATTGGTCATTGCAAACAAGGTCAAGATACACTACATGAAAGCCATTGCCAAGTGTCATCCTGACAAGGTGAGTTCCTCCTATCTCTGAGAGGTCGTCTACTATCCTATTCATCACAACATCGTTTCTAACGAGAGTATACAGCTACCGCAAGATGCAAGCACGGAGGTAAGACTTATTGCCGGCACAGTGTTCGCCACTCTCAACGAGAGTTGGGATAAGTTCAAAGCCGAGAACGGGTTGTAGATTCGAACAATGCCTTGAATGCCATAGAGTAAGGTGATATATCAAATTTCAAAAGAGTGGTTATAGAAATGAGAACACGAGTTTAGGGTGCGGCACAGAATCCGCCAGTACTAATTTGGAATTCCGTGAATGTTGAAGCCATGGCGCGGCGAGTATAAGGATTCCCGGGGTTCGGACGAGGTCGAACCAACAGTGGCAATTCGCCTTGGTTTTTGAATAGCATCAGTCCATTCTATTGTTACCCCGGATTCCCTAATTCCGGGGTTCGTCGCGTGGTGTCGTTCCCAGTCGGGCAAGTCAGCATACCGAGCACGCGTGTTTGTGTTGGACACCCGGACCTCCTGTATGCCTGTACTACCCCGGACCCTATCGATGTTGTTGAAGAATTCGTATCTCGTGCGAGTAGCTAGTATATCGCGCGAATTTCAAATTTCGGGACGAGTTCCGATCTTGTCATTCCACTGAAGATATGATTTATCATGATGAACGCGACGGCGAGACAATTTTCACAGCTTGGAGTCTTTGGAGGCTGCCAATTACCTAAGGCAAGATCCATTATTTCGTCCATACAAAGTGTCATCGCCGATATAAGACCGTTAGCGAGAAAAAGCCCCTGGTCGAATCGACGTCATATCCTGACCATTTTTCGCACCAGCGCTCCAAGTTAGTCCCTTAGTTACGTCAAAAATTTTCCTCTTCTGCCAGATATCCTTGGTCATACCGGTAAGGCTTCTTAGTGTACTCGTGCGAATTCGGGTTACCGGATTGGGAAATCCGACCACGATTCGTTCCTCTTAGCGTCGCCGCCGACGAGTTTCTTTCGCATCCATCTAATCCATTTAACCTTTCCGGTACTGTTGGACTAGGCGAATTAGCGTCCAAGTTTTAGTTGGTTTGCGGGGACCCTGGGCTGTTTTGGAATGGGGAATGGGGGGATCCTACTGCCTTTCCGGGGGAGGGCCCTTCTAACTTAGAAGGTGCCGCAGAAGAGCCACAGAATAGCCACTTCCCCTACAATCCCCTACCACTGGTTACCAAAGCAGCAAGGAAAGTTTACCTTTGCAGTTGCAGGTGATTTCCCCTAGATGGTGCGATCTTACCCGCGTGCCGCCCAATTGCTAATCGAATCATCTCACCCGCAATCTTCCTATCGGTCCCTCCGATTTCTACAACCTACAACCGTGACATCGGGAAGAGATTATCTTCAACGACCTCCTTTCATCCATGGCGCCGAAAAGTTCCAGGGCCTCCACATTCCAACAACAACAGTTCCACCGCCGGGTTCAGGTGCTCGGCCACTCGACTCCAGGTACCCGCTATGCTGTGTACGTAGATCCGACCGGGTTCGTGACCCCACCAGTGAGAAGACGAGGTTCCAGTTTTTCCCTACTTGCTGGTTGGTAACCCCGGCTTCTATACTCGAAAGGGTTGGAGTCAAGTTGCCGCTCAGCGGTCTATATCTTTGCCTCTTTGATCTCGCGGTCGCTGCTTATATCACCTTTACGTGGAATAATCATACATATATAGACGTGAATTACCCCCTCTTCAGTAGCCTATATCTCGAAGGTGAAATCCACTTCCTCTTTTCTCTTTTGCACCCTTCCTTTCTCTATTCGGGTCTAAGCCGAGCTGTCTACGACGGTACCAGCAGAGAGGAATTGATACTACCTTCTAAGGTAACACTGGCTACCAACCAGCATATGTACGACCCACATTCTGATCGACATAGGAAAATATAAAAGTCGATTGACGTGCTGATCTGCGTCCAGATTGATCTTACGGCCTATCTCTCTCGTTGACCACCGGACCAGCAGCCTTCTTTTATAAAGATAGCTGGATCATCTCGGCTTCTCATAGCTTTGAGCATATCATCTATCATTAGAAAGACGCCGCCCGTCTCATTTTGTTCACCATGGGGAAGTTTTTCGGCCTTCGCGGCCACTGGCTCAATTATGCCATAGGTATCATCGCAGGATGCGATTTCCTGCTTTTTGGATACGGTACTTTACCTCTGTCGCATGCAAACGGTATTCAAGAAACCTAACATGTCCTAGATCAGGGTGTAATGGGTGGCATCCTCACCATGCCTCAGTTTCTTGCAGACTTCCCCGACATAAACCCAAACGGCGCCCCAAAGAATTCTCCTGAAGCAGCAAGGCGATCCTCTAACCAAGGAATCTCCGTCGCTGCGTATAACTTGGGATGCTTTTTCGGCGCTGTCACCACCATTTTCATATCCAACCCTCTCGGCCGGAGGCGCATGATCATGCTCGGTACCTCCATCATGGTCGTCGGTGCCATCTTACAGGCTAGTGCTACGACCCTCCCGCACTTCATTATCGGCCGTATCATCACTGGTTTCGGAAACGGAGGTAACACCTCAACTATTCCCACCTGGCAATCCGAGACCTCGCGCTCCCACAAACGAGGCAAGCTAGTCATGATAGAAGGTGCTCTAATCACTTGCGGTATCATGGTCAGTTACTGGATAGATCTTGGCTTCAGTTTCATTGAAAACAGCAGCGTCGCCTGGAGATTCCCTCTAGCCTTCCAGATATTATTCTGCTTGTTCATTCTATCCTTTGTTTGGAACTTGCCGGAGTCGCCAAGATGGTTGATCCTCAAGGACCGCGAGGAAGAGGCACTGGAAGTCCTCGCGGCACTATCCGATGCTCCTCCCGATGCCCTGGAGGTAAAGAATGAGTTTATAGCTATTAAGGAGACCGTCATCGAAATGAACAAAGGCACTTTCCGCGACCTATTCACCATGGATAAAGACCGGTATGTCACAATATTGCATCTATCTACGGATTAGTTGCGCACTGATGCTCATATCTTGAAATAGGAACTTCCACCGAACTCTGCTTGCTTTTGTCAACCAAATGTACCAGCAAATCTCCGGTATCAACCTTATCACCTACTATGCCCCTGTGATCTACAGTGGTTTAGGCATGAGCGATTTCATGGCCCGGCTCCTTGCGGCTATCAACGGGACGGAGTATTTCCTCGCTTCATGGCCAGCTGTGTTCATCGTTGAGCGTGTCGGCCGCCGAAACCTTATGCTTTTCGGAGCTGCTGGACAGTCCATGAGTATGGCGGTCTTGGCGGGTGTTAATTCTGCACCAGACAACAAGAGCGCGCAAGCCTGCGCTGTCGCATTCCTGTTTGTTTTCAATACCTTTTTCGCCATTGGTTGGTTAGGAATGAGTACGTACACCCAGTTCCTTTTCCTACTCTTCAGCTCCTTCAAAAAAGTTTTTGTTTTTCTTCAAAATTTAATATCGTATCATTAAGACTTATCTTGCCTTAATCAATTTAACTAACTCTCCCGTAGCTTGGTTGTATCCTGCCGAGATCACGACTCTCAGAACCCGTGCGCCGGCAAACGCGCTGTCGACGTCATCAAACTGGATCTTCAACTTCCTAGTGGTGATGATCACGCCAGTCGCTTTCAACAGCATCGGGTACCAGACGTACATCATCTTCGCAGTTATCAACGCGTTCATCGTGCCGACGGTGTACTTCTTCTTCCCCGAGACGGCGTACCGCTCCCTCGAGGAGATGGACTCCATATTCCACAAGGTGCACGGCGGGAAGGGCTACTTCACCGTCGTCCACGTCGCCGCGAAAGAGCCCCGCCGCTACGGAAAGAACGGCGAGCTTCTCATCGCGTACGAGGAGACTGAGGAGCACAAGGCTCGCGTCGGCCCGCGCCACGAGCACCACGAGAATGGCAGCGGGTCCGCGTCGATCAACGACACAGAGAAGGCCCAGGGAGGCATGTTCATCGAGAACAACGGGGCTCAGTAGGAGTTGCTTGCGCGCTTGTGACTTTTGAGATACCTTGCTCGTTGTTTTTCTAAGGATTGGGAAATAGGGTTTGAAATGGATTGAATGGTGACACGTGACTCCCATATAGATCTAAAATAAGGGGTGTGTGCAAGGTGGAGATGGCGATGGGTGGATCTTCTTTTGCTATAGATATCCGACATTTTGATAGAACATACTGAAAGTATGAATGAATTGGAATTGGATATTGGCAAGGATGCTCGAGCGATGTTGTGACCTGTAGAATTATTGAGTTTAAGTCATGCTTAAGGGACTTTCTCATGAATGATGCCATCTAGCTTCGTAAGAGACTGGAACGAGTCTCGCGAAGAACCAGGATGATGAGAATCTAAGTATCATATTTTGTCCTGGGGAGTAGAATGAGTTCTATATGAGTTCTTTTAGTGTACTCCTACAATAAGTAGACTATCCATTATAGACAGCCCACAATCCCCCTATCAACTAACTTGAGTCGATACTCTATAGCTAATAAATTTTATCGTCTATATCGCGTAGGACGGCACAAAATATGAATCTTTTAACCTACATAGATACAGTACTAACTAGTTTCAACATTCAAACATGCATTCCCCCCCTATTGACCCACAGCCCAACGTGTGAAGAAATTATTATCATATATGGCTACCATAGGTAAAACTTTTTCATCCTGTCGCGGTTATTTTTCTTCTTGAGATTTGATATCCAACGCAACTAGGCACCTGCTTTCTCTTTATTTCGCCGTCGTCATCTGGTTTCCTTTCTTTGCTTAGTTCTACTCTTGATTACATTCTTTCTTAGGAGTACTGTATAATAAGACTAAGATTATTTGCTTATAATCCTTCGCTCACATTGCTAGGGTTATGTACGTGCTAGTAGTTCGACAATTATAACAAACCAATCCATTTATGATTCCTAACCATGCCAGAAAACATGCAAACCTCCAAGTCTATCTAGTTTAGGTACTATCTGCTAGCTATCAAGAATTTAATTTGATATTTACAAACAATGTTGGTAAATCTCGGTATTCGCACTCTCTCCGTGTCTCAAGGGGGTGTAGAAAAGTAGCCCCTATTTGTGGTATGACGTTTGGGAAGTTCCACTATTAGAACAATTACGCGCTACGAATGTTCATGGTTTTTCTATACTTGTCTGATGTGTTTCTTTCATTAATAGATACTGTGAATTTAAAGCAAACAAAACTCAATTATATTAGCACTTACATAAAAACCTCGTAATCATAACGCAAATATTCCCTGGTTACTTGCTCCAATCCTTTCGTAAAAAGGTATAAATACCCCCTGGGAAGCATGTCAAGGCATGTTCTAAGCATTCAATAATCAGTAAAGGGGGATCCCCCCCCTCTCTCTTAATCACTAATCACTAAAGCTTGGAAAGGGCTTAACTCATACAATCAATACTCTTTTAACTATCACACTGCCTTTCTTCCCAATGCTTGAAGCAAGGCAAATCAACTACGTTCTCCATCATACCTAACCTTCGCCCGAGTCTTACCAACATGCTATATATGATAAGACTTCACTTAAACAAACACTAGTATAGACGTACTAATTTCGAGAGGTATGATTGATTTTATACAACAGCGATTTCCATTGCATCTGTTGTGTGTTTATTATGTTTTGATCTCATTAGGTACTTATTTGATTTTGCCCCTTGTTGATAGATTTTAGATTTATATAACTAAGACTACTTTGATCTCCTTAGTTCTCAACCGTCTATGTCGTGGTGACAGCGGTCTTCTCGCAAAGTATTGGGTCTTTCGTTCAGCCTATATAGGAGGCCATCCGCAAAGGACAAAATAACATAACGGCGCCCTGTGTCCTTATGCGTAGCGGTTGAAGACATCACTCTGGGTGCCATATTACCAGATTACAGACGTCAAATGTCTGTGCTTAACAGTGACACCGGCATTGTCGTCTGGTCCATTGGCCACGGAAAGCCACCAAGGATCATGGTCAAAGAATGTCGCCGCCGAGGACTGTCGCCGCAAGATCGCTGACATAAAGATTCCGGAAGGATCTGTGGACTGTGGGTATGAGGTCGGCGAGGTAGTCATTTATGGCAACCAGCTGGGGCATGACTGCCATGAACATGCTGGATCAACTGGTAACAGCCGCGCTGAATCATAGCACTTGGGGACGGTATGGTCTGTGAAGCCTACTGACACGGGAAGGAGGGTGCATAATTAAACACCACCCTAATTCTTAATGTGTCTTGCATTCTTCTTCCTTTCATCACGCTTCCACAAACCCTTCGTTGACCACTAAGCTCAACCACAAACAACAAAAACAGCAACCAAAAGCACCAAAAACGCACCTCCGCCTCTGCCACCATCTAACATCACCAACCACTACGTTCTGACACTTGTAAGTATAATCCTATTTGCGTAAATAAAAATTACGTGGTCTATCAAACCTAAGTATACTCAAAAAGGGGGCTCAGCCAAGCTAATTTCTATAGAAGAATGTCAGACCACTCGATCCGTGACCCTACCCCCGACGACCCCCAGGAGCAAGCAATCGAGGACGAGCCCCGCCAACCCGGCATCATGGATGACAAGCTCACGGTCGCACTTGGCGTCGGCTTCGGAGTTCTCGTGACCATGTTCATCGTCGCGTTTATTTGGGTAGTCCTGAACGGCATGAACCAGTCAAGCATGTGCCCTCTTCCGATCAGCGAGCGATGCCCCTACGTCGATCACCGCTATTATGGCCGCGAACTCTGAGCGCCCCCCTCCGAACGCAATGACAAGGATTTTCGGGATGGGAACGGGAACAGGGATGGCTGAAGGTGGATGGGTTGGTTTATGGTGATTCCGTTACTATGACTTGAAAGTCGGCGGACGAAGACACTACTCTTTGCAGTTACTTTTCCCTGCTGTCTCCTATGAATAGGCGCAGGATGACCAATGAAGAATTGGTTGATCCCACATGTCGGGATCCTGACTACGCACCAACTTCTCCTAAGTAGAGTTCGTGATAAGTGCCGTGTGACTTTAGACACCTGTTGCCATGATTTACACTTAATGCCCCGATGCTAGTCGACGCGTAGATCTAAAAGCAGAGCAAATATTCCGTCTCCAGATTCCCTTTCATTGCGATTATATCCTATGCATCCCTACGAAGGTTGACAAGTTTTCCGAAGGATAAACGATGGACCAGCGATGCTTGGAAAACATAGAAGGCGAACGATGGATAATTACGATCTTGTATAACGGACTGGTTTGCTTGCCGTTGATTAGAACTAATCAACACTCACTTTATTAATAAAACCTAGCCATTATTTGCCAATGTCTCCGAGAACTATTTTCGGCCGAAAGGGGGATGAATGTAGACCCACGGCATGCGTCTATATCTTCGGACGTAAGCTGCTATATGCTATGTGAGCAGACGTATATTAGTATAATATTCTTAAATATCACGCATGGTATGCTGATATGTTGTTAGACGAGCATCAATATAGGGCAGGAGAGCCTCTTGGGTAGCGATCCTTCGATGTTGGTAAATCACCAATACTAGCGCCAGCACCAGTGGGTTGGATATTCCGTGAACCAACAGAGTTGCCATGGGTATCATTGAGAACTTGGATATCTAACTATCATAATACACACAGGGTTTATTCATGAACTATGTACGTTGGTCAGAGAACTATGCGGCGAAACTGAACGAAACCGAACACCATCTGGTCAACACATCAGTGCTGCGCCACCACGACGCATGTATTCATCCAGTTCACGACTTCAGCCCTATCGGCTGATGAGCTAGCTGACACGTTAGGGCTCCTTGTCTAAGTCACGTTGCATTTCGCCCGTATCGACATCCACTTAGCTTGACTGTGTCGAGACAAACTCGAGGCCTCAGTCGCAGGCAGCTGACAATATCAAGCGAAAATCGCGACCTTCGAATAAGCGTTGATATGTAATCAAAGATTGCTCTAACCAACAGATTTGTGACGACTTACGCCGAAGCAGGACCTACTACTTATGTAGACGGCTTTAATGAGACTAAGAATGATATACTGTTGGTGATGATAGAAGATAGCGGTGACGATGATACTGTAGATATCAGCACAACTACCTACCTAAGCGACGATAAGGTTAGGAGTAGAGCCAAGCCGGCAGAGGAAAGCTTATGAGGAACCAAGCAATTTCCAGGTAACTTCGGCCGATAGTTAGGGAGGGGTTGCTAAAATACAGCGTGGTACCCGCCTTCGGGACCGGCTAATAAGGTCCACCGCCAATGGATCCGAACTAAGTCTGGGGTTAGCGCCTGTATCTACGCTATATTTGCACTATATTTACAGGGACCTAATGAATTACGGCAAACTCACGCAGGAATATATCCACCGCTTCATCCGACAACGATCTGTAAATTGAAAGAAGCTGGAATCCTGGCATGAACTTCATTTGCCAAATCGCTTACTCGCTACTATATTGGTGTTATATATGGTACCTAATATCAATACGTACACCCGTATATACTGCATACATGATTCTAGAAACACATGACATGACGTAGGCGGCCCGTGATGGGCTGGAGAGGAAATGTAACGTGTGTGGTAACGTGGATACACATGCTAACGACACTAATATCTATCACCATCTCAATACCCCATCTCCTAAAAATATCTCCTAAAATAGCCCGAAAAGCTTGTCAACACGACGACCGCCCAGCCGCGTGGAAACTACTGGAGCAGAAATACGATGGGCGAGTGACGATGCGGTGCCGCAGCAGTTTTAGCGGTTGGCTGCTAGCCATTCCAGCCATTCCCCGGGTTCGTGCTACGAGTTTATACGGTGGCGCATCTGCATCCTTCCTTCTCAGCTAAGACTCAGCACTTAGATATGTACTACGTACCACTAGAACCGAGATGACCCGGCGGAGCGGCACAGGAAGGTTCGGAGGTTGGTTCTGTACGCACATAGGCCCCGTAAGCGAAGTGGCTTGAGACACCCATGGATCTCGCATGAATAACATCATCATATATCAACCAAAAAACGTCCGTAAAGGAACATTTTTACGAGGCGGTAAAGTAAGCGTAAGAAAAAAAACAGAGAAAGGAAAAAAAGCGAGATAGCTAGTAATGCAGTAGCTGAGCCTGGCCGTTTCTTTGCCGGGATCAGCTCACGCATGTCGATCACTTCGTATTTGTGCGGGCGAGGATCTCTGCGCTCTGCGCAGGACGAACCCGAGTGGCCGGAAATCCCTCGCGATGAACAACGTGCTGGGACTCGTGGTGAGTGATGCCACGACAATTAATCCTAGGAGCTAGTATTATGTGATGTGTAGCATGCACGCATCGTACCTACATAACATCGTGTAACACATTGCAACATCGGATCATATCGCCACGGGGATATATAAAGGAGGACGGATGCCCAGACAAACCGTCCTACACACAACAAGGAACCATCATCGCACAAAGAACATAATATCTCGATCTTTCCACACTTACACAAACCTATCAAATCAACCAACCTAATCAATAATCTACATAATCCTAATAAACACCAAACCAAACCGCCAAAATGGTCTCCCTCCGCACCATCCTAACCAGCGCCCTCGCCGCCATCTCGCCCCTCGCATCAGCCTACATAACCAACGTCGCGGCGCCCGAGAGCGCGAAGGCCGGGTCGACGGTAGCCGCGACGCTGACGGCGTCGATCTACATCCAGAACTGGAACGACTACGGCATCATCTGGGGCCTCGCGCCCGCGAGCGTCAACTGCGCCGACGTCGTCTGCGTCGGCCAGCAGATCGCGTACACGAGCCTGTACCCGGACCACGAGCCGCAGCCGGGAACCTTCACCGTCGACGTCCAGGTCCCCGCCACCATGGCCGCCGGCGACTACCAGTTGATTGCTGCTATCCCGTATCTCGTCGGAGTGAGTAAACCCCTTTTTCCTCCTATCTTCCGCTTTGCGATGAAAGGGAGATGTGTGTATGTATATGCTAACCTTCGAACAGGCATCTGGTGAAGTCGGAATCCAGGGCCACGCCGCCAACATCACCATCACCGCATAAACAAGCGGCGATGTGATGTCTGGGTGTCTGAGCCATCTTGTCGGGATTTAGGAGTCGTTTGAATATAATTTCTTAGCAATTTGCATGGGAGCTTCTCGGAAAGGGCAAAATACATAAAACGGTTCTGCGAAGAATCAGTTTCAAAATTGCATTGGCATGCGCACATAGACATGGATATATGGTGCACGCATAGGCGTTTAGAAGGGAAATGGGTCATTGGAGCGGCGCCTTGAGTTAGTGTCTTGTTATTAATGGCAGAAATAGCATGAATTGAATATTCCATGTTTCCACAATTAAAAAAGTCAAAGGGACAATTGGCCATGGTGGATATTGCGATCCTGATGATGGTTCTGTTGTAAATTGAGTACATACTATGAGTAAACTGCACTCCCCAAACACCGCGCTATGCATACTTGTGTAACAAGGAAGGGCTCTTCAGTGGGATCTTCAACCATTCATGTATCGTGGCGTCGTCATGAGACAGTTTGTTAAGCTGGCGACCTTACTGCCCTCAATAACAATACCATAAAACGGCATATCTCGCCCATGTACCAGGTCATTCGTAATTCATTCCTCGTCCTTTAGACCATTTTGGCAGTAGTCGGATACAGCTGTCCTGCAAGTAGTATTGTAGTTGGCCTTGCATTTTTCACGACGGTGCTCCTTTTCCTCATGAGACCGCTGGTTTGCCAAGTGGACAGACCAAGACATTGGGCCCCCGTTCGTATGCCCATTCTGATGGCCGTTCTCAAATCCATTCCCATACACGTTCTCATACCATTCAGTAGGGACTAATCCACGTGCTGAAGGTCCATTTTCCCGAACATTAGATGTCTCAAATATCCCGTCGTGCAGATTGTCCATTTTGATCTGCTGCATGTGAATCCGAGCCGCGGCGCTGACCTGACAGATCAAGTTATGAGGATGCATTATGTGCAAAAGATCAGCGATTGAAACTTGATATCCTTCTCTCCACTAGAGACCGAGCATTCGTCGGACTCCGTCCCGAACCTTTTTCTCGTATTCTGAGCGTCTCTCTCGCCACATCTTGGCCGCCTCGACGTTTGCTGGACTTTCGTCGTTGGGCTCCGCCAGCATGCTCATAACGGAAATGAGAATTTTCTCGACGGATTGGATCGGACTCCATCGCTCTGATGCGTGCTCGTAGTGATTCGGGTCGTCTCCGGGAGGATGGAGGATAGAGATACAGACTAAACCGCTGGGATATACTACAAATTCGCCAATGTTAGATGGTGAATTCTACAAGCTTCTATCTGGCTGTATGGGAATATACCATTGGGGTGGAAGATCTCTCCTAGAAATGTCATCTTGGGTGGCGCTAGGGGATAATCCTTGGGGAACTTGAGCTCGGCAGGGAAGATACCTCCTTCGAAGGGAGTGCCCTCGGGACCTTGGATCAGAGCTTCCCAGTGAAGCATATCATCTTCGCTCACTGGACCGGCCGTGATACCATCAGGAGGATTGTTAGTCAGCATCTTGTACTCTTGAAGGAGCCGGCGGTGGGCTGTCGATTGAGCCATCTTTGTAGGATATCTACAAATGTGATATGAAACAGCAATTACTAAGGGTAATGTGTTTTTGTATTATTGAGGGAATGCGTCTAAGCAAATGAAACTTTTGACTGTCTATGTAAATGGTAGGTTTTAGCTGTAGGTTTGGATATGGAATGTTGGAGAAGTGATCGAATGCACACCATTGGCGGGGGTTTCCTCTAGGCCATCCATCCGCCGATCTAGCCGCGAAGGTGCGCTGTGGATCCCCTATCTGGTCGTTCCTGACAATCAAATGGTAGGCATCGGCTAGCCGAAGTTGACCCGAAACTCCAGGCACAGTAGTATCGTGGAAAGTGCGGCTCTGCACGGGTCCACCGCAAGGTTCTACCACGCATGAATGCACTTGATTCCATACTTTTACAATAACAGAATAATCAACAGGCAATAAACCATGGACTAGAGAACACACACAAGTATCATACATCAGTGGACGCATAATTTTTATTTTGAGAGTGTAGCCTTTCTTTAGATGTTCCTTGGAGGTGGCTGTTGATATACGCCAAGGGCCTGTAAAATGCCCATTCAGGTGTCCGCCTCCATGCATTGCTAGCACCAACATCACCAGCGATGTCGATCAAGTGGCTCAAGCCGTATACCATAAACTATCAACCCCTTAAACCTAGGTATCTAATTGCAGTTGTCTACCACGTGCAGCGTAGCTCTCTTTCACATGAAACTGAAAACAACAACGGATTATCCATGACATCCCTAGGTACCTGGACAAAGATGGTTACATTGACTCCTTCTAACCTCTCTAACATGATATGCTCTTCTAACTCTAGCAAGTCCTACTACTATATCCTTGATCGACGCCTACTCTTAGGAGCTATGGGCATTTTCGAGGTTATTTGAGTACCAGTACCAATGCCAGCATCTGGATCGAATTGAGAGCGATATTTTGAGTTCAGCGTCATGAGTTCTTCTATTAGAATTGCCATCATGGGTGGCGGCGTGGCAGGCGCCTCCCTAATCCGCGCCATCGTCAAGTACTCTCACCTAGATGTACACATTTGAGTCCGCCGCCGAGTTCAAAGAAGCCGGCATGGCATTCTGCCCTCGAGCTCATCGGCCCCGAAGCTGCGCGATGTCTCGAACGAGACGGGCCGTGCCGATGAGGGGCGTTCGAATCATGTTCGCTCAAGGCGAGGCAGCCGGGGAAGTGGCCGATGAAGTTGACTAAATAGCCCAAGGGAAGCGTCTCACGAGCATCGTTCTCCGCGCCGCCTTTCTACAAGAACTGCTCGCCGTCGTTCCCCAGGATCGAATGTATGCCTCCAAGAAGCTCCAAAAAATCGATCGAGACGGGTCCGATTACGCTCTACTTCACCGACGGAACCATACAGGAATACAATATCCTCGTAGGTGCTGACGGCACCTACAGCACCGTTCGAAAGCTCATCCTGGGTGAGAACGATCCTGCGACCTCTCCTCAAAGCACTGGTACTTGGTTTCTTATGACGCTCCAACCGTTCGACAAGACTCAAGCCAGCTTAGGTAAAAGAGCTTTTAGATATGGAGAATGCCTGCGGATATGGATGGATTGGCCATAACGTGTTTTTAACGCACAAAATTCTGAGCGGCGGCCAGCTGGTACAATTTGCAATGGCCCCTATTGACACGGAAGCTGAGCCTGGGTCATTGAATGGTTGGCAGTGCAAAATGGGCGCCGACGAGATCAAGCAGCGATACCGGGGTTTCCTACCTCATCTCAATAAGGTCATAATTGAAGTAAGACGATACCTGGGATCATTAAAATATTACGTGACTGGTACGACGATATGGCGATACCAACGAATAATACAGCTGCTTTGTAATCAGCCCGAACACAATGCCTTATATCTTTGGGACCACCCCAAAGCACATAGCTATGTTGACGGGCCCATCCATGTCACTGGCGATGCTTCTCACTCGACAATACCGTGTCAGGGCTCCGGCAGCGGCATGCCCATCGAAGACGGCTTTATTTTGTCCGCCTGGCTCGGACGCGCGAAATCGCCTGCTGAAGTTCTCACTGCCTTAAAGGCATATGACCTAGTTCGTCGTCCCCGCACACAAGAGATCGTTGAGTCGAGTTGGATCATAGGTACCATGATAACCGGAGCCAATGAGGAGACGGGACTTGACCCCAAGAAATTCAAATCGTTGATGTCAAGATGGGACTTCATCATTGATATTGATATGGAGAAACAGAAACACCGCGACGAGGCCCTACAGATGATGGAAGCTAGTTTGAAAAGAGAGAGTATCGTGCAATGATGACATTACGGCCTCCGATCAACAACAGACGTTCCATGTCAGAACATTAAGATTGGTTGTATAGTACCTCACTGTTGCTCTTGGAGACTTGCTGCGTATGCTTGTCATCGATGTCGACTGGGTGATGCGCCAGTGGTGCTTAAAAATACTCACAAGTTCCGGTGAGATCGCGAGTTGGAATACAAAAACTAATTTTGTTCTAAATATATCATAATATATTATATTCCAAGTTATTTTATTCATTCGAATAAATTATACAAAACTTGAAGGCGTTTTCGCAAGGAGAAACGAGATCTCTAAAGAGGACCCAGTCAATAGAGATTTGCCAAGGCGCGCTAAGAGTGCGATAAGCTTATCAATCCTTATCAGATCGTTCCCGACAATCAAATATTTGGTAGACTAGCCGAAATTGACCCGGAAATCCGCGCTTCGGAAGCTTCCAATGTTTAGAGCTCAAAAGTTCGAAAAGCTCCAGATCTTTTTGCGCCTAATGTGTACTTGAAAAGTATCGAGGGCGGAATATGCCTCCTCGAATAAGTCTGCAGCCCATTGGGCGCCGCAGCTCGGTTTATCTAAAGAGTCGAGTGACTGAGAGGAACTCGGTCTGTTTCTTTTGCTCGCTCTCCGGCCAACCCAGCGCAGGACCGAGTCGCCGCCCGAGACGAAAATCGCAGAACCCTCGACGCTTTGTCTCGACTACCGCGGCTCGCACGACTAGCACGGCTGCTAGGAACCCCGGCGTTCTCGATCCTCGAAAGGAATTAGAGGAAACTCTTCTCGAACTCGAGAAGCATGCACCCAATTACATAAATCTATCCCGCCTACAGTTAGCTCTCAATGGCTTGCGGCAATCGCCAGGCGATGAGTCGATAAGGGTTGCTGTATTAGGCCTCTCAGATGGCTCCGATTCTAGCGAGGTCGCAAAACAGGTGCTAAAACTTCTGCTCGCCGATCCGTTGAAGGGCGAAGAAGAGTGGGAGAAAGAAGTCGCGAAGCATGATCTGACACGGCCCATGATCATACGGGTTGGGGCGGACGTGCCTAAAGAGCTCGAGTCCATATCAGTCGCCACGAAGGGGAGTTCGTTGCATGAGGTCAATGTTTCGTCCGCAACATTGAATGGGCATAATCTGGAATTGTTGCTCATGGAGACGAATCCTTTTCTGTCTGCACAAGAAATGGGAGCTCTGAAAGGGTCCGAGGAATCGGTGCTTGTCCCTACGGTCGACATTCCCACCTCGGATACGGGCAGGCATACTCCTATCACAACCCCGGTGCATAAAGCTTTGATCGTGGCAGACGGTCTCCTGGGTGCTGCGTCGGTAGTATCGATGTCCCCGCTAGAAAGCCCAAGCGTAATCACAGCTGCGGTAAATCTGCCCGAGTATAAATTGTCGGCAGATACTTCCCCTTTGCCGTTTACCCCTATTGACATCGGAGTTGCGAGTATCGGGCTGGGCCTTGTTCGCAAGGATCTAAAGAACGCCATCGAGTTTGAACACTTGTGGTTTCAAAGTAACATCCCGAAGTTGGTTGAGTGGTTAAAAGCCGATATAATGACTTCGCCTGAAGGCACGACTAAGCCACCTGTGAAGGAGCTCATCGGCTCCCTACTAAGGAATACGTCCGCAGCCATAGAAACCGAAGAAGCCCGCCAATTCGGCTCCTCATTATCCCCTACTACTCCCAAGTCACTTCAGAATAGTCTTGATGAGTGGGCAGAAAGCGCGCATACAGAATTACAGGAACAGCTTGACATAGCATTCTCCAGTAAACGATGGCGCAAACTAGGGTGGTGGAAATTATTTTGGCGTGCAGACGACGTGGGTATGCTTACGAACGATATTCTCAGTCAAAGGTTCCTCCTAGCATCGGAAAGAAATGCCATATTTCTTGCCGGAAGGATGAAAGAAGCCGGCATTGCCTTAGGACCCTTCCCCAACCCCTACGCCGCCGACGAAAACGGCGCTGAGTCGAAACAGTTGGAGATCCAGGCGCCTGCTCCAGCGACAGCCCCCTGGCCCGTGAACATCCCCGCAACGAGGCGCTACCTCCAAACGAAAACAATACCCGCTTTACAAGCGCTCTCGCAAAAGCTGATAGCGCAGACGCTGGGCACGTCGGGACTTACCACGGCGCTAGGCGCGCTAATCTACGTGAGCACGCTGACCACAACGCTGTACGAAGCGGGCGCGGTTGCCGCCCTGGGCATCGTGTGGAGCATGCGGCGCATGCAGAAGCAATGGGAGACCGCGCGGGCGTTCTGGGAAGGCGAAGTGAGGGAAGAAGGCCGCAAAGCCGTTCGAGACGTCGAAGGCGTGGTCGGCGACGCGCTAAAGCAAGGTCGTACTCCCCAAGACGAGGCTAGGGGGAAAGATGAGCTGACTAGGGCTAAAAGGCTGATAGAGCGGGCGCAAGAAATCTTGAGCAAGTTGAAATGAGATAGGGCTCTGCGCTGTATGAATAACGACTGTAACATTGATCATGATACCAATAGACGCAACACCACACACCATGTTGTCAATATGAATTTGCAAGGTAAATTTCTTGTAAAGCGCTGATTGAACCTATAATAGTCAGGGGTCATCAAATCAATATTGGCTAACATTAGACTCCATTCTACCTATGTAGGTAAATATTTAGAAAACAAAGAGTTCGCAATATTCATCAGGTGTTACTATCCAGCCCTTTCGAATCCGATGAATGAGTCAGAGCGTTTGTGGCCAACATGTAGGTATATTTCACAACACGTCCTCACAACTGAAGGTGGTTATTGAGCCATTTCACTTTCATGTACCATTGAACACGCCTTAGTTATACAAGATGATAAACCCAGGTAATGATATGTCTACCGCCTGCCTGCCCGCTCTCTATGCCTCCCCGTTCTATAATCCCTATGCTGACCTAGGTACCTCAACGTTCATGGATCACTCATCCTCGTCTGAATCGAGACTGTCCTCGTCGGGAGTTTGTAGTAGCTTCGCAATCCCAATTACTCCAGTATGATCTGGATCATTATCATCACCGGGCGCCATGGGAATGTTCTCCGTGATTTTGGTGTCGTGGCCGATTTCGTCGGCTAGTGCAAGAAGAAACGAGCGTTCCAAGTAACGGCCCTTGGTGGCCCAAAATCCTTTCCCGAGCTGTTTTGCTAAGACTTTGCTCGGATCATTTCGGTATTCCTGTCTCCAAGCTTGTCTGAGTTGGGCTACAACGAATAGGAAATATAGATATCGCGCTCGCGGGCGCATCTCGTTCTTGAAGGAGAGTTGTTTCCCATCAAGGTCTCTCATGATCATTACTGTAGGTTTCTCGGGGGCAACTTCGACGGGTCGGTTAAGGATATCCGCATCGGGGTCCATAATTCGCCATCTGTAATTCTTGGGTTCGGTTCCCTCCCAAAGAGCCACCTCTTCTGTGGACGGATTATCCGGTAAATTCGGTACAACAACTATAACCCCATCATCCATGGCTTCCTTAACGTCCACATCGAGTAGTAGTCCATTGTACGGCGCATCTAACTCCCCTTTGACATCGCTCCCGAAAAGAGCTATCAACACATCTCGTCCAAGCGAGTGCGGGACAAGTTGAACGGCTCTAATTGTTGACATCAATGTCTCTTGCCCGGTAGCGCTGTCGTGCACGCTTCGGATGACTTTTGGATTTCTTGTATCCATTGTAGCAGCGTTGTAAAAGTCGATCAGGCTGCTTTTGAACTTCGATTGTTCGCTTCTTGGACGTTTGCCAACGCCCGGAGTATCAACACCAAGGCCGATTTGGCTTGTAGTAAACATGGACTGGGATGCATGTCTGCGTGCTCCGCCTTGCTCTAGTTGCGCTACCTGGTTGAGATATTGGTGCTTTTCGTAATTGAAGGCTTTTAGCTGGTCGACGAAGCGATGTGCTTCTGGTGTAGTCCACCATTCCTCGGCATCACAACCGCCATTCTCCTCTTCCTTCCATCTCTGTATTGCGAGATGCATTTCCATCTCGTGCACTTGGGCTGAGAGATTGCTGGCATCTGCTGCCGCTGTCCAGTATTTGACATCGAAACTATGGGAGGGTTTTATCTTCTTTCGCGCATTTTCGGCTTTATACCGTAAGGAATAGTATAGGATTTCCTTCTCCATCACTTCTCGTTCCCTTCTGCGGGAAGTTCTCCTTGGGATTTGAGCTAGCGCGCTAGCCGGCGCCTTAGCAGAAGTGTTTGTGAGCGATATTAGGAGCTCTTGGGTAGTAAGAGCGTCTAGAAGTTTCAAAATCTGGTCTGCTAAGAGGACTAGTAGCTAGGGGTCTCGCAGGATCAGTGCTGTGTCCATGGAGACTGATGGGTGATTGGTCTTGGAGCACAGAGGATAAGGGCTTTATATACCGTATTTCTCAGGCGAGAAAATTTCAGAGTTCGCTCAATAACATCGTTGTTTCCTCGACCGTTAATTTCGCCTCATGCCAGGAGGCTTTATGGTTTATAAATTAAACTTAAGCCAGAGCTTCCGGAAATGGCTTTACTTTTTTTAAATCCCTCATTGGGTTGCCCAGGTGCCCAGGCACGTAGTAAAGCCAAATCTAACGTGCGAGAAACCTTATTATATTGGCTTAAAAGGAGTCATTTTTGGATTCCGGTATCAACTGTATGTACGCAAAAGGGATCAAATAAGCTCACCTTACCCCTTCTCCGATATATAACGATAATTGACCCTATCACCAGTCGCCACCACCCCAGTCACCTCCCGAATAATCCACCGTGCTTTCCTCCGCGTAACTCGCGTCGACGCTCACACTTTCCTGCATGTCCATCGTCGACATCTGGTCCCCCGTGTACGTCATGTCATTATAATTCGCGCTCATGTCGACGTTCACGTTCATATCCACGTTGACATCCACCATCGTCGTATTATCGACATACGCCATGTCCGAATATGACGCACCGGCGTACGATGCATCCACATACGTCGAGCCCCCATACGAAGTCGTGTCCGTGTTCATATTCGTAGCATCTATGTATGCCGTATCGGTATACGCCGTGTCCGTAAAAGCGGTCGCCTGTGTATTTGCACTCGATGTATCGAGCATGTACGAGCTATCCTCCACAAACGCATTTGTTCCCGAATTCATATTACTCGTATCCGTTATATTCGTATTGTCTGTGTAGTTCATGTTGACTTGCTGGGATTGTGCGATCGCGGTGTTGTCTACGTTGTTGATAGTCGTGTTATTGATTATAGTCGTGTCGGACTGAGGCGCGAAATACGCCTCTGAAGTCGGGTTGTCCATCACCACCTGAGGATCGGTGGTTTGAGACTCCGAGTATGCCATGTTCTGCTGGTCGGCGTAGGACTCTTGGTGTGTAGCGTGCTCCGTATGATGCTCTCCAGATTGACCTTCGTAAGGTTGTTCCGAATGTGCCTCGTGATGTGGCTCGGGATAGGGTTCGTGGTGCTGTGGAGGATGAGATTCATGTTGCGGCTCAGAACCAGCTGTATGATGATGCTGTTGAGAACCAGCAGGAGCCCCTGAGTCGGGTTTCCCTGAGGCTAGAGCGTTAAGGGCACCGCCGATCGTGGCACCTATAGCCGCATAGGTATCAGTACTATCCTGCGCTTGTAGAGGTGGTTGACCAGGACGTGCTTGGTAAACTTGTTGACCCGAATGCATCTGGTAAAGGGGTTGGTTCGGGGATGCTTGGAAGATTGGCTGGCCGGGGGCTCCTTGGTAAAACGGTTGACTGAAAGTAGCAGGCTGCTGTGCCTGAGTAACAGGCGGTCTTCCAACCGGAGGTCGTGACATCTGGTAAACGGGTTGTTGGTTCATCATGCCCACTTGCGGTTGTGGAGGATTATTATTCATTGCTGTTCCCACTACTCCTGGATTTTGCACTACAGGCGGCCGGCCTGGTTGGAAGCCGGGAGGTTGCGCACCCTGTTGTAATTGAGGTCGGTTCACGGCCTGACCGTACTGAGCCGTAGCATTCATCCCTGTTGGATGTTGTGCTTGCGGTGGAGCGGTATTCGCATGTTGCGGGCCTGGTGGCCGTTGTGGCTGGTTGTTCTGGGGTTTATTCTGAGAATTGGTATATATCTGGTTTGCCAGAGCAGCACCTGCAACTCCGTTCCCACCTAACGACTCAGCAAAAACTGCACCGCCTACAGCCGCTGTCGCTTGCTTGAAGGTTGGGTTTTGCCAGGTCTTCTTAGCCCACTTCTTCATTTTCTTACCTGCGTCGGAAAAGGCAGCAGTTGCCTGAGCTGAGTTGAACGGTTTACCCTGTCCGTATACTTGTGACGATCCAGGTTGGTAACTGGGTGTTTGAGTAGGTTGTTGATGTTGCTGTCCCTGAATTTGCGATGCTGGCTGACCAGTGTGGAACGACTGCGCGGCTGATATGTTCGCCGCATTTGGGTATTGAACCGTTTGAGATACATGCTGCTGGACATGAGTTCCTTGCGCGAAACTGACTGTTTGTTGTCCGCTTGGCGATTGACTAATCTGGCCTACCCCTTGATGTGTATATGGCCCTTGAGTTTGCGTATTTTGTGGAACATGTGCGGGTATATATTGCTGAGCTGATACAGGCGGTCGAGGCTGCCCGTGGTATACTGTTCCTGGAACATTTTGTCCTGCAACTTGCATATGATGGCCTTGTATGAGTTGTTGTTGAGGTGGTCTTTGTACTGCTAATTGTGACACTTGTTGAATTCCCTGATGTTGAGTAGGTTTCATCGGAGGTACCTGAGTCAGCGGATGTGGAGCCTGTATTGGGCCAGTTTGACCTGGTTGGGCTGCTATAGGAATAGGAGATGATCCGACTTGGGAGGGCATCGGCTTTACCTGCCCTGGAAGCATTGGGAAAGGTTTTGATGCATTTCCTGGTGCATTAGGAGATTGGGTTCCTTGTGCATGTCCCTGGGAATGGATTACTTGAGGCCCTGTTGGTCTAGGAGCTTGGGATGTATTTTGGTGAGTAACGGTAGTTGGTGGGCGGCTTTGAGGTATAATTCCTTGAGTTGTTGGTTGAGTGTGGGATGATGCTGAGGAGGGCGGTCTATGAAGTGAGGCAATCGAGGGGGTCGGCGAGGATACCTGACTTTGAAGCGGAGATACTGGATGTACAGTAGGTGACCATGACTGCTGAGGTCTGTTTGTCCCGATGTTCATTCCTGCTGGCATATTCTGATTTGACACTTGGCTAGCGGTCTGGGTTGCTGGCTTTATGCTTGGAGTCACCTGGCTGGGATTCGATGGTGGCTTTTGAGTCGTGCTCTGTGAATTAACTACGCCAGCTTGCCCGGCCACGGCTTGGTTTGCGATTAGTCCCGAGAAACTCGCCTGACCAGAGACCTGAATAGACATTGCCAAACCGTGATTGTGCTCTTGAATTGGCGCTGGCTGGTTGTGTGGCAGCTCAGTAGAATGTTGTGATGGCCCAGATATTGATTGTGGCCGTTGATTATATGTTAGAATATGCTGCCCAACCTGTGTTGTAGGAGTAGCTTGAGGCGATAGTGGGTGAGGTTGTGCCTGGAATAGTAAGTTAGATGTAGCTGATACTATGGATGGAATTTCTTGTTGAGAGGGGGGATGATATTGTTGGAAGGGAATGCTAGCTGAACTCACGATTGGACTTTCAAGTACAATGTGGGTGTTAGGCCTTTGCGGAAGCACAGGCTTCCGCAACAGTTTTTGTTGGGGTCTTGAAGAACTAGAAGTTTGTCCCTGGGAAATGGCAGGAAAATTTACCTGTGATGGATGGGCACCTGTTTCATTAGAGGATGCAGCTGGGGATGCAGGTCCTTCATTGTGGGAGTTATTCTGTACCGATGGTCTAAGTGTGACATTGTTCATGCCTATTATGGCACTATGTATAGATGAAGATTGAGAATTAGGAGGCCTCGATTCTTCAGGGGTACTAGAATTTTCTGAGGTTTGATTCGGACTTGTTGGACTCTGTGGTTTAGACACCGATAGCGGAGCAATCACGGGAAGGGGTTCATTCAGGATAGAGTAATATGGTTCTGTAGCTTGGTGAAGCTCCTGCGAAGATGCGTCCTCGTTACTGTGATTATGTGGCTTGCTTTGGACTTGTTCAATCGTAGGTCTCGGGGCCGCTGAAATTTCTTGGAAGACGTATATCCCAGGACCGCCAATTTTAGGTAAGTATGATGTATGGGAAGATATCTGATTGGGGAAGGTGTTGACTTTATGAATCCCTATGCAGTTATCATTCGTAGCAGCATCTCCTGGTGTTTGTACTTCTGAAGTTGAAATGCTTTGGGCAGGCTTGAGCACTGACGGCATCTGATATGAGCTAGAGTTGACGATCGATAATCCGGGACTAAAAGAGATGCTCTCATGTCTTGCCCCCGATCCTGGTAAAGAGACGCTGCTCTGTGGACGGTGATGATGTGGGTTATTTTGTGGTAGGTCCGTTCTTAATGGTGTTGTCGCAGGTTGTAGTACGGCTGGAATTTGTGAAGACTCAACTTGTGGTGACGGTGTATGGACAATTGCTGCCTTCCTAGGATCCGATGGTCTCCTTAAGATACCAGGAAGATCAACAGTTGCTTCCGAGGTTTCAATAGGCCCTGACAAAGAATGACGCTTCTGATCCATGGATCCAAGTTCGCTATTCTGAGACTGAAGGACTGATATACTAGACAGCGCCGTCGACTTCCTATTTGAATCCCTCAGTTCCTCAGTCGCACTTCCTTGCCCGGGCTTCCACGTCTCGTATTTATTCTGGTCTGCCCACGTCTCAACAGGTCGCGAAGAAGAAAGGACTTTTTGTTCCGCAGACGGAGAGTTCGATCCTTGCACGACATTATCGACAGGTCTAGTGGCCGTTTTTAGAGGAGGATACGCAAATGAAGCCGAAACTAGCGGATACTCTTCGACCGGCTGCATGCTTTCTAAAACAGGATGTTGTATTGGCTTTTTCTGCTCTACTGGACTTCTACTTGTAGGCAACTCTGTCGGACCATTTTGCTGGGGAGTAACTCGTAAAGCTATGGGTGCCATTTGTGTTGCGTCTAACTCAATTGGAGCCAACTCTTCTGCGCATTTTGCCGTCTCGCTGCTCGCTAACTCGGCAACCAAGCCGACAGGAGATTGTATTCGTTCCGACTCGGGGAGTTCAGCTAATACAGCTTCATTGTTGCTGGTCGGTGTGTTATTCTCATTGCCGACCGGACTTACATCATTAAGACCAAAATACATAAATTGGTCTGGATCGAAGTATCCCGTAGCTCCCATCAGGTCTGTCTCGTTGCCCGATGCCGCCTTCACCGGTCCATTACCACCTGGCTTTGTCGCAACATCACTGTGATTAGTTCCATCCAGTGTTCCAAATCCGAGTCCTACCAATTCGGGAAATTCGTCTCCTGATCTTGGAAAATGGTATTGTGTCAAGCCCGTTGCTTTATAGCGGTAGAGCCATCGGGTTCCGTCGTAGTCTGCCTCCCATCCTTCAGGGAGAAGCGCCATCCCGAGAGGAAGTTATACGAAGCAAGCAAAGGCGTTTTCGGCCGATTAGAGGGAGGCTAGCGGCCTAAACGATAATGGAAAATTCGCCGTTTCAAAGCGGAAGGATGAAAATTGCGCGAAACACAACTCGGTGTAGATAGACTAGATAAGTTAAGCAGATAGAAATATACCTGTTTGTTCGAGAGCGACGTCTCAATAAACCAAAAGAAGAACAGCAAAGGACAAATGGCGAGTATGGGAAAGAGTAGTCATTCCCAGACGAAGCGACCTAGGTATGAAGGCCTGACGTGACATGTTGCCCGAGCGGCTGAATATACCTAGGTCACACGTTGTTGATAAAAACGGGCTTCAACGAGGTCTCTTTGGTTCCTTTGGCGAGACTGGTATTCAGCTAGGCTCCAATCTCCGTGGTCCAGCAGAACGCCTAGCCATTCTAGATGTCGGTCCATCGAATGGTGGCGTATAGCGTGCAGCAGCTGAACTCGAAGACTCCATTTTCGTGACAGTTCGCCGGCCGTCGCTTATCCAGCATTCTATCAATACAAGACATTACTTTGCAAATATCAAACTCCGTCAGAACGCTCGCTAGTAGATTGAGTTCGCATCGGAACAGATTCATCAGCATCCCAAGATGACAGGTAAGAGAGCAGTGCTTATCGAAAAGCGAAGTTCATCACTTGGATGAGATCTGGATGTTCTCCCACGCGGCCACGCCCACTCTCCTTGGCACTTTAAATTCATGCAGCACAAGCAGGGGTCCCTGGCTACCTACATACTTCTAGTGCTGCTCCATATGAAGTCGACGACAAACGCATTCGCATACTTCGTAGGGGCGAGTACCGAATTGGGTAATTGGTAATTATTGCTTTGGGCTTCGGGTTGAATAGGTTGGCAGGTGATAAGTTATTTGAGTCTCGCTCGAGAGATGAGGCAATGATTACCTCTATGTAGACTATGAGCTTCACTGTATGGCTTAATGAAGAATACGGTATGACATACGTGAACTTGCTTTTTAGAGTAGCTTTGCTCAAACATGCTACCATGTTAACATTCTCGTTTCTTCATTTGCGCAGACGCGCTGTCGTGTACTCGCGATACATTGATCCCCCGAAGCCCAACCTAACATGAGAAGTCCCAGAGACAATTCATAGTCGTTCCTATTCCTTCCTTGGCCATGGCCACCAGCCTTCCATCGGCATATCGTCATAGATCGCATTGAATGTGACCTGAGGGTTGTCTTTTTTGTAGTAATAGATGTGCCTTCCCCCAGGATTGCCGCGAGCAACTGCATACTCCACGTTCTCGAGTGAGAGATCACCGAGACGAAATTCAGCCAAGGTCCTATCTTTCGCAGCGTAAATCTGAAAGTGGGCTACCCATCGCGGCGGATCTTCTTGCAGATCGCGCAAGAAGTAATGGCGTGTCCGGCAGTACCCATCCCGAAGCAAATCACAGTTCATCCAAAATTCCTTTACGAATTCTGAACCGTTCGAACAGGTCGGACTGAAGAATCCGTCCTCCCATGAAACGTTATCCATCGTCCAGCAGAGACCTTCGCGCATGATTTGCGGGACATTAATGCACTTGAACTGGAGCTCGCCAAGCCACCGTTTAGAAGGACGCCTGTCGCTAATAGCTAGTGTGATGTTTGGCTTTGGCTGGTTCTCATCTTCGAAGTAAAATCTACCCTCCGTTGCTGGCTGCGGGGCACTTGGGCAGTCATTCGAAACATTTACGTCGGCGTTTTCATAGGCGGGAGGCCCCGGCTCTGTCTTCTCGGGTTCATCCGCCCCATGCAAAGTCTCCTTTGTATAAGCATCTACACGCATATTGCCTGGAGCCGTAGTATCCCGAAGTAATTGAGAATCTAGGTTGACTGTATCAAACGCGTAGAACGATGAGATTGGGAGGAAATAGGTAGTGTTCTATTATATTCAACGTTCAATTAGGTAACCTTAAGGAACCCCTCATTTCCACTGCCACAAATACTAGGTACACAGTCATATGTCGGTCTTACTTGCTGGTATTGATCCGTGCTCGAAGTCACGATCTACAAGAAATTAAACTCAAAATCACTTGAATAAACTGGAGTATGTTCATAACATATGTAATTCTAAGAATAGAAGTTATAGTTCAACAGTTTTCTGCTCATTATAATATACCGCCAAGCATGCTGTTTATTTCAAATGTAGGATACTATTATTTGCATTATTGCAACGCCAAACGACGATTGGCTATCAGTCAGGTGCCAGACCAATGCAGATGCTCCATATTATTTACCTCTGTCATCAGCATAACAGCAATTTGATTTTAACTTAGTAGTAACTATTTCTTCTCATTCAATTATATCGAAACTAGAGCTGGGATGAGATCTAAAAGACTTTCAAAGCTATTGAGATCCTCCGTTATCTAATTGATTTCTAACGGAGATAAATACGGGGTGTCCACACTGGTCTGGCACATAACCGCAGGTGGTAAAGATGGGTATATTATATGTAATTGGTGCTACTCGAGCCACGGCTTTGTAGGTACTTTGTGATGCGTTCATCCCTTACATCGAGGGACAAGTGTGATGTGTTGTATCCGCCCACTCAGCCTCGTCTCGCGCAATCCAACATCGTATCAATCTTTATCTATCCGGTATGAGATGTTTATAGAGGTATGGTCCGTATCTCGTTCATACGGTCAATGGTCGATTGCCTCGTTGTTTTGCGCTAAGGAAACTTTTGGTTTCTTTGAGAAACTCATCTCAAACACTTCTCAATAGTACTCTCTTCATTCTCGTTACCTAATTACAAGACATGGCAGGCAGCCTTATTCTTACTGGAGCCAACGGGTCTCTCGCAATTCACGCCGTAGAACACCTACTCAAGAAATATCCTCAGTACACCGCGATCCTCACCGTCAGAGATGCCTCGGAAACTGACGTCAACACCAAGAGACTTCGAGATATCATAGCTCGATACCCGAAAGCCAAAGTTTCCATTCATCAACTCGACCTCTCTAGCCTTTCCGCGACGCACAAGTTTGCCGACTCGATCATCTCCGGTGTGGCGGACAACCGATACCCTCCTATCAGCGCATTTATTGGAAATGCCTACTACTGGAACCTCATCGGAGACCCCGAAATCACAGCTGACGGCTACGACAAGACGTTCCAGGTCAACCATATTGCCCATGTGGCCTTGATGCTTCGGTTGATCGGGAATTTTGGGAATGACGGTCGCATCGTCTTCTTATCAACCGACGCACATTGGCCCGGCAAGAACCCGATGGAAGTGTATCCGCCAGGCATCCCTGACGACCTCAATCTTCTGGTCAATCCCACTGCCGACGATGACAAGTTTGGCCGTGGTTATCATAGGTACGCCACATCTAAACTGACTATGACAAGCTGGATATTCGCCTTGAATAGATATCTTTTAAAGGTAAGTTCCTATGTTCAGTTGATAAGCGTCTTGCAATTAACCAATCTTCTATAGAGCGAGGACCTAAGCAAGGTCGCCGCCGTCGCTATGAATGCGGGAAACTTGGTGGATTCGCGTGCCCTCCGCACAAATGCCCCGCCGAGCATGGCAAGAATGCAAACGTTCTTCTACAAGCCATTCTTACCTCTGCTCCGGCTTGCCAACGGCCCGACCCTGCGAACCGCGGGCCCGGCTGGTATTGACGTGATCGAGATGGCGCTTAGCCCGACATATGAAGGCAAGCGAGGGTTTTTCACACTGCTGGAAGAGGACCAGAGCTCCCCCGAGTCCCAAGATGAAGAGAAGCAGCAGAGACTCTGGAAACAGAGTTTGGAATGGGCTCAGATTACGAAGGAGAATACTGCGCTGAAAAGCGCTTTCGAGTAGACGACATTAAGTAACGGTCAGGAACTAAATGCGCCAAATTTAGCTGTTTTAACTCAACATGATTTGAACCAGGTAGACTGGAAATACTATCGTTTTTCACCAAGCTCTTTGATTTCATGGGCCTCTCCTTGGTCCACTTTCCATATTTGTATACGTTAATATATAGTAATGGTTGAATACTTTCTTTGGCTTCACGTACTGCTAATTGCTAGTCTCCTTATTATCTGGGCTGGCGTGATGCCTCTGAGCCAACTAGGTATACACCGCAATGAGAGTAGCACTGAGGCAGTAAACGATAAAACCCGAATTTCGCTTCGAAATCTTAGCCTATCGAATGAGCACTCGTCAGGGGAGCCCAGTATGTTTAACTTTTCGAGATAAAGGCGCAAACAGTGACAAGCGCTACCGTAGGCTCTAGAACTCTGTCTTGTAAGTCAACCGTTATCATCAAGGATTATGATCCGACTTCGAAACACCATAGGTGAGCTACAGACGTTGGTGTATCATATGGACAAGAATCCAACACCTTGGGAAGGAGTATGGAGAAAGAATAAGGCAGCACAAGCCCAGGCCCGTGTAGGGACTGTGCCATATCCCGTCACAACTCAAAGACCTGCTTTATCTCCAAGCTTGTATCAAAGAGTCGCTTCCACATATGTCCCTAGAATAGAGATCACTGTAGGAGATCACTATTTCCCTCAAGGAACTGTCTTATCAGGTATTGACCCGCAATAAGTATACCTTCACAGAGCAGACAGTTGAACTTATACACGACCGACTATTTATTTTCCGAGCTAGCGCCATGCATGCATCGGAAGATTTGCTGGGGACCTGACGTAAAGGAGTGGACCCCCGATCGGTGGTTTGCTGACGACGCCCATCAGAAGCAGGTCATATACTTTGCTTTTGGCTGAACAAAAGTAATGAACAGCTCGAGCTGATCATGAAAATATGTTTTCGATTCAGATATACACCCAAGCGAGCATCTTGCTCAAGTACAGATCGCTAAGATTGCCGCGACTATCGTACGAGACTATTCGGTCCGCCTTGTCCATCCTAAGAAAGTGCCAAAATCGGAGGCGTATCTTCTTCTTGTGTCTCACTGAAGGCCCAAGTAGGTCAGTAGGAGAAACAGGTAGGGTTCTGGATGTTGTGATTGAATGTGTATTCAGAATCATAGATGCTTACCTCTTTATGTGTCTTAAATATTGGAATAGAGGTAGCATCGGGGTCAGATGCTTATGATAGTCTTACATGAAATAGAGTAAACTGTAATTTCCCGGTTCATCTTACCTACAGGCAAGGGTATTCTATAAAATCCCGGCATAAGGTACATATGATTTCCATGGCACCGTCGCATCCAGCATGGAGGTGGTAAGCCAATCAGAGCATCGCTGACTTCCTAATACGGTATCCCTCAGGAGTTACCACCGTGAGTTATAATCTTCACGTCTATACTACTATATAGTATGAATATAAATGGATGACGTTATTCGCGTTGGCTACTGTTTGTATCGATGTGGTGGTTATTTGATATAGACCAACACTCCTGGAAGCGGTGGTTCCCCTTGAATCGGTGGTTAGCATCACTTCCCTGCAAACCAATGCAGGGCTTTGATGATCGACACCATCTGGACAGCGATAAATATGACTGGCTGATCTGTCAACGCGCGAGCTATCCGACCCTATTTGGTTACGTCTCGCGTGATATACTGGTTTGCTCGGAGGAGACTAACTGTTAGTCAAAGGGATAAGCGCCTTGCAAAACTCACACCAATTGGAACTTCTCCCGCCGAATCATGATGTCTTTCGATCAGCTATTTTTTATTATTATAAAAAAAAGGTATTTGATAAAAGTCGAATCAAGTAAAGTTGTAAGGTCAGTAAGGTCAACATTATAGTTGATGTCATAGTTGAAATCCTGTCTGATTTCCACGGGCTTTGATAGAGTGAGGCTAATACTCTATTAGTCACTTTGATGGATGATGTCTCATTGCCAAGAACTCAAAGAGAAACTGACGTTAGATCCAGGGGTTTATCAATGCCAAGTGTTGTTGGTCGAGACAATGTTCGGAAGACACGAGGTGTAGCCCTTCGGAGTCCACTATGAGTTCTGGAACATTGCTGTACGCGTACAACATCGTATATTCAGCTACAGAAAGATATTAACCCGACGACGGAATTCCGAATTAAGTTGATAAGATACGGGGATTGACCCGCAAGCCAAGTATGTACGTACCCATACTCAATCTAAGCCATACCAATCGAATCGCTCGTCACGGATGCTGCGGATGAGATTTTATTTCCACGGTTCGCGACCGGCTCCGGTGCGACGTGTCAGACTCTTGTCCCCGGACGTTCTACTTAGCAGCTTAGGATGCAGGTGACGACAAGAAGCTCCATTTATTTCTGCGGCGTGTCACCTAATCAGGAAGCGTCCCATCGCCTGGGAAGATCTCTGCCAAATCTTTCGCAGTAGGTGATCTGAGGGGCTCTTCTAAGATCGCGGGGTCGGTGTGGTTGGCCGATGGAAATAAGCGGAAGGTAGAGAGAGAGATTTATGTTGTTATTGCTACCGCACCAAACGTGAGTCTTTATTAGTGTTGCCGTGGTACAGCTGAAAATTCATCAAGCTGCACAAATCCTACATAGGCAAGACACTGACGTCAAGCAGCTTACGGTTTAGAAATAGGGGGTTCGAGTAAAGGTCTGTCTTATGTGTCCTGCATACTTCATCATGCTCGATGGCGTAGATGGCGTTAATATTGATATTTTACTGGCAAATATATAAATTCGCGCGCTGCTCTAAGAGAGGACGAGAATTCAGTGGTCAGGATTGTTAGGTACCTATAGCGAGATTTCAGCTATTTACCGCATCTTGCAGGATGCATCCCGTCGATCTGGGCTCGTCGGGGCTAAGGCAAACTGCGGCAAATGACATCCATGGATGTTTGACACTGCATACGCCATTGCCGTCGGTGCGTCCTTTTTCTGTAGAGCCTCGGGTTGTTTGGTTGAGGCTCGTCGACGTACGAAGTAGGTAGGTACGTTTTCGTCTTGCCAGCAGTAGGTACGACTGTACAACCGTAGACAAACACCCCTAGCGCCTTCGAGCTTGGCTTAATTAACCAATCGTATTAAAGATGAAAGAGGCGCACTACCCATGTACCGCGAATTAAAAATAGGCTACGTCTCCCTGCTTTCCCTTTCTGCTTCTCGTCGGACGATAACATTGAGCTTTAACTTCCAAGGCTAGAGTACAAGAGCCCCACATACCCCTGCATTGATGGGAGACATCTATTCGTCAGCAGACAGTACTAGCCGCTAGAATACTAAACTGTGTGAATCAAAACGAAACTTAGCTTCTACTACTAACTGACATGTGATATTAAGGGGGATTTCATAATGCTGTAATTTTGTATTCGTCTATTGAAATGTTCTCGCAAGGCTTTGAAATCTGTACTTCCTAAGTTAGATAGTTATATACTACATATTTGCATATTAGGTCATAATAAAGTCATAGCTTCTGCTTGATACGATCTAACTGTTGGAACTCAATCGCAAAGTTAATTGATGACGACATTGTAGCGGAGTGCATGGAGTATTAGTGTTGAAAGCTCCATTTCTCCAACTGCCGGCTAAATACTTATGTGAATTAGTAGTGTGGGGGCACCGCGTGTACACAACCCACAGTTCTAAGAGTTACATATATTTCAATGCTGAGTTACCGCTAGATCTTTGTTTCGGTCTTGACGAATTGTTTCTGTTATCATACTCGGTCTAGTTATTTTAGTGATAAAGAGGCTGTGAATGGAGAAACCGGTCTTTTTATGGAATACAATGCTTCATCATGGACATAGATGTACAGTATGTGGTATTAGTGCAGCAACTGTGAATTTCCTATCGGGGGACCACTTCCTAGTCGTACCCCCACTCATTTATAGTGAATATGAGCCAACTAGCAAAGAGACTTGCGGCTTCCCTTGTGGCCAAGATAGGCACTAAGGTCGCCTAAGGTCGCCCCTATCAAAATTCGTACAAAGCTGAGGTTTCCATGTGGGTTTCCAAGTGGGTCAAGATTTCGCGTCATGTCGAAATCTTGAACGCATCGAAGATCTTCTCCTGAAAATAATCCAACCATGCTTAAGTTACGGTAGTACGGTAGTATTCACTCATTTTCCGACCCATTTCCATTCTTTTCACATCCAAACTTTGTACATACTATAGATCTCCAACGTCCCCAGACCTCCATCCATTTTAGATCTACATATCTGGACCACTTCGTTGTGTGCTCTATTGCTCTATTGGCCTCTCTTAGTCTATATGACCTACCCATAGCAGCCATTCTCAGCGATCTCGACATTCGTTACTTTTCATCTCTCGTCTCTACTCCAGCATTTCAACCCTCTAAACATATCCTTCTTTAATAGCCTGTTCTCATACCCGAATTGGATTATCGTTCGATGTTGTTGCTTCTTTACATTGGTTAGTGGTGATAGCTGGTGGCCCATTGGAAAAGTCGACATTACATCTGTACCTGTGTTTTGCAAGTTAATCATAGCACTACTTTATCCATGATGGGTTCTGGAGAATATGACGAGAAAACCTCTCCCACGCTGACCCACGCGCCGACCGTCTCGGATACCGCCGTCGGCGAATCGGAAAAGTTCGCTGAAGAAACAGAGAAGTTCCCTCCGGAACCATCGCAACATCTTCAAGTCCCTTCCGAATCCGGCAGAATGCCCTTGGATCAAGGAACCCTCGGAAGCCTTTCAAAATCCGAATCTAGAGAACAGAACACCCGCTTTTTGGACGATCTTACGGTTGTCCAGGCGGAACGGAATATCAGCCAACAAGAATCGGCCGAACTTCGTCGTACTCACTCTAAGGCTAGGAGCCATGAGCCCCCGGTGAAGGAAGATGTGTTTAATCAACCCACCCAGGCCCCTACTCTTATTGGTTTAGCCCCCGAACCTCCAACCCAAGTGAATAAGGCGATCCGGCGAATTAAGAAATTGCCTCGGATAGTTCGATATTTCTTGTACAGCATACCTGTAACCCTTTGTTTGGTGCCCCCGATATTTCTTGGGGCTTTTCTACCACAGGAGAGCCAGGCTGTTATTGGTGGTCCTGGCGGTGTCCAGTTGATGTGGTTCGGGATCTGGCTCGAAGTCTTATGGTTATCGTTGTGGGCAGCCAGAATAGTGACTGCCATAATGCCGTTTCTCCTAACTATGGTGGCCAAACTGTTGCAAGGAAATCCGAAGAAATGGAATGGAATTGGCCGCCAGCTAGAGTTGCATACAGCATTGTTTCTTTGGATGCTGGCTGTACTCATCTCATATTACCCTATCTTGAATAACCACAAGGTACCAGCTCGAGTACCCGAGGACGCTGACACTGCATACCCGGACATAGAATGGATCGGCGTCTGCAACAAGATCATAACCGCTGTATTCGTTTTGGCTATCCTGAACTTCTTCGAAAAGATTTTCGTGCAATGGGTTGCTTCGACTTTTCATAAGAGGACATACGCGGCACGTATCGATACGAACAAAACGGCTATCTCGTAAGCTCTACTTTACTCAATTCACCTCTAAGAAATGTCACTGATCGATGAGAATAGATACTTGGTTCATCTCTATGAGCACTCCAAGGACAGATTAGTTTCGGAAGCGTCAGTCATGAACGAGCAAGGTCGGGGGTCTGGTAGCAAAACCCCTATGGCGTTTATTTCGGACAATGCTCGCGATACTATGGCGAAAGTAGGCGATACCATCAACCGTGTAGCCGGTGATTTCACCGGACGTGAAGTCAAGCTCAGAAATCACCCAAGAAAAGTGGTCTCCGAGCTACTTCGAAATACCAATTCTGCGCAGGTCCTGGCTAGGCGTCTTTTTAGGACTTACGCCAAACCAGGCACCGATATCTTATTGCCACATGACCTTAGTCCGGCATTCTCCAACGCGGAGGAAGCCGACGCGGCGTTTAACGTATTTGACCGCGACTTCAACGGCGATGTCTCCATGGAAGAACTGGAAGCCTTCTGCGACGAGGTTCATCGCGAAAAGAAAGCAATAGCAGCGTCGCTTAAGGATTTAGACTCCGTCATCAAGAAACTTGACAGGGTCTTCTTTTTCGTCTGCGTGATCATTGCGGTTCTCGTCTTCATCTCGATAATATCGACTAGCACTGCCGCCGCATTGGCATCGTTGGGTACCGCTGTTTTGGGACTTGCGTGGGTGCTACAGGCAACGGCTCAGGAATTCCTGCAATCTATCATATTCGTTTTCGTGAAGCATCCGTTTGATGTCGGCGACCGAGTCACCGTGTACGGCAACACAGGATCCCTGATGAGAGGCGACGATTACTACGTCACTGAGATCTCATTGCTGTACACCGAATTTAAGAAGATGGAGGGTCACATAGTCCAAGCCCCCAACTCGATTCTTAATACCCTATTTATTCTGAATCATCGTCGCAGTGGTCAGTTAGCTGATGTGTTTGAACTGCGGATGAGATACGGTACTCCAGGATCCGTTATTAAGGAGCTCGAACACCGTATGACTGAGTACGTCTTGGCCAATAAGCGCGACTTCACAGGGAAAATCTTGACGGAGCTTAAAGGCTTTGAAGATGCGTATTGCATGACGGTCAATCTCATATGCTTCCACAAGACAAGCTTCCAAAACGAACTGTTGCGTCTTATCAGACATAATAAGTTTGCTATGGAGTTGATGGCTCAGATGGTTGACCTCGGAATCGAGCAACCTCGCCGACAGTACCAAATTTCTGGAAGGGACTGGCCCGTCTTCCAGTCTAACATACAGCCACCGTCATACGAAGAACAGAACCCGACCGTGGACCCCGCTATACTATCTGCCACTCGTCGACGAGCCAATTCACACGTCACCGACACCACAGGGGACGTGTTCCAAGACGTCTTCGTTGTGCGGAAGAATAGCAACCCAAGCTTCAGCCATCCCCCGCGCATACCCGAAGAACCTGCCGAAGCGAGCGGTGCTCTTGGGAGTAGTTCTCAGCTGGAGAAGTATCCCACGAACGGTAGCGGCGGCCGCAGCAGCCGCAAAAATCTATTCGCCCGTACCATGACTCTGAGAAAGAGCGCCGAACGCTCCGAGCGAGATAGGGATATTGTTTGAGGAGCTGGCAGCGTCTCAGGAACGAGAGCGATTGTTCAGCGTACATTAATGATTAATGGGACATATTCTCTTTTCTTTTCTTCTCTTGTCGAACAACGCATAGACTGGCATGAGATTACTCGGTATAGACTGGTCATATACCCCATGAGGCTGAAAGTTTTAGATAGTGGTGTGGCGTACAAACAGTAATGGATCGTTATTTTACACGTTAACCATCCTTGTCGAGCTCTCGGTGAATGTGACGAGTGATCTGCTAAAATTGTCAACATGTAGACTTGTTTACTTCGCAGCTTTGCCGGGTTCGTTTTGTACGAGGTAAAGGGGTTAACCACGGTACCTCGTAAATTGGTACATTACGGGGCTGGTGGATTGTGGGGTGAAATTAGAGCGTAAGGTTGGCGAGGGCCATCAAGCTACGTTGTACGAACATACGATGACATCGGATCACCCGTCGATCAGACGGCGTAAAGAAAAGCTATGGATCATCGACGTCACTGCCCAGACGCATGTAAACAAAAACATCCTTGAGATCGAAAAAAAAAAAATGACCGCCGTCAAATATAAGGCGGGACTGGAATTTGTACAGTAGTTTGAAGCAAGAAAAGCTATAGTCACAAGAAGCCAGATCGTTATATACCTAGGTAGTAGTTTTATCCACGTGAACTTTCTGTTTCGTCTCTCATATGTGCGTTTTTGGTTCGCTGCATTTGCAAATATCGTTTCATATCATTTCATTTCATTTCATTCCTATTGAAACTCCCCATCCGGCCAAGAACTCAGATGACGGTTATCCCTTTTCTATGTAAATGTACCATAAGGGTATCTCAAAGTGTGGTTGGTGTGGTGGGTGTGTATATGGTTGATATAGAAAGAACACGGGAGAAGATTTGTCGCCGCCGACGCCAGATGTATGTTACTGTCGATAATGGGAAGGAAGAAAGTAGTAGTAGTAATAGTTGATGATGTTGTAGTAGTTGCTCCAGAAACAGGAATAATTGTTGTCAATGCCATCCGTCGCTTTTCGATGGCCCCATAAACGCCGACCCAATGCATGCTAGGGGGTCCAGTTTGATCCGGTTATTCCCCCTTTAACTCAGAAGTATTCTCCAGATCTCGTACACTTTCCCCTCCTCCTTTGATATCCACCACCAAGAGTATTCATTAAGACGCACCGTATACCAACGTCATCCCAAAAGCATTTTATGCTTTGCCATCTTCATCCTATTCCTATTCCGTCGGTAATCTCTACCCCTTTATACGTATGATATTGAATATACAAGCTTAGGATTTCTTCGATATCGAGCTCCTAAAGCCATTGACTTTCTTCATAAGACTCTCGATATCGGCGAGGTGAGCTTCGGCGTTTGTGACGGAAGGGCTATCCCTCTCTTCGCTCCTAATCCGCTTCATACTAGGGGGCGTCCCGAAGTCAACTGATGCCAACTCTTCCTCGCCTGCGGTACGCTTTCGCTTCTGACTTCCGCCACTTGAAGGCGTATCTCTAGATTGTACTAGTCCATCGGTCTGGCTGGGTGGCGAGAAGAAGCCACTCGGTAGGGGCGGCGGTGAATGGACAGGGGTCGTAGATTCGATAGGTAGTACTCCGTAGTTCCCCAGCCCGGAGGTTCGTTGATCTCCTTGCAATATGGGCAACGCTATTGATTCATGTAGATACTCGCCATTGGGCATTCGTACAAGTCCGTTGGCTTTAAGACGCCAGTACGGATCCGTAACTCTCGATCGAGATTTCGAGACTCGGTTGCTGTTATAACCCAGACTAGAACGATAGCTCGAGCTAAAAGGCGAGGAGCGGAAGCTCCCCGTCGACTTATACAGAGAGGCGCCTCTTTCAGCCAAGCGGCATTGGGCCCTAAGCATTGCTGTCTTCGACCCTTCCTTATGAACTTTCGGTTCCGGTAGCGCTTTAAGAGGACGAAGTCCGCGCTTGAGACGATCATGGTTTTCCGCTCGTAGTCGTATCTTCATTTCGAGATTTTTCTCCTTTTCAAACTCGGGATCACTACCCATCGCGGCGTACCTAGCCGCGGCTCTCTCGTCTCTCACGCCGTTGAAAACTCCGGTTGCGAGTAATTGATCTTCAATATACTCGATTCTCGATTGACGGCTCGAGGTCTCGAGTTGTGACTCGTCTAGCCCATCTTCGAGGCTCTGAGATCTTGATTCCACGCTTGATCTGGCTGAGTGCCTTAGATGAGCGGCTTCTTGAACGTTACGACGACTCCTCTTCAGCATCGAATCCTTCGCCTCCTTGACAGTTTTTGCTTGCTTATCCTTTTCGGCTCGTTCGCGTTTTGCCACGTTCTCGGGCAATTTCCACTGCCTGCCTTTCTCCATTTCCATCCTCATACGCCTGATACGTTGTCGCTTCCGGAAGCCATCCTTCCAACGATAGAAGAACTTGACTTTAAGACTCTTCTCTCTAAATTCGCGTGCCTCAGCTAACAACCTTTCCTCCTCTTCTTTTTGTGCGCGCTTCTCTTCATATTCTTGGAAAGCCTGCCAAGTGTCTTTGAGTATATACTCAACTGCAAGTTCCTCAAGCTGCGACTCCATTAAGCCTTTGTCTCCGCATACGAACCACTTGGTGAAATCCCCCATCAAATCACGCTGGGCCGTTTTCTGAGGTGGCGTCTTCGATAGGAAATCGGGAGCTAGTGTCGCCGATGCTTCCTTTAACGAGCTACCCGGAGGCGCTATAGTAGGTACATCGACTGTGGATGATTGACTGGCAGCGAAAGGGTTTTCTACCTCGGGAGCAGCCGGCTGTGTTGCTGTAGATGCCGGGAATGCGGGAAGGCTAGTAATTGTCGGCTGAACTGGACTGCCAACAGGCGATAGTGTCGTAGACATAACTGAAGAAAATTGTAATTGGGATCCTTCTTTGTTTGAAAGAGGTCCCGGGAACGGACTGGCACTAGGCAAAGCCGACGAGGTTGCTGCACCTTTGTCCCCGCCATTATTGTTAGGGAAGCCGAACACGCCCGGCGTAGCAGTCGCCTTGTCTGTGGGAGTAGGAGCATGCCCAAATGAAATCCTATCATCGAATCTCACTGTCTTAGGCGCGGATACCGTAGACTGTGTCTGTGGCTTTTGAGGCCATGAGTCGGACGCGCTGGTTAAACTTCCAAACGGCGTGGTCCCTGAAGTACTTGGCAAAGAAGGCGCTGTACTAGAAGGGATGAAGCTGGTAGATTGAGCTCCGCTGTCTTTGCTGGGCTGCGCGAAGATCGATGTGCCAATTTGTCCCAAGGTTGTAGAAGTAGGGACGGAAGGGGATTCTTGGAGCTTAGAATCAATGTTGGGTTGTCCAAAGGTAGGAGCGGTAGACTGCCCCGTAAGTGTAGACGGGCTAAGTGAACCGGTTTCACTCGGAGTGGGGGATCGAGACTGTTCGACAGGAGCAGCAGTGTTCTGTCTGGTGACAACGTGATTTCCGAGCATCGCCGGAAGAGGACGGGGGCTTGCTGCCGACTCGCCGGACTCACTGTCCTGGGCTTCGCTGTCTCCTTCTTCGTTGCTATCTGATGAGGCGCTCTGCGAATCGGTGACAAATAAATTGTCGTTCTCGTCGTCTCCTTCATTAACTTCCCCTATCATATGCGAATCTGCTGCAAAATCCAATTCGGAGACAGTCGAGTGAACAACCACCGCGAAAGGTTGTCCGCAACGTTTGCGTTCTACAATATCTCCGGAAAAGGGATGCGGTACTCGAGTGTCAACATACTCGGGGTTTGGACAGAGAACCAGGTAGTTGCCATCGTCATCGAATTGAAAACCATGTTTGGTGAAGAAATCGACAGCCTCTTCTTCGGTATCAGTGTATAGATACTGCTTCAATATGGCGGGTGTGAGATCTTTCGGCCCGAATCGAGGCCTTGAACATGATCTCTTGACAAGCTTGACTACCGCTTTACGGACAGTATTGAAATGTATCTCAGCGAAACAAGCCATGGTATACGACACTAACGGGCTCTTAATGAACTCGAAGAATGACGAGGCAACATCTGTGGTCATCTGGGTGTTCGATTCCGGATGTAAGGGGCCCTGTAGCCTTTGCACGTTTTTGATGCATTCGGTGATGAATATCGCGGATTTAATTCCCTGGGCATCTCCAAACCGGCGATCCCAGTCCTCGATCCTTTCTGGAAGCGACGGGTTGAAGGCATTGAATACTATGAAATACCCTCGAAACTCGGCCTCATTCTTGCACGTGATCCCTTGCTGCGCGCAATCGTCGTAGACTTCCATCAACGAAATTAGGGTCTTGCTTAATTGCTCGACTTCCTGTTGCTCTGAAAAGTCAACGGGGGTGAAACCACTTCGCGAGAGTAGGTGAAGCGATGTAACATGGAAACGAGCGATCGTCTCGAGACAGTAGATTTGATCCTTGATTTCCGCAGGTGTCATGGCGTATTTCTGGAAAGAGAAATCTATCCGAATGGCGCGAGTACGGTCCCAAAGGAAGCTGTGCCGTTGAGGTAGCAGGTCATCCGACTCGATAAGATGGGTTAAATAAACCAATGTTTTGCGAAGTGTATTAACTGATCGGACGTCCATCGGGAGCGGCGCATCCTGTCCTGCGGCTGATCGAGCAAGTCGTTTAACCATCAGCTCAGGCATCGGAACAAGTTCGCCTCGGTCATCTGTTCCCTTCTCCGGACCTTTGATATCATGCTCAACAATGCGGGTAATTTGCTCCCATTCAGGGCACATCTCTTCACAAATGCCCTTGAAGACAAGCGCTTCGTCAAGTCTTCGCTTCTTATCCGGATCGTCAATCAGACCTGCTCGCATGAGCGACTTCCTCGCCCTTTCTCGGTAAGCTTTGTGAGTCTCGCGCAGGCGCTCTATAGCATGGCGGTTCTCGAAACTTCCTGGATTCTCCGGCCATCGTGGTGGCTTAATGTTATCTTTCTGTAACTGATCCAAGATCTTCTTAGCGAAGACTTCCGGTTCCTCTCTCCTAGAATTTGCCGGTTTGTCAACCGCAACCGAAGTATCTTTCTTGGTATCCCGGGTAGACCGAATAGAGGCGACTTCGGGGTCTGGCGACTTTCGCGAAAATTTGGACCTTCGTTGGAAATCATTCTCGCTCTTTCGCTTTCCATTAGTCTGGTTCTTAGGTGCCGAATCTGATGCCTTTTGGCTCTGAGTTGGCCATGCTGGCTTGACATATTCGGAACTCTTTCTCACTCCATTCGTATTTGGTGTGGATCTAGCTCCACTACCACTAGTAAATGGTGAAGGTTGTTTCACGAAGGGGTTTGGCGTTGTAGAAGTGGTGGTGGTGGTGGCTGTCGGTTTAAAACCTTGTCCGAAGCTAGGTTTTCCGAATGACTTCGGTTCTCTAGGAGCTGAGTTGTGCGATTGCCCAGAAGAAGCGAATGGGTTGTTTTGGGCCGTAGATGTAGAGTTCGCGAAAGGGTTCGCGCGTTTAGTTAAGAAAGGGTTTGGCGCGGGTACCGCTCCGTTAGGTTGCTTTTGCAAAAACGGGTTGGGTGCGTTGGACGCGGCGGGTGGAATCTGTGCAAATGGGTTCACTGGCTGCGAAGGCGTCGGCGTCGGGTTGGCGAAGGCTATAATGAAAGAAATAAGAGTCAGTGGTCTTGAAGTACCCCTACATCTTCTTCACTCCGACGTCCCATCGCGTTCCAACGCCTCGATATGGTTCATCGCCTATCCATCCGCTCCCTTGAGTCGACTATCGGTATAAATTCAATGGCGCCGGAAGTAGGTAGATTATCGCCGGAATCGTCGCTATAGTTATCGGGGAAGGGGACAGGAAGGCAAAGTGATTTTACTTACGGTTGGTAGGTGGGTTCGGCCTCTGGCCGACTCCCCAACCACCCTGCCTCTCATGAAAAGGCATTGCGCTCCGTCGCAGTCTCAAGCGTATCGGTTGTCATCGATGATGCCAGGTAATCGGTATCGGACAGGAGAATGTGAACTAAGGCGGAGGGTGTGGAAGAACTGGTGGGAAAGTACACAAAGAACAGTTGCCTCGAGATCCGCAAAGGAAGATGTCAATTAGAACGAAGCGTGGACGGAGAAGTGTATATGGATTGATAAGAACACGTAAAAGGGGGTTTTTTAATGAATAGCGGTGTTCTGGCCAATGATGCGCAGGACAAAAGATTTGAGTGAAAGTTGTTTTTGTAAGTATTGAAGTTTGGTGATTAACAATTGCTGGTGTTGATCCATGTGCAGGTGCCCAGGTGTTGCCGTGTAGGGATTAGAATCGCATGCGGAAGAATACCTAAGAGCTAGGAAGCTACAGTCGCCCGACAAAAGTTTGAGTCCGTTTTGTTAAGGCTCAAGTAGCGCCAAGGCGCTAGGCCTAGAACCGTAATACTAAGCTTGATTAAGTAATTTTAGTCTAGCTGCTTTATAAATTACACCCTGACTGACCGCGCCTAAACATTAAGGAAACGCTATAACAGCTTATCCTATTAAGGTCTTTATTTAATTTAATATTTACCTGAAAAATTCGGGCAATAATAGCAGCTAACGGGTAGTATACTCATTATTAGAATATAAAAGATTTAAAATGTATAAAACGGCAACGTTTAATTACCATATTGGGATAGCGTGTTCTATAATAGGAATAGTAGAATCTTGGCGCTACTTGAGGCTTAACAAAACGGACTCAAACTTTTGTCGGGCGACTGTACCAGGGATTCCTGCCTGACTTGACCGCCTGAATTTTATCCGAAAATGGTTTAGGTCCCTTGGCCGTTAGCCTCTTCAAAGGGTTCACGCGAAAAAGGCACAGCGCATCGAAACATAAGAGTTGGTCCAAGCTCCTTGGTACAACGGAATGCATTGCTCTTAATTGGTTGTGGCGCAGGTAATCCAGGTACAACTACGGCGACGATCTGCCTTCTATACGTAGGTAGTGAATTGAAATTACAGCACTATCAAACCGCTATTTCTTCCCCGCGGTGTTCCCCTAACTTATTGCATTTAGTGGTGAAGTGCCTAAACTTTGAGGATGAGGTCATCGTAACTTATCGCAACCATTTACCGGACATAGTTTGCGGCTGTACTTTTAATTGCTTAACCGGCATTGGATTTGTATCCATTAATTCCATCCAGTACGAGAAAAGAAAATAAGGAACGAACCAGCCGAACCTTAAGTTATCTAGGGCCAGGTTGGGGTCAACACAACCTTATTCATACCTGGGACCCATGCGGATGCGGTCAATTCTTAACTAGCACCATTCCCATCTCATCCTTACCATCTTTACCTTTTACTACTCTGTCTTGTTTCATTCCCTCACGGCGAAGTCTTTCTTTTTTCAAGGGTCTTGTGTACGTAGTAGCATGGAAACTTCAATCTCACCTGCATTACTGCATCGATCAACCATATCGCGATCTCCTTGTACATACAGCCATCAAAGCCACGTCCACATCTATCCCTCGATATTTCGAGAATTCCGAGTTTCTCTATTCCCAGCGGATGAGCTACAAGTCCCTCTTAATCCTATCAACTATGACCTCTAGCAACTGAACAACGAAACAAACCAACTTCAAATCGGAGGTCCGACACTTCGAGCCTTATTATTTATACATATACCTAACTGCCCAGGTACCTAGTTTACGTGTGGTACGAATATTCGCCGAGCGAATGACCGCCCAGAGAAGTATCCGTCGGGTTTCTATATCATCTATCCTAGACCGACTACATACACGATAAGACCTGCGGGCGCTCGCCTTTGACAATGGCATTCCTCGAAGACCCTCGTCTACGACAGCGATGGAACCAGATCTCGCACACCACCGAGTCAGTCACCGAGAATGCCGCTGCTGGTATCTGGAGCTTCGGACATACCTACGTCACACCTTGCCTCTCCTCCATCACATCGGCGTTGGAAGGCTGCTCGACAGTGTGCCTCGGTGACCGCGAAGAACGGGCGCGAAGAGCAAGGGAGCGGCAGCGGGCGCAAGGGAGGGCCGAATATAGCTTCGACTTCTATGACGACTGGGATGAGGAATTAGGTGTCGGGGATGACGGAGGAGGGCTACTCGGTGGTTGGCATAGTGAAGACTGGGATCGACTGCTCGCGGGTACTGGAAAGAGACGGTCTGGAGGCGACGTCCAGGAACAGCCTAAGAGAAAGCGTGGAATGAGTTACGGGACGAGAGGACCGCGTAGGAGGGCCAGCAACCAGGATGATCCGACTATTATCCCAAGCACCGCGCCCTTAGGCTTTTTGGGTCGTCTGCCATTCAAAATTGGGGGGACCTTGAGATACAAACCTAGTGCGGCAAATCTACAGGAACATCCCGGGGCATCGAGAACGACATTAGAAACTGAACGCGAACCATTATTGGGTAGCGGTGAAGGCGCAACACACCTTGACGAATCGCCGACGCACAGTAGAAAACGGAGCGGAACGGTAGGCAGTGGAGATACTAGTGACTCGTACAGGTCGAGAGGCGATCTCTTCCCAAGCGACGATGAAGGAGAGGAGGACGCGATCCCATTAGACGACGAATTCACCATTGCGCTAGAACACGTAGACGATCGCTCGAGTAATAAAACCAGGAGTAGCAAGGGAAAGCGGATTGCAGGTCGTGCAATACCCAGGAGCGTTTCAAGGACGACGATAAATTCGACAAGGCCGTCATTGCGTCCTAGCTTAGGCTCAGGGTCAATCCCTCCAGAAAGCCCAGCATTACTTTCGACACCATCACTTGAGGACTTGCGACTAGAAGAAGAACGGATGGAACGAGAAGAAGATGAAGTGTTGGAGAAAAAGAGACACGCAGCCGCGGAATTGGCACTTCGACGTGGGCTAAGTCGAGAAAATCTCCAGATAGAATCTGTCCGCGAGGCGAAATCGGAAATGGTCAAGGTGGAAAAAGTACCAGTGCCGGAAGAGGTCGTCTTAGATGAAGACACAGATGACGAGCAAGCTGAGACTAGAACTAGGTCCGCGATAGGGGAGCATCGCCAATCACCAACACCAACACCAGCATCGGCGCCGGCGCCATTATCAGCCACCCCAAAGCTGACGGATCCGCCAGAAGGAGACTTCGTACCCGCACGATTACCATATTTCCGATGATCACGGCTTGTATGTGTTATTGAGTCACGGCTTTAGTTCGAATGATTGTTATTTATAGTACACATGCTGTATCTAGCGTTGCTTTATACCGGTCCAAGGTCTGGATTAGGAATAGACCTAAACGTAGCAGGTGTCAACGTCGTCCACGATGGATTATGGAGTTTTTTGGGGTGTACGATCCAATAACACATGAATGAACGAACGACGTCGATGATACAGGAGACTGCCGGTAAATTTCTGGCAAGCAGATTATCCTACTGGATAATTCGTAATTCGTGTACTTTTATAAAGTCCAGAGATACTTTTAGGGATGATAGGTCTGAAGACGTGATAGAGATCTTATAGATCACGCAAAGATTCAGTGGCCCTCCAGTTTTGAATAAGCGAGTTACTTGTTATAGTACTATATTGGGATTATAGGAGTTTGAGCTCTACAATGGTCGTTATTCAGAACTTAGAAATGCTTTCAACTATGGATGCATTAAGGTTCATATCTATGGTAAATATCTTCCAGTCGCTACTCAGTGGTATAAGCAGTATATTACCTCCCGAATAGATGAGATAATGGCCAGCCTAGAATGTCGTTCTTGAGCTCCCAAGCTCATGTATGTTCGTATATGTACGTAGGGTCCTAGACCCCTTCATCTCCCAAAGTAGATATGCCTCGGCACCTCTGGCTGTACCCCAGAACCCCACTTTGCAATCGGTTGACCTTAGCTCCCGAGAGCTATCGAAGTTTACAACGGGACCTTAATGTCGGGACAACTTAAAGTCTTAAAACATGGGGGAGTCGGCATGTCGCTGAATACCTACACACGATAGCATTTGATTCTTAAAACAAATATTTGCTTCGGGCTTTTGAGTCTGACCGACCCTACTTGTACAAAGGCGAGTTTGTTTGTAGGACATACAGCACAATCTTGTCGAGACGCCCTTCGATCGCCAACCAACGCCGTTGTCCATTATCCAGACTGGCCAAATTGACCCCCTTAATACAAACCTACAATATTTATCTTCATACATAACTTCGCTAGTGCATCCTTTGATTATAGTCTGGGAGAAACAAACTAGCTTAATTTCAACCTACCTATATAACTTCATACATACCTTCATACATACCTACCTTCATAGGCAACTACATATACTTATACATATTAAACTCAAACAACCACTCACCTAAATCTAAGCCCACGATGGCGCCTCCCAAAGGACCCATCGTAACCCCCCTAACAACCCTCCTCGGGATCCAGCACCCCATACTCCTCGCCGGGATGGCCCGCGTATCCGGCGGCGCCCTCGCGGCCGCCGTCTCCAACGCAGGCGGCCTCGGCGTCATCGGCGGCTTCCAGTACACGCCATCGCAACTGCGCTCCATCATCGCAGACCTGAAGTCCGCGCTCGCCACGCCGGACCTGCCCTTCGGCATCGACCTCGCGCTCCCGCAGGTCGGCGGGCGCGCCCGCAAGACGAACCACGACTACACCGGCGGCAAGCTCGACGAGCTGATCGACATCACCATCGACAGCGGGGCCAAGCTATTCGTCAGCGCCGTCGGCGTGCCGCCCAAACAGGTCATAGACCGTCTGCACGACGCGGGGATCCTGGTCATGAATATGGTCGGACACCCGCGGCACGCGCAGAAGGCGTTGGACTTGGGCGTCGACATGGTGTGCGCGCAGGGCGGCGAGGGCGGCGGGCACACGGGGTCCATCGCCTCGTCGATCCTTATCCCGGCCGTCGCGGACGTGGCGAAAGCTTACAAACCGCGCATGCTGGGGGGCCGCACGGCGCTCGTGGTAGCAGCGGGCGGAATCAACGACGGGCGCAGCCTGGCCGCGAGCCTGATGCAGGGCGCGGCGGGGGTATGGGTCGGCACGCGGTTCGTGGCGAGCGCCGAGGCGAACTCGAGCGAGGCGCACAAGCGCGCCGTCGTGACCTGCGGATGGGAGGACACCGAGCGCACGCTCGTGCTTTCGGGAAGGCCGCTGCGCATGCGCACGAATGCGTATATTGCGCGCTGGCACGCGCAGCCGGATAAGATCAAGGAGTTGTGCGATGCGGGCGTTGTGCCGATCGAGCATGATCTCGAGAAGAATGGCGAGGCGGATATCGATCCGCCGCATCTGATGGGCCAGGTCGCGGGGTCGATTACGGAGGTTAAACCCGCGGGCGAGATTGTAAGGGAGATGGTGGATGAGGCGGTGGAGATGCTGAGGTTGGGGGGGACGTATATCGGTGGTGGTGACGATGCGGGCGGGAAGGAGAGGAGTAAGCTATGAGGCGAAGCAAAGCCGGGGAAGTTCGGATGCGGGTGCGGGTTGCAGGGACGGGCCCGGGCCTGGGTGACGAGTATAGGCGGCACGGGGATTGGGTCCCAGTGTATCTCCGGGCGTAATGAGTTTACGTACGCAATGCGTATGTACATTCGTAACGTACTATGTTTATTGGCACCGAGTTTAAGGCGCAGTAATGGCGTGCCAAGGTGATTGGCGAGCGGAAGAGGAACCGACCTGCCGGCAGTTGACTTCAGCGGCGCGGGGGGGGGAGATTTCCAAGGTGGATGTTATTACATATACATACTGTACGTACATGACATTATGCAGTGTTACGTCTGGGAATAGCCTATCTCTGTATCTACCTACCTACCTAATAGACGTATTTGATTTACTCGGCTCCTTATCAACCCCGCCGTCCTTCTCGACACGGACATAAGCCGCGAGGAGACTCGGCAGGATCGGGTCTCGAAGGAACGGGGTCTCAAAGGAACGGGCCGACATGTTGGTCATATCATGATGCAAACTCATGTACATAGTTTAACGGTCAAGCTTCGGGGTGTCGGTGTGAAATCTGCTTGATCGGAGCATAAATGCACGCCACAAGGGGAAAAAAAGGGGGGGCTATGGGGGGATCAGCATCGCCTACATAACGCAGGCGAAAAAAACCCGCGGGGCCGCGTGTAAGAGGTGCGCGGAAGAAACAAAATTTTGAATCAAAAAGACAACCACATTCTCTCGCTTCAGCAAATGGACGATCCGCGATCTACAGCGGGCTTTGGGGGCTGCAGAACACAACGTGTCTCGGGAACGAATTTTTTTGGACATTTCGTTGCGCGTTGCAAGAGAAGAAAAAAAGGGGGAATGGTTCGCCGCGGGAGACTACGTGTTAGCTTCGCTAGAATTGTCACATTTCGCGTGTCGTATTGAGCTGTCGTAAGATTGTATCACAAGTTCTTTTATTTTCCTAGCCACTCTTCGTCACCTTGTTTTACTTCATGTTGATTGACTGATCGATGAAGGCTTTTTCTTCGTGCTATGTTGGAAAAGGCCAATCGATAAACATATCTACGTAAGCTAGATATCAACATATGTACCAAGTAAGGCAAGACAAGCTCGACAAGCTTAGCAAGCAGAGTCATGTCGTGTGTGGATGTCATGTCTTGGAAAGTAAGCAAATCTTAGAATCGATCAAGTTTTTCTTCAGAATGGGGGAGATCTAGATAGGTATGCTCGGCCAGATTCTCGCGAATCGCCTCAAACAAAGCTTGACGCCTAACACCATAATTCACATCACGGACCAATTGATTGCCAGTAAATGTTTAACATATTTGGGAATTAAATCCTTCTTAAGCTAGACTCTTCGACCTGGTTGGTTGGATTTCGAAGCGTACAGCATCCGTGGATGATGTACAGAGCAGGTAAGATAAGACATGCTGTGGCTGACAATTTTGTCATTACATGGAAATAACCAATCAACATAGCCATCTATCCCCGCAAGCTTTCCTAAACACTGCGGTCGACACCATAGGCTCCTTCTCCCATTGCGTTGGTAGGACCATCATCAGCGTATCTAACTCCTCGCGGGCTGCCTGCATCCTCTTCTTCATCGGATCCACAGCACCACTTTCTTGGACGTCCTCTTCCAACTGTAATTCTTCTAGACGTTGTACGTCTTCTTCGAGTAGCGCTGACTCGATGGCTTGTGGCTCGTCTTCAACTAGCTGCGGAAGAGGGCCTAGGTCGAAATTTTCTGTGTCGTGTACGAATATCATCTTCTCCAGTGAATTCAAGTCAACCTTCTTCCACCGTAGTACTCTCCAAGCACCCTCGGGAACGACGGCGAGGCGTTGTACCCGATCTAAGTCTCTTGTGGAAGCCCATAAGTCTGAACATTCGGGTTTGAGCTCTGAGTTTCCGAAGAATACGGTATCTCGGCTGAAATCGACGTATATTCTCGGTTGTGCATTTCCTACACCGAGCGAAAGTTTGTAGTGCTTGAGGGCTTCGTAGCGAGCCTCGGCGTTAACATGTAAGAGGGCAGGGATCTGTGTGGTCGAATACCACGTCTCCTCTTGGTTGTGTTGTTCCGACATTGCTTCTTCTAGTGACCTAGGTGTCTGTCCTTGTCTTGAGTGAGGCGACTTGACGACCACCGTCCTTGGGTCTGGCATAGCATATTGAAATATCTTGATGCGTATTTCAGGGGGAAGTTCGTTGAACTTTGGGAAGGCAGTAGGGCCTCGGCTCCTACTAGATAGATGAGAGGCTGTGCGCTCCATTGTATAGTTTATGAGGTTAAGGAGTTGGTAATATTGAGATTGTTGCCAACGGTAGAGTCTTATGAGTAGAAGTAAGGAACTGATCAAAGGTATGACGGCGATGGGCACGTCGTAATATAGACTTAGGCTCTGGCTCGTCCTTCGCGGCATGGTCATGTGTTGACCCCTGCCAGCGGTTTGGTAATTCTTAGTGTAGGGTAGTAGGGTAGCAGTGAGACTTGTGGAGGTATTCCTACCCCCACAAAGATATATGTATGTACTTCGTACTATGTAGGCGATGACGGCAAGATGACACTCGATTGGTTGGAAGTCCTTTCTAAGCGCAGGATATAGGTGATATATGTCGTGATATACGTGGTACCGACGAATTGGTCTGCAGAAACTCTGAAAGGATTCGTGTATTAAAAGGGGGGCATTGCATTGTAGATATCATGTAGATACACACGGGGTCCTGCCGCATGCGGTTCGAGGCTTGTCAGATTTATATGCGAGCAATGAGGGGTCTCATCCCACAATAGTACCGTCGTCGTTATTTGCCCCACACCAACGTTTGACAGGTGGGAGATGGAAACGAGGTACTCGTGGTCCAGGCTTCCTTAGAGCGAGGCCCGTTGATTAACGCGAGACAGGTACTGAGGTCACTAAATCAGGCGGTACATTTGCTGGGCGTCGAGTAATAGTCTCTTGAAATAGGACTGGAACGTGGTTTGATGAGGCGGCGCGAAGCCACAGTGGACTAACAAGGCAATTCACCTATTAAACGCCAAGCACAGCGGCCATAGTCACCGACTCTCCGTGCACTCTCGACCCCGACCTTGGTCACTTGGACACCCGCCAGAGAGGCCAGAGAGGCAAAAAAGAAAGATGGCAATGCAGCTGCGGCTACGCGTAGCTGAACACAATGTTGTAATGCGTTAATGCGTTTAACCAAGGATGACGCTTGACACGCAAACATGGTTTGTTCCGCCTGAACTATGGCAGACCCTCTGCGGTAAGCCGGCAGCAAGCAGCAGGTGACCAAATTACCGCTCGGTATTTTACGGCCTCGGGCTCATAGGATCTGGGAAGCTCGTTCGGTTCCGATGCCGAGATGTTTGGTGTGAATGAAGTAGGCTTAGCTTGAGAACGAATTATCCTGATCGACTCTATTCGGCCGATTCCAGTTCGCAAAGCTAGGTACCTGGATACATCATGTTATTTGTCCTCATACGTTAGCTGGTTGGGTATGTTCTCGCGAACCAATACATGAGACTTCGATGCAATATTTGGAGGGCCGTCAGCACCAATTGACGCATCCTGCGCCCTCCAATCCCATGCCGCAGTTGGTGATTACTGTAGTTTGCTCCATTACCCCAGAAAATCATCATGGGAGGATTTAGAGGCTGCATTCAAGCGAAACTAGGTGAGACAGAACACGGTTGACAGCCATGATTGGACAAGTAAGAAAAGAGATATATAGGTTAGTCTAGCCAGCTGGCCAGGCAGATATTCTAGCCAACCATAAAACATCTAGACAACCTAAGATACCCGATATAACGGATGGCGGGGAAGAAGAAGCAGCTGACGTCCTATAAAACGCCAAATTATGCTAGGGGGATAGTGATGAGAACTAACATCACAGCTATTTTGCTTTCCTGTGTTTAGCGCCTATAGTATGAGAGGTATAATCGGCACCGCCGTTCAGCTTGGGGTTGACTCAAATGCAAGAAGCATTCGTGAATCGTGATGAATGGGAAAAGAGCTCGGAATGAGTTGTGCTCAGGAGAAGAATTATGATTAGATAATACTCAATTCAGTCGCAAAAGTTAAGGGCGGTTCGCATCGGTAGTCGGGGGCCTCGACTTCCCGTCTAAGGGAGGTGGTTTCAATAATGCGGCTTACACTACTATGACGTCGGAGGACACACACTAGGGAAGTTCAATAGTACAGTAAACCTTGGCCATAACGATGCTCAAAAAACACCACTCTTATATCGTTATGTGAAGTTATCGTTATGTAGGGGTATCCACCCGAAGTGTGGGTCCTGTATCTTATAAGTATCTTCGAGCCTAAATTACTAGCGAGAGTACTTCAAAGATACTAAGGGCACTTTCGATCGCCCTTTGCCCTATAGATCTCGTCCTGGATATCTCGTCGATTTGCTCCTAATCTACCAATTGCTGGTTTCAAAAAAGATATAAATTAATACAAAAATATAATTGGCTACTAAAGGTAATATTTTCCTTTATTAGTGCCTTATTTACTTGGTCCATGCTGGTTTTGGTGTTGTTTAATTGAAAGTTGACTTCCCCATAACGATTATTTTGGTGGGAGGCTCAAAAGTTAACGATATTTCGTTAAGGTAAAAATATCGTTATTTTACATACAAAATCGCAAAATCCCCTTGACGATATCGTTATATAAAAATATCGTTGTATAGTAGAATCGCTATGGCCAAGGTTTACTGTATTAGGAAATAGCATCCATAGATACATGTACGTACTACATCCCGTTCATTCTAATTTCTATGGTACATCCATCAATCACCTTGCTTGTCCATCATCCACGAATATTGATCGTCTTAATTGGACTCGAGAGCTTGGCAGTCTGGAAATAATCAACGAAGTAATTATTGAATATCTAAGAATATCTCAGTGAGTTAGTGTGGTAGCACGGGTTGCCATATCCTGGATATCCCAATTCGAATGCCGCCATCGATGGGTACGGTCAACCGGCATAGCCCGCATAGAGAGGAATTTTCCTTTTTAGAGGGCCAAATAAAATCAATTTGCCGGCTCGATAGTAAAAGTTAGAATGGATTTGACGCAACAGGCCTCGCGGCATTACATCTTTTTCGCAACACAAATTTGATCGACTGCTGGGCAAATTCGTCGCCCTCAGTCAAAGACCGACCACCGACTGACTCTACAGTCCACGCAATCTGTCTTCAAAATTCTTCAATCATTAAAATTGGCCCCAAAACCATTGCTATGTGACATCATCATACCAATTTTTTCAATTCACCGACCTTATTCGTCACCGCGAAAATACTAAGGACGCGAATACGGTGAGCCACGGTGCTTGCCGCCACAGCATGAGCATTACGAACCATAATCACAAGATTAAGAGCCCTAAGGCTTAAATCACCAAGCTATGGATAGCCGTCTCACTTGACGAACCGGCTTCTACATGCTCATAACCACATGACGCAATTCCGAATCTCAATTGCTGTAGATATTATCTATCGTTCTATGACACCACCGTTACACAGCATCCCGTCCATCCCGTTACGTTCCTAAGATTCCGACATTCTTGTGAAATCCAAATTTATCAGACGAGTCCTTAACATGCCCAATCGCTAGTTTGAAGCGTGACTGTGATGACTATAGGATAGGAGCCGTTTATGAGCGATATTCGATTTAAATATCTACAGAACAAGCTGGTTATATCAGAACAGCAGAGATCACTCAACTTTACCTTTTTGCCAATATGTCGAGGGTTGACAATACTCACACCTCATATGAGAAGATATACGTTCTCAATCCTCGATCTCATACTCTGGAGCTATTGTATAGATACGGCGAGTCTAGCTAATTTCCTAATTTCAGGGTCACAATATCTTAACTGCAACCATACCCGGGCCCTTAGGTCAAATCTCACCATCCAAGGCGAATCTCCTGCCTGCTTTATTAAGCACCGCCTTCCGTCCATCTAGCGCTCTTTTCTGCTTGTTGAAATCAGAGTCCGTGGCCAGGTCTGTCATGCACGAATTCTCGCCAGAGATCTACTTGGGAATTCACCGGAAATAGGAATTAAAAGAAACAGGAGTCTCTTAGGACCGCGAAAGGCGCAATAGATGCACCTAAGGTTTACTACACGTCACATACATATTAATACCGATTGGATTACGCATCCCTATTAATGTAGCGTCGGAACTTGGGCCGGTAAAACAAGAGGCCTTTGAGTTAACTGCGATGTAATTTGGAGAATAGGGATGTTGAACAGAGAGGGTAAACGTCTTGCCTTCTTAAGTCCAGTATTATTGTTGTGTTGGCGTGTCAGAAACTCGGCGTGGAAGTCACTTACTCGGTACTTCATTTCTACCAGATCAAATATCTCAGCTTAGACAATCTGGTCGAAAACAAGTCATGTGGCACGAACCTCTGGATATTCCGGGGGGATATTATCTGGTTTAATTTACTGCTGTCACTATACTCTGCACAGTGATATCAGTGTAGGAAACGGCGCGCTATACCCATGGCGACAAAGCCCTCCAACCCTCCAATAGAGACAACAGAGACCGACCCTAGCGAGTTCCAACCATAGTACCAGGTAACGGACATGGGATCATACAATGACTTGGAGCCAAAAATCCTGGGCGACCCCTGAGAAACACAATTACGTCAAAGCTCGATTTCATGTCATTATCAAAGACGGGACTATCGTGATGCCCACTCAGCTCTGCAAAATATTGCGCGATAGTAATAGCAACCACTAGAGATCTTTTAGGGCAGTAATATTATCGTCTCTTCCTGTTCTAAAAAATTATTTACGTAAGTACCATATATAGGATACGATGTCAATTCGCATATTTTGATACATTGATTAGCACCTTGATGAGAAACCCAAATGCTAGATACACCATTTCGGGCACGTTCACTGCGGCTAATTACATTTTATAGTTGCCGCAACCAGATCAATCATCGAGGCGCGGAGCCTTGAGTAGGTACCCTTGATGCCCGACTTCGTTTCTTAGAAAAACTCTCACTATCATAGCATGTTGCCGTTGAGGGGAGATCACCGTTATGCCTAGCCCTGTCTGCCGCGCAACGTTCTCGTTCGAAAGCTACTGGCCTTCTCGGACCGTAGCAGCGATGTTGAATTAATTAATGGCTTGCGGGCCAGCCATATGAACTCACCACAAGTAGATGGCATGGGTAACAATGCTAAGAGGCACCATGGGCTTTAGTATAACTACTCAACAAATTTACAATTTCGAGCAGCAGATGCTGAAGTTCAGACGCAACGTCAAATATCTCACATTCCACCCCTGATGTCTCCCTCTATGAGGCAACATGTCCTTATTCATTGATGAGTATAATGTAATATTTGTTATTGAGAGCATGACCTATAGCCTCAATACCGACCCGCTAGTTGCCTTAACGAGTTAGGCAACGAGCAGAAAGTTTCGCTTGGCAACATGTTGATCCTTTGGGTTATCAGGCCATAACTTGGAATATCCTACACTGGGCTTCGTTGTTGTCATGCCGGGGATCGTATGAGGGGTGGTATCGAGGATTTGGGAAGGCCACTGGATGATCTGGAGTGTTTGTCTCCACCTCCACTGCTTGAGGGTAAGACTTAGTTACCTGTAATGTGTTAGTATCACCAGTGAGCCTTTATATGGCAGAAAGCAGTCTCGGAGGCTGATTCCAGTAATCTCCGCGTAGAGTTTAGAATATATGGATATTCAATAGGTTTAGGACCGTAAGTGTCACGTAGGTACTCTGCTACGAAGTATATGTTCAAGCGCAATATTGAAGTGAGGACATATACAATCTAGACGGGTTCGGAACTGGCCACCTGGCTCCTCTTCACTCAAATGATTATCAAGATAGTACATATATCACAATCCTCAACCGTACTGCTTGCTAGATTGTTTTGTAGGTGACATGCTGCTTCAACATTTGTCTGTCCCCGTCTCCTCACCCCCAGCGAATGGGATTTTCTACACATAATGGCATTTACACTCGAGGGGAATTCATTCAATATATCATTTTATACCTGTCGTGGATGTCAAATGGGGGAAAGGAGATAATTGAAAGAAAAAGAAAAAGAAGGGACTTCGAACCCGATTCGAACCCACGACAAAAACTTTGATTCGAGCGCTTGTTGATTATACCACTTGGACATTCCCACCGGGTTTTCCCCGGCGGGTACTGATCAGAAGTTTGTTACTCCTTATAAGCTTGATTATTTCCTGCAAGTGGTTGCTGGGGTTCGGTGGTGGCTCTGAGAGACGTCTTGGATAGGGGGATGAGAATGATGGTTGCTAGTAAGTCTTGAAAAGCAACAGCCCAAACCCTGGCGATATAGTTATGTTCGATATCTCGAACTCAATGCCTCGCAACAGGATTTACTTACCATTCCCCCTCCCCGGACACCAGCTCAGTCGACGTATCCCAACCTTAGTTCGCTAGTAACAGCGGAGAGGAGAACACCAAGCCGCATGTGACCGGTATAAACGGCTATCTGCTCTCGCATCCACTCACTGACGTGTCGTCCGACGTGGTTCTCCGGGCTGCCGTGTTTTGTGTTTGTCGTCGCACATGTGTCAATCAAGGGTTGAAGATACGACGGGTTACTTCCACGCCTCTGATCTTGGCGACCTTGGCGATATTTCCATCATAGTATAAGCTTATTCTCAATGAAAACCGATGTAGGTAGAGCGCATATATCAAATTGATAGCTACAATCGGCACCTCGTTTGAGGTCAACCATTGACCTCTACCTACGGTAGGAGCTCTGGAGGGAAGCTAACCTGCCAGTATTTCAGAAAGATGGCTCAAAGATTAACATAATGATATATAATAAAGAGTGTACGCCGGGTGTGTCGTTGCTAAGATGATCAACAATAGAAATAGAGGGGCCCATGAGTATAAGCGTCAAAGTTGAAAAGGGGTTAGGAAAATTGGTGGCTTACATAATGATGTACCCGCTTTAATTGTGGGGCCACTGTACATAAGCTAACGACGGGACCAGCGCCAAGGAAACGATAGATAAGATAACGGTACCTGTAACTTTTTTTCTGCGATCGCAACTTCCATGTTGCGATTGGATTTTGTTCACTTGAACAAACTTTTGACGAAATCGATTCAATTCACCCCATTTTTCTTCCTTCTTCTCTCAACAGCAACCTTCACTTCTCCTACGGCAAGAGTGCTCATAGCTAGCCCAACATGGCCAAGGAGCGTGCGGACAAGCCCCGCAAGGAGAAGGGTGAAAAGGCCGACAAATCCTCTAGAGACAAAGTGAAGAAGCACAAGAAAGAGAAGAAAGTGAAGCACGATGACGACATTGAGATGAACGACGCTGGGGACGAGCCTGGCAAGGTAGAAGTTTCTCCTGCAAAATCAAGTGGATCTGTAAGTGCTTCTATCTCTTTATTTCCCAAGTTCTCCAGACTAGACGGGCAGATATGCAATGCGAACATGTTGCTTATATTTAAATCTTAGTCGGTCGACATAACACTTGATTCCGTCGTCAAGCCTAAGAAGGCGAAAAAGGAGAAGAAGTCAAAGAAGGCTGCCGAAGAGCCGAAGACTACGACTTCATTCAATGATATGAGTCTACCTTTGCGCCCAGCCTCGAAGGACTCGAAGGACTTGGATTCTGATGGTGGAGCCCCTCTCTTCGCGATCGACACGAACCCTACTCCTGTCAACTTGGACTCTCTCACAACGGCCGAGAAAAAGGACGGAAAACCTCAGCCCAAGGGTTACAACCCTCCTCCCAGCGGACTCAACCGACAAACTCGCCGACGCATACGCCTTATCGAGCAGCAACGCGAGAAATTCCGGAAGAAGCTTGGCGTTCCGGAGGGCTCCTCCGAGAAGCAGGACGAAGTGCAGGCTAAGCTGGATGCGTGGGTCGCGGACTTCGATGGCAAGGCGGAGATCCGCATGAAGAATAAACGCCAACGTAGGGAGAAGAATGCTGCTAAGGTCCGGAACAAGAGAGGCAAGATCCTGACGGGAGAACGTCTCAAGACCCGCCAGAAGGAGATGCGCAAGGTGGAGAAGAAATCGAAGAAGCACGGCGGTATTTCCGTTACTAACGAGGCGTGATAACCCGGATCCCTTCTTCACTATGTTCATTGCATGTCCTTTTTCCGGAACGGTTCTCGAGGCGTTAGGGGTGTGGCAATATGAAAAGCTTGCTTCTTTGGCACAGTTTGCTGGTTGCTCTCGGGTGACCTATGATCAGGGAGGGAGTTTGCTAAGGCTGTGATGTATGCTAGAGCATTCACGAAAAGTCAATACTATGACCGTATTATGCATAATGTTTATTTCCCGCAGATATTCAGGTATGCTTTTCGTAGAGATGAGTATGGCTCTGGGCCACGCCGCATGACACATAATCCCTAAACCGACGAACTCCAGCCCATCCAATATAACCCCCATTTTATATGCAGGTGCCGTGATCGCAATGTACAATTCGTCTATCATACCATACGTCAAGCCTACGAGAGGCTATATCAAGACTTCTTCGACTCGCCCTCCGCACTCCCCTTTTCCTTATCCGTCGTTTTATCTCCGTCATCCTTCTTCTTGCCTCCGTTCCACACCTCGGAAATCTGCTCCACGATCAGACCCCAGTACCCGACTCCCCCCTCGCTCAGCGCCTCCTTCTCCCTCTGGATCCGCTTCTCCTTCCAATCGTCCGGGCTATCGCCCATCCACAGGCGCTTCAACATGCCCCTCTCAGACCCCTCTTCCCCCTCTTCATCTTCCTTACGCCCTTGTTGCTGCTGCTGCCGCTGCCGCTGTTGCTCCTCGACCAACCTCCTCTGCTCGGCCGGCAACCCCCCCACATCCCTAACCGCGTGCGGGGCACCGCCCTCCAACTCGCGCAGCTTGCGCGCGCGCTCGGCGCGCTCGAGCCGCAGGCGCAGCTGCGTCTCCTTGGCCTTCTCGGGCAGCTCGGTGCCGGAGAAGACGGCGGCGCGGCGCGCGAACCGGTGCAGCGTCGAGGTCCCCGTGTAGTCGTGCACGAGCTGGTTCGTGCCCCACAGCGCGACGCCGCCGAGGACTAGGAAGCGCAGGTCCAGGCGTCGCGGCGGCAGGAACAGGGCGAATAGCGCGACGGGGGTCACGCCTAGGGCGACGTTGTGGACGTAGGGGTTTGTGTTGTTGTATTGGTCTACTTGAGGTTGTTGTAACTGCTGCTGTTGCGGTTGGGATTGGGGTGGCGATGTGGGCTGTGGAGGGGTTTGCGGGGAGGAGGTGGACGCCATTGTTGCTTCAGGTTTGGGTGGTGGTGGTGTCTGAGGCGGAAGAGTTACGAGCGGGCGGGACGGATCGTCGCGTTGTTGTTTCTCGGAGGGAAAGCTCCTGGGTTATGGTACCTGCTTTGGAATTGAGGCGTACGTGGACAGATCTTACTCCTTCCTCTTCTCTGTCCCGTGCTCTATCGCGGAGTTGAGATGGGGGTAGTAAAAACAAACTTTCAAACCTTAACTTATTTTTTCTGCAGGTGCTGATCTTTTGGCTCGTTTTGAGCTAGTGGGCCGTGGTTCTGGGAGATCCCCGAGATTCCCCAAAGTGGGATGGATTTCATTGGCCGGATTGGCTGTAGCTAAACTGGGGCCCTTGGTTGAGATCTATCGCTGTGTCTTCACCAGCAAGGCGCCCGAACACTTAGACAATGCATGAATAGATAGCAGTACAAACTAGATGCTCAAATACGGAGCCGCATCCGGCATGATTGATCGCACATAATATCTGAGATGTTTCTACTTGTTTCAACATCCAATGTACCTACATTAGTCTACGTGCGTATGTGAATGCTGTCTTAGCCATAGGGCTTGGTTGGTGCTCGGATGGCGTGTGGCATTCTTACCTTTTACTTACATTTTACTTATTGCCCTTACGAAATGTTTCATGTACTTCAAACCATCATATCTTTTAGCTTGCCTTCATCATGATTCATCCGAGTGTCATATATGGGAATACGCTAGCATCATAGCTCAGGACGACATTCAACACAGCCGCAATAGTAAATGTACTGAAAAGTCTAGATCGTGAGAAAGGCGGGAGGAATATGATGGTTGCCTTGGCAATTTGTAACCATCACAAGGCAGACTCAAGGTTTGCGGGCTTCAATGACGCATATCCGCACTTGTAACCATTCGATAGTGATCGTGGTGTAACTTGCATTCAATCCCTTCGAAAGGCCGCATACTAGAGACCCTTATGACGGTGGTTGCCAATGGAATGTCGACTTTTCGGTCATGTCCGGAAGCTGCTGCGCCTTGCATTGGGGTTTGCTTGGCTAGCCTGCCGGCTCGGTGGACCCACCGACCGTTCTACCGTCGCCTTCCGTAGGCAAGGGCGCAAAAAGTCGGTCACAACTTCGTCAATTCGTAAGCTAAGAGCGGCAGAAAAGTGGAGATTTCCCCAATTGTCCAGGATATCACTGCACCGAAGCTTTTTAGCGTTCTGTCGCAAAGAAGGCTGAGTCGAATGAGTCGGGGGAACGTCAAATGTACCTGATCGTAGTTTCCCCGGTCTGAATTAATAACCTGCAAAATGTATCGAGGTAACGCCTCCAAGTCTTCGGACGTTGTTATTATTACCATTATTGCCATGCCTGTTTGCGCTTCTTCACCAATATAATCTGGACCCGTAGTCTACCCGGCGGTTAGATTTTATATCCGGGGTACCGACTCCGACTCCGAACTTGAAATCGTTCATCTGATATAAACTATTGCTTGGATAGCCAATGAGGCTCTATGTTGAAGCCCGGATGCAACAGGGGCTGCCTCATACCTCAAGACAACATACCTCCAGTGTCACATAATTCATGTCAAATACTAGGGTTGTAACCCCCGTGCTACCGGCCGAGTGGGAGAACTCGATTGCATCTAAAGTACGACCTCAATAGCCTATCTGACTCAGATTAAGAGCCCTAATACATCCCCTCCAGCGCTAGCCCTAGAGGTCTTGCGCCAGCCGGTATCACCACTCAACCTTGAAGACAGGAAACACAATTGGGGAACTCGGAATCAATGCATGCGGGGCGTTGTATTACCACTAAAGGCCCGATATACACACACACTGATCAAGCTTTTCTTCTTTTTCGGTGTCGTGAGTTTAATAGATACACAACAGCTTGTAGTGAGGCTGTCGTATAGTATTAAGCGATTCGGAGACGAGATGCGGCGCGGACATTAGACCACTGGAATCATGAATGCATTCGCATGTTGGAAATCAGTATGCCTAATGTATTCATTAGTCACGGATAACAACGAGTGCTATTTTATGTGGAATGTGGGGGTTTCGCCGATTGTTTCGGTACGCATCGTGATGGAAATAATTGTGCTCATTTGGCTAGGAATGCACAGCATAAATCTCGATATCACGGGGTGACGTTCTTACAAGGTGTTATGTAAGAGAATCGATGGTTCTATGATGCGACAAGGCGGCATACCAGAATGCACAGTAGAAACATATGAAGTCTGTGACTGTATCCCGATTGTATTCATCCGGGAAGACCTCCGCGAGAAGCAGATCTAGCAAGAGTCGGCAAATACATCTAGCCGACGGCCTGTCCTAAAACAGCAGTAAGCTACGAAGTTTGCCTCGGCATCTCTCACAACGACGGCAACATTTGAGGTTACTTCTGTGGCTGAAGTTCAATGCCGACTGTTCAAAAGTACCCCCTGGAACGCTATGCTGTGTAACACGTAATATTAAGGGTGTCAGCCCGTAGCGACGGGTAGTTACCTAGAATTGCAATGAAGACTGTAAATCCCTTAGCATGTGCATGGCGGCCTCTCGATTGCGTTTAAAAACTAATGCAGTCTTTCCTAGGGGATCTGAACGAATCAAGGTAAGTGATAAGGTTGCACTATAAGGCTGATGGATCGTGAAGGAACAGGGCAAACGTTTTGCTGGAGTCTCCGTATTGGTGCGTATTGGTATGGGGGATAAGACGATGTTTCTACCCTGCATACCTTACCCTTGGCAGCGATAGGTACGGTGGAGAACGATTGGTATTAGATGGACCATTAGGGTGATCATAAGGCCGTCATAGGGCTGAATTGGTGGGTACGAGTATAGTACTTTGGGTATGCTGGCATTCATTTCTGACGTTTTAGTCTAGGTACTATGTATGTAGTAAGTAATCTCAAAAGTGAAGTGGTGGTGTCAATACACTCTTAAAAAGTTCAGATGACAGATTGAACTAGTAGGGGTGTGTGAACGAGGTATATGGCTAGAGTTATGATATATTATTCAGCCCAAGTGTACCTATATAGATGCTTGGTATAGAAAGTCAAGACGAGATCAGAGTAGGAAATTACTTAGAACATTCAAACTTAAAAACATCGGTATTGTTGTGTCGAAGGAAGGAATATCTTAGACCATAGACGAAGTGGGGGGTTTGAGTTATGGAAAGGGAAAACGGCATTTGATAGTTGGTTGCCAGTGCGCTGGAAGGTTTAGGCCGCCCCGCAAATCCTTCTCGCCAAAAGTTGTTCGAGGCAATTATAATTGGACGATGCAATTGTCCCTGATTTTATTCCCATACACCTACTGCAGGTAAACATTAGCGACCTCTTCCGAGAAAGATCATGGATATCTACAGAACACATCCACGGATCACAGATACAATTTCAACATAGGAACCATAGAGACATCGCGGGCCGTATAGCTAAAGACATGCTAGTTAATAGCGGCAACTTGTCGTGTGTCCGAGGCTGCCGAGGCTTGAGGACACCCCGCTATGTCTTTTACGGTTCCATCCCGGACGGAATAGATTACTCTGACAGGAACTCATCATTCTCAGCCAGCCGTCGTCTTTCAGCCAAGATATCCACACCGGAGTATTAAAGAGATGTTACCTACCACCTGCGCATGAGCATTGCCAACGGTGTCCAACGGCTACGACACCATACTTCTTGTTGATTTTGCCAGTCCATGATTGATAGCAATTAACAAGACAGATGGCGTATGGATCTGACTCCTTTATTATGCCCTGCGTAAGGGAGACCAGGCTTTCAACAAGTATCCCGACGGTACCGGTAGGAAATCTACCTTACGAAATATCTGACCGAGCACAAATATTGGCAATTCGAATACATGTGGATACCTAGTAGGTACCTTACGTGCTATGTGCATTTGTGTGTCTGAGGTACCAAGGTTGACTCCCAGGTGTCCTGGAACTCCTCATGTCTACCTACGTAAGTACATACATGAACGCATGTGCTATTTTACTAACCTAGAACTTACGGCGTATGTACGATTCCAGTTGTTTTAACCCTATTGGTATTTCTACGTTGGCCTAAAGTCTTGGATCGTCACAGTAGTGCTGTGTACCTACATAAACTAGAAGTCTCCTAGTTTAGACGTATGCAGGGTATATGATTGGCGGCCTGCTTACTGACGACCATCCATGGAGGTAGCGGAATGTACCTATATGGACACTGTGCCGCAATCTAAGCCCCCAATTTCCATTCCAGATCAACAACCTGACTTGATCTCTTCCATCAAGAACCCCTGCCCCTCCGGCTTAAAACTAATAAAACACCGTCCACCGGCTTCCCATTCTAAATCTCATTCGATCCGTCAGAGGCGTCCAAGGTAAAGAAACTACATTTCTCTCACTTTTTCTTCCTCCTAGTCCTAGTCCTAGTCCTCCTCCTCTTCTCCGATTTTCTTTTTGCTAGTCACCTAGAAGTAATTGCTTGATACCCTTTTTAAAAAAGACGAGTCTGCTCGGACAACTCGAACGCGTATATATTGTTAATCTCGGCATATTCGCCACTTCGCTCCTTTTCATCCTTACAGCACAGGGCCAGTTAGTGACGCACAGCCTTTCATACTGAATCTTTTCAAGCTTAACCGTTACTAGTTTAATCGCTCCGGATCTAAGCGCGTCCGAATACATCACCACTAACAAAGGAGTGCCCCTCAATTACAAAAAAACCGCTGCGTTGGACTTCAAGCTTCCTCCTTGGCACGAGCTCTGCCATGAGAGAAGGGCGTGCTTCGGTTTTGCTCAGGGTCGATCGAAAATTCAGAGATATGATGAGCGCAACTAATGTCCCACGGGCTGGAGTGCCGACCGTGTCATCATCCGATATGTCTCAGCAACGGCCGAGGAGGTTTCGCACCAGCAAACCGAAAGTTAAGACGGGTTGCAACAATTGCAAGTACGTGCTTTCTTTAATTTCACCTTAATTGATATATATATCATATGTCGAGCGATTGGTTGCGCCGGGCGCACGATACTAAATGATTATCTGTGACTTTAGACAGCGGCGTATAAAATGCGACGAGCAGCGACCAGCGTGTACTCAGTGTGTTCGGTCCAAGAGGAATTGCAACGGTTATCCACCTCCTCCGCGGGCCAAAGTTTTTGAGGAGATCAGGATTGCGCCTAAGCCCGGTCGTGGGAATTTAGCCCCAATCTCGCCGGCGAATGATGCCATCCGGCCACTCCAGTCGCAGCCTCCGGCGCACCCAGTAGCTCCGCGGCCAGGACCTCAGAGAGCGTCCATGAATAGCATCACTCCTCCGCAAACGCCGGTGGACAACTCGTTGATGATTTATCGGCCATCTATGCTGCCGTTCGATCCGAAGGAAGGCCAATATTTTCAAATTTTCAGAGAGCGCACGGCCAGCGAGTTGTCGGGGTTCTTTGACTCCTCCTTCTGGACTCGGAGTGTCTTACAGGAGTGCCACTCGGAGGAAGCGATCCGACATTCGGTAGTCGCTTTAGGCGCTCTCTACAAGACCTTGGAGAAGATGTCAGAGTCACCACCAAGTTCACCGGCCGCCGTCATTGACGTAACAGACAATGCGGTCCGGCACGGGGAAGTTGCCTTTAAGCATTATTCGTTAGCACTGAACTCCATCATAAACTCCACATCGCAAGATCAGGCGTCGCAGAGGATGAGTCTCATGGCAACGGTATTGCTGGCGTGCTTTGACTCCTTCATCGGAGACCATAAGCACGCGATTGTGCAGATCCAAAGTGGTCTCCGACTCCTAGAAACGTTGCGAGCCCAGCGTAGGAATGCCTTCCTTCCTAAACCCGAAGAGCCGGTGGAACAAGACCTTGTTCAAATGTTCACCCGACTAGCTATCCAAGCAAAGTCATACGACATGGCTTTCCACTTCCCCCAACCATTCGTAATACGTCTTACTCCCCAAAACAACGAGAACTCTCCTTCGCCCTCTTCGGACGGGGGTTCCCCCGTTTCAACGACTCAATCACAAATACCAGAACAATTTCAAACACTTATCGAAGCGAGACTTGCGTGGGATACCCTTTGCGAGCGCATGATGCGATTTACCGAAAATATGTTCACATTTACGACGTCGATGAGTCCGATGGGCGTGCTTCCGCACTCTATGAAGCAGTATGGTATAGGGTTTGCTGAGAAGTTGGCCGCATGGTCAAGGGCTTTTGAGCCTATATTAGCATCTCGTTCAACTCCTGCCAAAAGCAGCCAGGAGAAAACCGCGATCGCAGTCCTCAAAATGAACCAGATCATGGGCGAGATCTTATTTTATATGACATTTAGCGATACTGAACTTCAGTTTGACGCCCATCTACCGCAATTTAAAAACATCGTCAACTTAGCTATGGAGGTGGTTGGAGATGAGGAGCGTAGGGCCGCCGCGAGACGATGTCCGAACCCACACTTTTGCCACCACCAACCCACACATCCCGACATATTTGGTGGACAGTATGCGGCCAAGCATATCAAACCCAGTTTCAGCGCAGACTTAGGCATCGTTCCTCCGCTCTTTGTCGCTGCTACCAAATGTCGAGATCCCACCATTCGGCGCCAAGCTATTCAACTGCTGCGGAGTAGCTCACGAAGGGAGGGTATGTGGGATAGCGAGCTCGCGGCTCGCATAGGCATGTGGATTATGGATATAGAGGAAGAGGAGGATGGCACCGATGACTTTGGACGCCCCACGTCAAGTTCGACAGACATGGGAAGACTCTCTGTGGACAGCTCTGGTAACCGATCTGCCGGCTCCCCTTTTGGTGATGATGTTCCCCTCGGTCCTGGTGGAAATGCTCGTTGGGGTAGCCGAAGGGATAGCACGGCGACTTCAACATATGGTAGGAGACCCATACCAGAGGAGAGGCGGGTTATGGTGCGGTCTGTCGAGTTTGACCTCCGTGAACGCGTCGCGACACTATCATGCGGCACACGAGGGTTAATACCTGGCATGCGTGATCCGCGAACGCGTAAAATTACGATTCGGTGGTGAAACCTAACTCCGTCGCTTTTCCGTTCATAATGGCAATCAGAAGCTGGTCTACTCGATGTTTTTTATGTCGCCTACTACCCTCGAAGGGTTTTTATTCACTTCGACTTGAACATTATTTCTATTCATTGGCAGGACCGTTTTTTTTCATTCTTAGAAATCTGCGAGCGGAACCTGGTTACGAGGGAAAAGCGTGACGACATAATGCTGGGATGGTTTGGCGGGTAGGGAAAATCTATGATAATGTCTCGATTATTTTGGTTAGCGGCGCGAACCCTGACCTACCTGGGTACTGGGAAGTTCTTCTGTTAGATGCTACTACTACCTTTAAATATATGATACCACCAAGGATAACAAAGCTTTTTGGTATCCAGTGAGATATGGAAGCTTTTAACTTGAAGTGATAAACATCAGCACACTCTTCGCTCCTCCCGTCTTTCCTTGCTCCCCCTCACTTTACCTATTCTTACTAACCTTTCTTTTCTGGTATATACCTATTATTACTTAGACGCCCCGTATCAGGGTTTGATATTAGGCAGTAGGTATGGATGAGAGCATTAGAATCTATCTGAAGAAATATATAGCCGTGGGTATGGAAGTGACATCAGAAAGGCCTGTTTATGAGCGTGCAATCAGGCTGAGCATTTTCAAGTTTAGTATGTCTTGGACTAGCAATTCATTTCGCAGGCCAGCTAATCCAGAATGCTACGCGATGGTCATTCACGTAGCTCAGGGGCTTAAGCATATACAGTACCCGATCAAAGAAAATCACACATTAAACGAATCTATTAATCGCACTCATACTAGGTATTATAAAAATAAAAAAGAACATTGGCGATTTTACAATGTCGATCATTATTACCTGACGCTTTTTTTGGATTTTGGAAATGCTCTTAAGATCTAGGAAGCTATCTTCTGTTGACAATCCTAAGTTTCATATTACGATCCATTCAAGCAAGAAGCCAAAAATAACCGATTAGTCATCAAACAATGGATCCCACATATCATGGATGCGTCGTGTGGGAACCCATTTTGGAAGCCACAACGTAATCATTGAAAGATGCCTAAGATGCCTACCAAGTAAGTAGGCGCGAACAACAATTACGGTGCTAAAATACTTAAGTCTGTCTTTAAAGAGTCTCGTGACTAAACCCAACTTAAACAACTTCAAAATTGAACAGTAAGGCGAAGTCGTTGCATTTTAGTTGGTAAAACTTTAACAAGGCAGAGAAGGAGAACGCGAAAACAGAAAATGCAGAACGGCACCCTCGACAACATACAAGGAAGTGTGCCTATAATTCCAACTGAGGCTTCAGGAACAAATAGTAATAGCCATTCAAAGCGGACTCGAGTTTTACTGAGTTGTGCGCCATGTCGCAATTCCAAACTCAAGTGCGATCGGGCGACACCATGCGGGCAGTGTCTTCGCAAAGGCAAACCTGACGGCTGTCTCTACGCTCCGCGGCCCGAGAAGCATAAGAAACCCGCAAAGAGCATGGCAGCCCGTTTGAAAAGGCTCGAAGGAAGTATGTGTATTTGTTTCCCAGTTATGTTCACTTTCTCTTAATGTTTCCCTCATTTCCTTTTTATTGTGACCTAGGTATCTACCTAGGACCTAGGTACCTATCCACCCTAGCAACTTTCGCTTTTACTTGAACAAGTTCAATTTTAAAGTCGTTCTCTGACAACGTATCACTAAAACACTATATAGTGGTCCGCGGGATGATCGACACAGATGGCTCCCCGCCTGTGGCGTCTGTCAATAAGACGCTGAAAGATCCTGGGGGTGTCGTCGTCCAAGGCCAGGGAAACACATCTTATGTCGGGGGGACACACTTCATGGCTATGTTAGAGGACGTGAGTACTTTTCCATACTATTCGCTTATATTCGTTGGTATATCAGAAATTAAACTACATGCATTAGATTGAGGATCTCAAAGGCTACTTTGATGACAACAACGAGGACGAGGATGAAACTCATGATCCGTACGAGAACATGGGGCCTACAGAACTGGTCATGGCCTCACGTAACGTGCCCAAGAATAAAGGGGATCTCCTAGCTGCCCTGCCAGAAAAGGCCGTGGTTAGCCGTCTTATGAATCGCTATTTCAACTCGAACAGCCCTTCTCAACGTAAGTTTCTCCAACAATTCTCTATGACTTCCATCCAGCTTGTAATTCGTCATTGCCTCATCGCTCACACATATGTGAAGACATTGTCCACGTCCCTACTTTCTTGAGAGAATACCACGAGTTCTGTAAGGACCCGCAGAGGGCACCTTTACATTGGATAGCATTGCTCTATATGATACTGGCGCTCGGTACCTTCTTCTCTTCCTTCAGTGCACCGCAAGAGCTAGAAAGTGATTCCCCCGTGCCAGCTCTGGACAGGTTCAAACAATATAGAGGAGCCGCCGGATGGGCACTTATCTGGGGAAAATATTCACAGCCAGGCCCTTATACTCTCGAAGCATTTATGCTGTATGTTGAAGGAGATTTCGTGACCAACCGCGAGAACCGGATGAACTGTTACCTACTTTCGTCTGTTCTAATTCGATTGATGCTGAAGATGGGACTCCATCGCGATCCTAGCAAATTGCCTGGTATCACTCCATATGACGGCGAAATGAGACGGCGCTTGTGGAATCTCGCCATACAGCTTGACTTGCTAGTTGCCTTCAATTTAGGCCTCCCCAGCATGACCCACGCTGTTGAGAGTGATACGGAGCTTCCGACAAATTTGATGGACGTGGACTTCGACAAGGATACCAAGGAACTGCCTCAAGCTCGTCCCAGCTCGGATTACACGTTGCTGACCTACCCGATTAATAAAGCTAGGGTATCCCGCATCTTCTTCCTAGTAGTCCAACAAGCACACTCACTTAACATTCCAACTTATGCCGAAGTGATGAAAGTCGATGCACAGATCGAAGAAGCATGGAATAACGTGCCCTCGATTATGAAAATGAAACCGATAGATCTATGTTTGACCGACCCGCCTATTCAGATTATTCAACGCTTTGGCATAGCAGCGATATACCAAAAAAGTCGATGCATCCATCACAGGCGTTATATCGTTGAAGAAGAGCCAAAGAAAGAGCACGATTACTCCCGTCGAGTATGTCTTGAGGCAGCATTAGCGCTCCTCGACTATCAGGTTACGCTGCATGACGCGGGAAAACCTGGTGGCATGCTGGGCCAAAGCGGCTGGTTTCTCGCTGCTCTGGTTGCCGTAAACGATTTTCTCCTAGCGAGTATGATTGTCGCTGTCGTGATCCAAAACGATAAGTACTGGGAGGCGGACGGCGACGCGAATTGGATAGCGCGGTGCATGCCACCAACAGTCACCAGGGACGAACTTCTTCGAACGATTAGAAGATCACATAATGTCTGGCAGGAAATGGCGAGCGAAAGATCGGAATTTCAGAAATGTGAACAGGTCACACGAATTATGCTCCGTAGGGTCCATGCACACCTTGGGATTGTGACTGAAGACGTCGATATGTCGGGTGCGAGGCCAAACGGGAGTAGCGAAATGACAAACATAGCGAGCTTGACGATCGACGGTAGCGAACCTGCGACAATGTCAAGCAGCAATGATGCTGCAGTTGATAATTTTGCCGAATTTGGCACAACAGAGCCAAACCTGATGACGACGGATGTTAGTGCTGGTCAGCCAGAGTCTGACCCCCCTTGGATGATGCAAAACGGCTACGATTGGGTAAGTCCTTCCTATCGGTATCCCTCCTTCAATGTATGGCAAATTGCTTAACAAACATATCCTTGACAGAGCTACTTTGATGCTATGACACGTACGGCGGATGCCATCCAGGTCCCTGAACAGACGACCGAAGATGCTTGGATGGCCGAGAAAAACATGGAAGACTTTCCCAATTTCGTGATCTCGGATTCGTGGAGCTTTCCTTCACCTTCATAAGTATCTACCGTCCGATGGATTCGGCCTCGACGATGAGGTATGTGACGTACTGGCAGCTGTGAAGAGAACACCGGATTTATACGAACTATTGCAACGTTTCAAAGATTTCGGTCAGGCCAGAGTGCCCTGCCCACAAGAAACGTAGATAGGTAACCAGTAATTGGGATCGGAGCTCCGAGATGATGATGGCCTGTACAGGCTCAACCCGGAAATCCATACTCTGCCGCCAACACATGTCGTTAGGTGACCCCTGGATTCATAGCCGTGATAGCCGTCCGAATTTAGGGGGGTAGGTCCAGCGGAACCGTCCGATCCAGCTTTGATAAGGCATCAAACGTCAAGGTTACAGATTCCTAGCATAGCAACCAGGGCTAGCTTTTCCAAAGTAAGGAATCCTGGGTTGACAGGCATGGAGGGTGTGGAGAAGATCAGGGCCACGGGCTACCTCCCAACTACGTATTCGCGGGGTATTGCTCAACCCCGCATAGCCCCTTATTGGTTAGCCCTGCGAATTGGCGAGTTATCTTGCGGTTTATCGAGAACGCTACACAATTTTTGGCGTTGGTTCCAACGTATCGTTCAGATCTAAAGATTGCTTAAGGAACAACGTGAGAGAGGCGAGAAACAGTTTCATAAAAGGTGCTGGAAACGAATGGCGAAAACGATGCGTCCCGCGGAAATGCTAGTTCGGACCAGGAGGGGCATCCTTGGCGCTATAACCACCCGTCGCTGATGTGATGACGGCAAGTTAGAGATTGAGCCTCCAGTACCTCCCAGAAGGATGTTCGCTTGACTGTTTTGTACGTAATAGCACGAAACACCCGGCAGGACTATGTGTAAAGAGATGGCTCGCAGCTCAACGATTCGCGTTACAACGGAGAAAGCTGCCAGGGCCTCAAAAACGTGCTCGATTGCATCAATACAACCCATACCTTTTTATTTACTAAAACATACCTAATGCCAAGATATCGTCGCCTCGAATTCCACACTGGCATGGTATTAGGAACAGCAATTTTGCCCGCCTGCATCGGTCTCCATTCCAGCATTTCCTGTGCGACGAGATACATCCTATAGTTCATCCATAGCACCTGGATGGCTTCTCTCTAAATCCAGCTAGTGATGAAGGGTCGGGTTGGCAGGCCCGATAGCCTCCTATCGGTTATGAAGTCTTCCATCGTACACAGGCGCTTTGATGCCTCAGTGCTGCGATGTAAAGTGGTTTCACAGCGTAGACCGGTCTGGTTCTTGCGCCAGGTATTTCTAAATTGGGGGATTCGGAGACGAGGCGCTGATGCAAATCCACACCTTCGGAAGCACCTACCTAAACCAATAGCCTCACGACGTTAGCACGCTTGCCGACCGAGATGGGCGACCTTTGGTAATGTAATGGGTATATCTGCGAACTAATGAAAGTAGGATGATGGAGCTTGGCTGTCAATCAAGGGCACTCCCGCCTCGTCTATGCACTGCGTCTGACTTTGGCTGTAACGGCATGCAAGATCATATCCTCCAACGGTGACTCGGGGTTTGCGGCGGCAATGCTCACGTGCATTTGCGATTTGGCCAGCGCCGTCGAAGAACTACTCACCGAGTTAGATCATCTATATCGTACGTCGGATGTCTCCTCCTTTTTCAAGGTCTACTGGGATCAGGCCTAGGCGACATGAGTCCCTACGAACTCTCGGGACTGGGTTTTGCCCCGTAACGAAATTATCGACGTTTCGTAAATCTCGGGTGTAGAAAACCGAGACGGGAACAAAGTAGAACTACGTTGTTACGACATTACTAGGCACGGATCTCTGCGCGCTATCTCGCTGCTGGGCAAGGATTCAACATCTGACCTTCTAACTATGTAATAAGACAGGCATCCTTATTGGTCGACGGTTATCTGTTGATCTTTGGAGGGGAAATACGCCGCCCCTTTCCCATCCTGCGGCTTAATAGGAACGCATAGTGTAGAGCGTCAGACGCTATCTATGGCATGCATTCATGTTCCATCGCAACTCGCCTGCGATTTCGTCATGTCAAACATGCGGTTTTATGTATGTGTAATTAAATTTAGCGGCCCTCCAACAAACTCCAACAGGACTACGGGTCAAGATCCGAGCTATCCAGCCTATCAGCCTATCAACCTCTTTGAATTATCTTTTACTCGGATCAGCTGAGTCTGCTGAACTGAGAGGTCCATATGTATGTATGTGTGTATGTGCGTAGCAGTAAGGCTGGGTATAATACTTGGTAGCCGAAGGTTGGATAGGTCCGATTAGGGATGAAAACACCCCTAAAACCCTGACCGACTAATTATATAATGTCGGTCGTCCATCATACGTATTTCGCCCTTCCAATCATCCAGGATAATTAACTCTCCTTAGAAAGAAAAAGAGAACGGATCTACTTCCGAAGCCGAATAGGACCTAGAACTACACGTAGAAGGTGATTACAGGAGGGACTGTTATGTAAGTCGGTCTTAAGATGCAATGTCAACCAACCACGCACAATCCTTTACATAATCTAAACCATGCCAGTATCCAGTTTGCTAAGTCGACGAAGAACGAAAGAAGAAAATTCTGGAAAAGAAAGGGCAAAATTTTTCTTGATAAGCTGTACCGACCGCTATGAAAACCGGCTTGTCAACTACCAGCTACTATAGACTGCTAGAGCTACTATGGCACTATGCAAAAGCGTGCCCGGAGCAAAAAGTGAAGGGAACGTGATTCGCGCCAGTCATATAAATGGACCCTGAGCAATTCCCATTAGCTAACATTTCGAGGCCGTCTCCATTCGTCGAGCAACATCTGGTACATGGAACATGGGAGAAGGTGTGTGTACCTACATTCTACCTACATTCAACAATAGACTTGCACGATGCGTGTGATATTCGGTCAGGCTCCGATCTCGTCGCATTCCAGAACCAGACCGCATGATATATTGGGCCAATCAAGTCGGGGCGTCGACCTGGTTTGAGTATTGGTGCTGATACCACATTGCGATCAATCACGTATCAGATCGGCGAATTACAACCCTGAAAAAGGCGATAAGAGAATCCGAGCACTTGATTCGACTGTTGGAAAATAAAGTCTATTGCCCATGCAGCGCATCAAAAAATCAACGTGACTTTTTAGGCAACGTACAACCTGCTTCGAATACAGGCCGAATACAGGTCCAATACAAGTCATCAATAATCGCCAATATGTATAGGCTGTAGACGTATCCATCATCAAAGGTATGTAAGTATACACTATACATGTTCTTTTTTCACCGCTCTCCACCTTATCCAGGCTGTCCAGCCAGCCAACTTGTCCTATGCGGACTTGCAATTTGCTATTTGCTACAATACATCCGATTTCGACCATGCTACTTCACCATCTCCTCACGATGTTGGCCACATAATGGAGCTACTCGGTGCCCTTACCTCCAGTCACCTTACTTGACCTATCCTAGTCTGAGCCGCTCTCCGATTCATTACTAATAAACTAACTCTTAATATACTAGACTCTATTCCGGCCCTTAAAAAATTCACAGGAAAAAAACCCGAGCTCATCCACGCACCAGCCCGTCGCATCCCCATTGGATTGTTCCAATACATGGATATCCCTTTTTATTACTAAGGTACACATGTACATAGCATGATGTCCATCATGGATGTCCATACAAGACCGCATTTGGATGTCAGCCTCTTTTCTGTTATGCTTACATTTTAATAATCTTTAATCTTACATCGCTCTTGTCTCCCGTATCTACACATTCACACACACGTGCGCCTATAAAGTTAAGATAAGAGATTTTCGAATAATGACTGGGTCGACGCAGGGTAGGTACTTCGAGGTTAAAGTTTATTAGTGTCTTAGTCTCTTCACATTCCACACTTCCACACTCTATTAAAAATAATTCGCTCGACTAAACCCCCTGCGATGGATCGATGGATACTGGTACGTACTTAACCAGGCGAACTCGCTTTGGCTAGGAAGCTTATTAGGGTCTGGATTAGATCAAAATACTACATGTAGGTGGTGGTAGTAGTAGAAGAAGGTAGTCCCGTCTGGTGGCAGTTCCCCGGATTTCACAAAGAAGGCCCCGGTTCGAATACCTCTTAACAGCCCGTCTTGTTCGTCATACCCTCCATGTCCTTCTTTTTTCCCACATACATTAGCTATGTGGTGTACATTCGATAACCCCATATTCATTCCTCTTTGACAGATATTGGATAGGTATACATATGTGGATAGATGTATGTATGGATGTACCTACCTACCTGACCAAGACCCTCCTTTTTCTCCCTCTCCTAACCTAAGAAGATTTTCAGTGTTCTTCTTCTTTTTCGATAGGAATTTGATCGATCCACCGGGAACCGACCATTCTCGCAACCCTATACAAATAAATTATTCCCTCCTGCTGGCTTATCATAAAGCTATGTGGAATTCCCAAGCGAAACCATCTCAGTCAACCCTAAGCGGCTACCCATTTTCGCTTCGCATCGGACCTTGAAGTCGTCTTCCTTCTCTTTTTCTTTTTTTCTCTTTTTTCCCTTTACCCCTTCCTCTAAGTGTTACCCGCCCAAAGGGTACCTCCGTCAAGGTCCTCAATCCAAACATATTCGGGACTTTGCAGACCTAGCCAAATTCCCAGGGACATTGAACCCCAAGAATCCCATCCGTAGTATGCATATCCACTTTTCAGACTTCTAGATAGTCGAAAGATATTGCGTGCCTGGCCGCTTCCCAAGCCTGAGCAGACTGGACCTGCCACGACATCCAACATTAGACTTCCCGGCAAAATAAACCTCCTTGTACTTTTCTTTCCTTTCCTCTTCTTTATAGTCACCTGAGCCCCTAATTCCACGCTATCAACCTTACCTTAATACCTTGTCTACCTATCTCTTTTACCCACACCTGGACTAGGCAAGAAAAGACAAGACTACCGTTTTGAACACTGAAAACAGCTTCGACCCATATTGATCCTTAAACTTGACGCCAAAGCACACCACAGACCTACACTATCACAACATCTTCGATGGACGTACCTCTTCTCCCTTCTATTCCATAATTGTGGCATTAGCCTTTTCGCTTCCTCTACCATCGAGACCTCACGCGCCTATCTAGGTAGCTACTTATCTAGTAGGCTATCTCGACTGCCTCAACTTGTCCCTTTTTTCCTTCAATCATATCAACAATTACTCTTTCTATATACCGTGAAGAAGCATAAAGTGTCTAGGCCCTAAGTGGAAACTAGACCTACGACGTCATGCCCTCTTCTAACCCTATCAACATTCGAACTGACTTGGTTTTTCGACCGGCGCCGGGGGAAAACGGCAATGCTTCCCCGAAGTCATCGGCGACGCAGAATACAAGGCACAAGCATACGCGATCATCATACTCGGAAAGCTCACCTATTACAGCCATGTCGAGAAATAATTCGTTGACTTACCGACCCTTGAAGCGGTCGACGCCCTCGCCAGATAAGACCATTGCTGTCATAAATGCAAGTGGCCGCCAGGCCGCTTCATTAATTCGTATAGCTACCGCAGTAGGTTACAAAGTCCGCGCGCAACTGCGCAACCTGGAGGGAGTCATAGCGACTGAAGTCGCGATGAATCCGAATGTCACAGTCTTCGTCGGCGAGCTTTATCTTCGAAATAAACCAGACGACAAGAGGGACGTCACCGTCCATGGGCATCTTCCGGGAATTTTGGTTAATCACGCTCTGATATCGCAACTCTTCAACGGCGCACAGCTAGCCTTTATCAACACCACTTTCTACGGCAATGAAATACAGATTGGAGAAGCGATTGCGGACGCTGCCAAGAAGGCCGGCGTCCAGCATTACGTATATTCGTCTATGCCCGACCACGCCGCTTATAAATCGGACTGGCCCTCTCTACCGCTATGGGCGGCTAAACATGAGGTAGAAAAGTATGTGCGTAAAATAGGGCTACCAGCTACTTTTATCTACACCGGGATCTACAACAACAACTTTACGTCGCTACCATACCCGCTCTTCTGCATGGAACTGCAGAAAGATGGTTCCTTCATATGGCAAGCTCCGTTTCACCCTAACGCCAAGCTTCCCTGGCTGGACGCCGAGCATGACGTTGGACCAGCGATCATCCAGGTATTTAAGGATGGCCCGGAGAAATGGACTGGAAAGCGTATAGCGCTAGCTTACGAATATTTAACGCCATTGGAAGCTTGCAAAGCATTCGAGGAGGGAGTTGGAAGACGTGTGCGCTACAAGCGTGGTCCCATTGACCTGAAAGTTAAGATTCCAGAAGGCTATCGAGAACAGCTAGAAGCACTAGAAAAGCTCTTCTCTCCGAATAATAACGATCCCGCTGAGCAACCGCCATATTTTGGAGATGCGGAACTAGAGAAGAAGTGCCCGGACGATGCTCTGAAGTTATGGGAGGGGCCCAGGGGACTAGAAGAATACGCTCGCGAGATTTTTCCGTTGGAAGAAGAGGCGAACGGTATGACATGGATGCGTGAGGGTCCAGGTGCTACGTTCGAGGGACCTGGCGAAGTTAATGAAGATGTGGAGGACGATGAGGCAGATGAGGGTGGAGATGATGAATCAATAGATGAGGGGTTAATAATGGTAAGCAAGCTTCGCCCCCTACTCCCCGATTTTTCTTATAGCGCAGTCCTTAAAGCGAAGAGTGTATCCAAGCTTTGAGGATGAAGATAGCTCCTGGGCTTCATCTAAGATATAAATACTAACTAGGAATTTGGTAGAGAGGACTCAAGCGAGACGAGGAATCATGGCTGGCGTAGCTACTATTTTACTGCACGCACCACGGCCCTTTTGGCATCCAGAAACTTGACGATAGCGTGGTACGACCTTGCAAAATTTACTTAACGACCTGAGAACGGATATTAGAATTTGACATTGCTATCGAACTTCACAACACTCCGAGGCATTTGCATAAGGCTGGTCGCGATGGCGTGTTTCTAGTTTGGCGTAGGTGAACTAGACAGCGCTGTTTTGAACGACAAAAAAGCATTTTAGGTTGAAACGATTACGGGGTATGCATTTGAAAAAAAAAAGGGGGTAGCGGCATCTGATGGTTACTACTGCTTTACTTTTCGGGGAGTAAAATCAGCAACTCAAGAGCCATCAGTATTCGGCAAATTCTGGGAAATATCTCGGCTCATTTATTCGGCGTTTGGACCATAAAAAAAGTTATTCGTTATGAGTACTGAATTCCGGGGCATCTGAAGCGGTCCGGGATATGGAGACGATCGTCCTTGCCCAGTTTACAGGACGATATGGGGCTCGCATAGAAGCGAATTGGGTTTAATTTGGAGGATGCCTACCGCGCACTAGGAGCTGGAGGACGGTCAGCTACCTATGCCAAATATGATTGGATAAAGGAATATATATATTCTCAGGGATATTTTTAAACCGATTGGTTTAAAATATGGCACTGCTTTGAGGTGAAGGACTATGACGACTCATGCTGTTTGATACGAGCAGATTACTCGCGTTGAATGGAGTTGCGCCAGCTAGATTCATTGAAGAATTAACTGCGATGCCATTCCACGAAATACAACTGCCGTTGTTAGTCTTTGGCCTCATTATAGCTCATCGCCTCCTATATGATTGCCAACTTCTATTTAGTGGTTATATTACTTAACTTGGCTCTAGTCTAATATATTACCTAGATGGCTTGGTCTACCTATGAACTTGATAAACCTCGGCTTTGAAACTCCTTTAAACCGAACGATCATCCGCGACAAGATTTCGTACTAGTCTTGTGCGGAAGCCCCTTTCTTGGCGCTTAGGAGAAGGAGGGCTTCCTATCAGACTGGCTGGTGAGGATGCTCGTAATGACTCCTTAGAAGGTCAAAAGTAACACCCACGATAACGAAGAACCAGAAACCTAGTGGTCGCCATGGTCCTACTACTAAGCTAGCGTATTAGGCTCACTAAATTGAAACACCATCTGGGCAGTTAGTTTGCATCCCACGCCTTAAGCAATACCTCCAGATAGTTGTTTCTCAGAAGTAGACGCATCAGGGTCTGGGAATGGGAGAACACCACGTCCAAGGAAATTTAATATAAAAAAAGAAACCCAAAAAGAGAAAAACGTACAACACCGGGGATTCGCTGGTCGTCACCGACCCAACTACTGATCCGGCGATATTCAGCTTATCTAAGGGGAGAGCGGACGGGATCCCGAGCTTTCTAAATCCTATGGTCGTACGTGACATCTCAAGCTAGTATTACGGTATATGTAGGCGTGCTGCCTGCGTTTTCGGACAGTGGCGCGGTAATTTCCAACGCTCAGGCTGTGCAGGTTGCGAGGACAAGCAATCCGCTGACAGAAATACAGGCGGCCCGTGAATGTTGGTTAGAAATGTCATTGAAAGACTCGCGGCATACGACCTAGAAAAATGATCAGACTTGGATCATATTTCCTACTCCCTACTACCATACACGGATAACCTCTCTCATCCATCCCTTCCGCCCCCTTCCAAATCTCTCGCACACACAAACAAGCCAAAGCCCATTTTCATCCCGAACCAAAAACCTCCGCCGTTAACAGATGCGTACCTACGTACACGTCACTCCTTTCTCGCCGCCCTCGTACAACTCGAAGTAAGTCGCCCTAAGCCGCATCTGCAAGTGCTCCTTGGCGGTCATGACCTTGCGCTCGGCGTACGGGTTGCTGTTGCTGTTGCCGTTGGCGAGGTTACTGGGCCGGAAGGCGGCGACGCGCTCGCTGGGCACGGCGCTTAGCGGCGTGGCGTCGGCCGGGTGGCAGAAGTACGCGATGGAGTAGCGCGGGTCGGTCGCGGACTCGCCGTTTGTGGTGGTAGAGGGGGAGAAAGCTACGCGGTGGACTGTGCTGCGGAGGACTTTTTTAGGGGGGGAGTTGGTTAGCTAGGGTGTTTCACGGTTCGATTATATATGTGTGTTTTGGGTGGGGAAGGGGGTAATCTATGCTGTGGTGTAGGCTACTAATAAAAAGGGGACAAGGATAGCTTAAGATGGCGAGATGTCACGTACGCCCATTAGTCCAGTACGACAACAAATCGCCGATGTTGACGAGGATCGGCGGCTGCGCGTCGGTCTCAGTGCCGGGCGGGACGACGGGGACGGGGGCCCAAGATTCGGTGCGGGGATCCAGGAGCTCGAGGCCGGCCTGGCCGCGCAGCCGGAAGAGAAGAGTGACTGAGCCGTAATCCGAGTGTGCGCCGGCTCGTACGTCGGAGGAGAGCGCGGCGGGCGTGCTGCTTGGGGGCGGGTAGTATAACAACCGCAGAATGGACCCCGAGGCGGTTGTGGGGTCGTGCGCGGCTGTGAAGAAGTCTGGAGGGTTTACCTATGTGGCGGTTAGCTCGTCGGAAAAGGGGTAGGGGGGCTGAAAATGGGGTTTTAGGGGGAAAAGGCAGATTTCTGGATTTTACCCCTAGACCGATGCCGAATAGGAGGAGTAGTTTCCGACAGAGATTGTGGCAGGCGTCTTTGAAGGCGGCCAATTGCGCTTGGTGAGACTCGATGCTCTGCGGGATGGGCTGCGTGGCTTTGTTATCGGTGAAGGGGCCGAAATTGAAGGCCCTTTCAGCCATTGTCAGCCTAGGCCATTTTTTCTCTTATGAGATGGGGGCTAGGTGCACTACTGACTCCTTAAAGTCTCCTACCTAGGAATAGAAATTAATCAGTTTCACTGTCCTAGTTAGGACGTATGCTTGAGTGACTTACACGTTGGGTTTTAGGATCCAAGGTCTCTGAGTGCATGCCCGACCACCCCTGGTTATTCTTTTCTATCTTACATCTTTGCTTATCCTCGAGCGGCGAGCTGAATAAGATCCGCGACTATAAATATCAGATATGAAATAAGGACCCGTTCATTCGTTGCAGGTATATGTGAACTAAATCAAGAGATGATAACACGGTAGGTAAATTGCAAGTTATTGGAAACATCGTCTATCTATAGACGACACGCACGTACTATATCGAAGGCGTTTTCTATCTGCTCGGTAGAGATATCTCGACCGGCATTCCTGATATAAACGAACCCGTACTCGACAGCAGCATCAACCAGCTCCTTTGCAACTTGTGCCTGGTCCGTCCCCTCGGCAGATATGTCGATGATGGGAATCGATGCAGTTACGGCCATGATCGAAACTTATGTGAGTGATGTCGCAAATGAAGTCCACCTTCCCGTCTCACAAATTACCCCATGAGCCGTAGTGTTTGAATTCACCATCGAGTGACTGATAAGGTCTGGTCATATCGAACTATCGGTACCTATCGGCAGGTACGTACCTATTTAGTGCTTAAGCACTGCCCCACATGTGTGTTCTCTTCTGAGGTTCACGCTTGTGAAAATGTTTGTAGCTGCTTGTAGCTGCTACTTGTAGTGAGAAATTGACATATGAATTGAGATGACCCTCGAAGACATATTACCTTGATAACTGATACTACATACTTAGACACATACATATGATTACCTAATTTTCTAAATTTTAATAATTTGCAGCTACTAGGAAGTTGTAAATATCACAGAGTGCTTATATAGGTGCATAGTAAGGAGTACAACGCCATGTAGTAGCCCGTTACGTAGGCGCGATTTCCTTAAGCTCTTAGGTACTAGCTACCGTTGGGGGCTCCATAACCCATAGAAAACTGGCCATTTCCAGGGGTGCCCAAGGTAAAAGGACGCTAAACCAGAATCCTTGTCCTACCTACCGCAAGGCTTTGACCTTGAAAGTCGACTCGTGCCTCACCTCAAACAGAACCTCATCGTCTTCTTCCAACAATAGAATTACGTAGGTGCATCTTGTCCTTCCGTCGCACCGCCTCTCTCCCTCCTCACTCCTGCCTCATTGTGCCCTTTATTTATGTCAAACTCAGTCACTCATTTTAGTCCTTGCCAACACTAACCACCATCCTCCTTTCCGTTTGCGACTCCAACCCGCGATTTGTGGTTTCCCCACTACGGCGCACACAGAATTATACCTTCAAGATGCCGAGTAAGTTTGTTATCTAAGAACTCTCTCCCTATTCCTCCTGCTACCACCGTAGACTCGCCGCGTTCTCTTCTTCCTGGTAAATGCCTGATACTGTTGTCGCGTAATCCATCTCACTGCTAGCTGTACCGAGTACCCGCGCTGCTTAACCCTCCATTCACGATACTTCGATTAGCTAGACCTTTTGGCCAGTATGCGAGGCTTGGACGCTCGACCTCCGTTTGGTCAGGACGATTTGAGTCGGGCTGTCGATTGGCTCATTCAACAAGGGCTCCTCGTCTCCATTAATAATAGCCCTATTCATAACTGTAAACAGCTCGAGTCCACCAATTTATATTTCCAGTGGAAAAGGAACTCGAGGCAGCGCGGTACTTTATACGGTATTCTGGTATTCTGGATAGCATATGCCATTTCTACAAATGCATCACAGTGTCTCTCTATGGAGTCCGCTAATTTGGTGGGTAGGTTCTTTCGAAGATCATTGGATCAACGAGCAGGTGGCGTAAGTAACATTTCGTGTCATGTCCATATCATAAGGCTAACGACATTCTAGTACTGCCGATGTCACCCAGCTCGAGGACTGTGCGATCGCCGTCGATGCCTCCTACTACTTACAACTCTTCCTCGACAACGCTCCCTACCACGAGCCACTTCTCCCAGCCCTCGGCGGCTTAACTGGCATCTCAGCACACATCGAACACGATCTTGACTGCTGGAAGGCGAACAGAACCACCCCCTTCTTCATCTTTAACGGCCAGTCGATCGAAGGCGAAGATGACGTTTCTGTCCAGAGAGGAAAGAGAGCCATTGCAGGCACCGATGAGGCTTGGGGCCTCTATTTCCAGAGCCAGGCCAACGAGGCTGTGACAGCCTTCGGTTCTCACAGAGGTACTGTCCTCATTCCTGCTTTGCGACTCGGAAATCGGGCGGCTTGCTAATATGACCCAGGCGCTTACCCCGTCCACCATCTATTCCCGCTTTTGCAGGGCATCCTTCATCGCCGTGGACTCCACTTCTTGGTACCCCCTTTTAATGCCTCTGCCCAAGTAAGTTGTTCGTACGTCGTATTTGCTTCCCGTAGCTAACCAGCTTTGAGCTCGCCTATTTCGATATGGTTGACTCGGAGCAGTGCTCTGCTATCATGGGCTTTCAAGACCTGCTGTTGTATCCGATCAAGGACCATGTCATCCGATTCATCGACTGGGACGCGGCCAATTTCACTGCCATTTCCAAGAAGAGCATTATTCGTACCCTTGGTGTGACTGAGCCGCTGTTCATTGATGCACTACTAATGGCCGGAACGACGTTTCTCCCTACGTTCCCTCCGCTAAAAGAGCCTCAGATTACTGCACGCCAACCACCTTCAGTCCAGGACGCCGTTAACATGCTGCGAACCTCGGAGAAGTCCGTGGCAAACGCATGCAATTCATTCAACGACATCCTTAGCAAGAGTAGAGACTCGAATTGGTTGCAGAAGTACCGTAAGGCGAGAATGAGCATTGATCATTTCATCTACATAGATGAATCCGGAGAGATTAAAGTGTACAACTTTGATACGCTGACTCGGGACAACTGGGAATATCTCGGATATCAGTTGCCAGCAGAGCTCTTCCATTATCTGAACACGGGTCTGATTGGAGCACGTATGCTCAGTTGGATTTCACATGGCCAGGTCGTCATTTACCCGACCCTCGACGGAGTCAAGTCGGAGGAATACAAGCGCCTCGTGACTAATCAACTTATGCCCTTAAGAGAGTCGGCCCTCAGCCTCCTCCTTCCTCGACTACACAGAGGTATTCAATACAAACCGATCATAGTGAAGGTCTGGTATGATGATAAATACTCTCACAAGATCGAGTATCGCCCTCAGGACAACCCGCCTTTGACTAAAACGCTCACTTGGAACCTCGATGCTGCCGTCGCAAAGAAGCACTATCCCAATGCCAAGCATGGGTCTATACTCTTCGAGGTAACAGCTCTAAGGAACCCTGAATTCGTGAAGAGCACTGTCTCCAAGGAGAAAGTCAAAGGTATCGCTTCTGCGGATTTGATTTCGTCAATTACCCTCTGGCGCTTCCTGCATCTGCGTGGCTACGTTGACGATGGTCATCGGCTCACTCCCTGGGGCGAGGCCTTGGCAACATCTCTCGAGGCTCTCGATCCCACCGTTCAGAAGAATAGTACGGTACCCGGTTTATTCGAGGCGCTTCTTCTAGCTTACGAATTGCTCCGGTTCGACCTTCTTAACACCCGCAATCAGCACCCAGAACTGAACGGCCTTCCTATGAATGGTAGCGATGATGACAAGGCCAGCCTGTTGCTCATCAGTCGTTGTGCAATTTTGTTGAAGTTGCGCCACCAAGCAAACGGTTATACGGGACCTCTAAGCAAGAACTTCCTCTGCTTCCGATCATTAAGCTCGTCTATTCGAGAAGCTGGTCGAGATCTTATCGAGGCAATTGTAGCGTCCATGTTCTTGTTTGCGCAGACAGAGCGTGAGCGAGACGACTACTTGGACATAGGCCAGAGGTATGTACCCGTCACCAGCCCCCAAATTTGTGTATCATATACTAATGTCATACAGGCTACCTTTCTTGAATGATACGGACGTCGCTCTTGGTATTGCCGTCAAGACTTTGTTGGATGATATCCATCCCAACGAGACCCCTGAGCAGAAGGCATCAAAGAAACAAGAGTTCCCTGCCACTTTCGTTCCGTATGCAACGAACTTCTTCGAAGACCTGGAAATCGCTTGCGAATTCTTCAATGCTATCCATGCAGGCGTCAAGACGCTCAAGAACGAAGTCTCGGCTGCTGATCGAGGAGCATGGGATAAAGCGGCGGTTTATCTTCAGCTACGACGATAAGTTCGGGTTGAACCTTTTTGAAACCCGATAATTCGGCAATTTCAGTCACGATTCTAACATGGGCCATGGAATGATGGAACAAACTTTTGCAGATGCATGGACCTTGAACCGCACTTGATCACTTGGTGGCTTATGTTATTTGGTCTATCGGCTGCTACCGTTCTAACACTGCATCAGTCCGATTTTGAATTGGTCTGGTGCTCCGAGAGCTACCTAGTTAGCTCACTTATGTCTTATGTTGAACGTTACTCATGTATTTCAAAGGCCTTTCACGTTCCCGCGAGGCGTTTTTGGTCGGAAAAATTAGGCGAGGTTGGTGACGTATGAAGAAACTTCATCTCTAGTAATTAGTCCCCCGTTCTCCTCCTGCAGGTAGATGGGGTAACGCCAAAGGACTCTACGCTATGACTGATGTGGACGGAAATCATGAAGGGGGACGAAAAAATAAATAGGCAATGCCATTGCTATATTGATAGCTTAGCTCCCGCACTACTTAGGTAGTGAATATTTGTCTATGTACCCCAAGCATGCCGCTCCCCTAGTTGTCGTGAATGCGGGTGCTAGTTTACCCCTATCCTCGGGAATTATAACAGCCTAGCTTTGCGTGACATGGCCTGACATTCATTGTATACTTATCACAGATAGACAATGTTAACCATTCATTCACACGAAATCACCTGTAAGGGCAAGGCGGCATTGTATAAATAAGTTCCAATGTAGCACACTACAACGACCGTAACATATCCGTCTAGACTAGTATATCGTAGGAACACTACTCAAGTCTAGCCATGTATATGAAGTGCTGAGTACCTTATTCTGATTCCCCAGAAACACCTGGACACCATAAACAACCGGGTATCATCCCTTTACCATGATCGTTGCCGTCCCAGAGGCTAGCCACCGTCCATATATATCCCAGACGCTCCGAATCAGAAAAGGAATGTTAAAAAGCAAAAAGAATAATAAGGCTTCACACGATGCGGAGTATGGACGGTTCTATGCCAGAAGGCCACGCTTGATATGCTGTGGGACGGTCTGGCCGTTAAGTTGCGTCTCGCCGTGCTTCTGTGCTTTCTCCCCCATGCCACGGATCTTCTCTAGCAAGTGACTGTTTATATCGTTAGATACTTGGTTACTTGTTATGGGGTTTATTATGAATAGGGTATTATGGACGATACTACTGCAGAGGAACGTTTGCTAATGCTACATGCTATCGTAGTAGCTATCGTAGTAGGATAGACTAACACCAACCATACTCTTACTCAAGAGCAGGCAAGACGATGTTGCGTAGGCAAAGCAAGGTTTCGAGGGGATGTTTCATGGTCGTTTCTCAAGGTGGGTGGGTATTGTTGGAACCGACATAATGGACCTCGATTAGAAAAGGAGGGAAAACAACATACTTGATAGGGATATGTCCCTTCTGGGACTCCTGGACGGCAAGTTCCATAAGGCTCGCCTTGCTCTGTTCCGCCTCGTCTCGCGCCTCCTTCTCGTGTGCCTCGTAGTGTTGGTGGATGAGGGCGCGGCCATCTTCCTCGTCGGCAGCTCGAACGACGTATCCACAATCAGGCTCTTCACATGTCCACGTTTGATCTGGTCCATTGGGAAAGGTGGACGGTAGCTTATTGGCGCGGATGACTATTCGGGTAAGTGGGGAGTCCGTATTATCGGCTTCGTCGTCGTCGTCATCGTCGTCATCGACTGAAGAACTTGTATCATCTACATCCTCATCTTCATCATCAAGGTATCTAGATCTCTTCGATGTTTTCTTCAAAATGCCATCCTCGTCAATATCCATTTCGTCATCTTCATAGCTCGTTTCATGGCGCAAGCGCTTCTTGCTACTGGTAGGAGGACGCAATACTGCCATTTTACCACTAGGGCGACCTCTTCGTGGCGGGTGCTTTCCTCCGGTTCTTACTGGTAGCTCTTTGGTCCCGGGAGTCGAATGAGTTTCTTCACGTGAAACTTTTCCCTTCTTCTTGCGCCTGGCAATTTTCTGGATGTCGTCCTCGGTAATAAACTCGAACTTGGGTTTCGTATCAAAGTTATCCTTCACCCACTTATAGAACTGGCTTTTATACCACTCTGGTCCGAGGAGCCGTACAAGGTCTCGGGCGAAGTATTCGCAGACCTCTGGTAATGCTTTGGGGTTTCTAATGCTTAATTCGAGGTAGAGTTTAGTGCACCAGCCCTTAGGACTCATGTCGTCGGGATGCTTCTTTTGTTTACCCTCTTCTAGCAGGTCAAGCATTTCCTGTCGGATGTCTCGCAGGGCCTCAACTACAAGAGATAACGAGGATGCAGTATCCGAATGGGCTCTACTCGCTTCTTGTGGAGTTAGTCTCGCTATATCGTCAGCTGCGTCTGAGTCCCGATTTTGATCATCAGGAACGTCAAGAATCATCATGTCGACACTACGGGTGGACTCCAAACGAATTCTGCTAGGAGACTTTTGTTTGGGCTTGGGTAGGTTCGCTGGGGTTTGTTCATCACTAGATAGGTCGGGCGCATCCGAACTGGCTGCCCCACTATAGCGAAGGGACCTCGAAGCCGAGTTTCGCAATGGCGGTCTGCCCTTCTTCTTGATGTCGACAACTTCGAGAGAACTAGACTTTTCTAATGACGGGTATGGAACGGCGACCAGAGGGCTTGTTCCTTCGTTTCCAGAAGTTTTGGAATCGTTGGATTCTTTTTTCGCCAGTCGTTTTACAATAGTCCGTATTTAAGTTAGATCGCAGTTACGTCGTCCGAGGATGAGGTGATCTTACAGGAAATTCATTCGTCAACCAATTGTGGAATTCAGTGCCTTTAGGAAAGTGCGAGAGTAAGAAGATGGCCTGGTCTCTAGTTCGCTGGTGGGCTTCTGATAAAGTAATGCCGTCACCAACAGTCACGGCATACTGTATGCAGATCAGGTTAGACAACATTAAGCCAATCGCTTCATCGCACGATTGCCTGTGCACGAGAAGTGTAAACGGAAGAAGGTTTAGGCATACCTTAAACAGGACATCATCCAAAGATAGCTTGACGTCGCTTAGCGTCTTGTTCCTGTTCTTCTTTTTCTTGTGAAGCTCTTCAAGCGTGGCGTCATACTCGTCCAATATAGCATAGTGAAGAGATATGCCTTGGAACATGGTGTCGCATACAGCTTTATAGGCTTCGGAAGGGACGATTTCATACCAGCCTGCTCCGCCACTAGCCCAGAGCACAGGCATCGGTAGACCATCCTCTTTCAAGCCAATGGAGAATGACAGTGTGTTCTGAATTTGAATCCGAGGTGACCGGTCCTTGATGTGTCGGTTGACCAAGAATCTTTCTTGGTCTTTCTCAACTTCGACTTTTCCACGGACAATCAAAGGCCCCTCCAAATCGACATGTAACAGATTTGCCAATGTACCATCCTTATGGTAAATGGTCGCATCGGTAAGTAGAAAGCATGGCCAGTCGTCGGGGTGTGCTCGAGAAGAGACGGGCTTTAGTACGGTCTCTTCTTGGTAGTATTGTATAGCCGCTTCGTTGACGGTTGCGACTGTCGAGTTGGACGGCGCCCGGCGTCGACGTCCGGCCATGACGAGGTGGATTCGAGGCTGATATTAGACGGTGATCGAAAGAAGTGCTGTATTATCTTCGTCTCGTCTAAACGGGAGTGTTATTTAGTTCCCTAGGTAGTTTAGGTGTGGGAGAAGGGAAACAAGGGAAATTGATGCGGCAGATTAGTAGTATCAAAAGTTAATATTGAGGTAGTTGCTTTATATAGTTTTGCAGGTGCCTTTTGGAAACCTTGGAACGCGCTGCCGGCAGGTATTGTACAGTAGCACGCGCGCATTCTAGATAAGTACCCATTGCGGTTAATCGAGGTACATGGGTACCGCAGCTAGGTGGGCTGAATGAGGGGTTGACCAATAACATTACACCTTCAAACAAGCATTTGACGGAGGGGCTCCCTGATAGCCCTAAGTGTAAAATACCTAGCTTGTACCTAGTAGGTAGCGTTGTAGTGACCAATCGATAAGGCCGCTATTCTTGGATTAACCATGCCGATTAACCAGGATCTTTTTTTTTTTTTTAGCCCATTAGATTTGATCCTCCAAACTTTTTCTGTATCCAACCATTCTGCCGTTTGATAACCTTATCCCAATTCCAATTCTTGCGCTTCAGTATATTGACTGCTTACAATCCAGAGTGCGATCAATTCTCACCTGAGTAAATCGCGGGGCTCAATTCAACACGCGCAACTCGAACAGTCATTGTGTCGCATATCGCATATCGCATATCACATCAGCATACCTTTTTAAGGCGACCCTCCCGAATGAAATTTACCAAAATTCTCAGCATGGCATCATCTCGCCCCATTCTGGACGGCGTATTTGGTACGGTGCTCCTATCCTCTTTTACTTCAATGGCATTAGCTAATTAGACTTTTCTCACAGGCATCCATAAGCCGATGGGTATGAGTAGTGCTCAAGTAATCCGAGACTGCCAACATCACTTTAACCCTTCGAACTTCTTTAAGCCAATGATCGACGAAGAGAAGCAGAAAAGAGACAATGAGTCTAACACGAGAAAGAAACGACGTGGATTTGGCAAGAGGGACATTCAAGTCAAGATGGGACACGGTGGCACGCTTGATCCTCTCGCTACTGGCGTGTTAATTCTCGGTGTTGGAAAGGGCACAAAATCCCTTCAATCCTTTTTAGAATGCACAAAGGAGTACGAGACTGTGGTGCTTTTCGGTGCCAGTACTGATAGCTATGATCGAGTCGGCAGGATTCTTAAGAAAACTGCCTACCAACACATTACTCGACCCATGGTTGAGGAGGCTCTCAGCTCTTTCCGGGGCAAGACCCAGCAGATACCCCCTATCTTTTCAGCCTTGAAGATGGATGGCAAACCCCTTTACAAATACGCCCAAGAGGGTAAAGCATTGCCACGAGAAATTCAGGCTAGAGAAGTGGAAGTGACTGAGATCGAGTTGCTTGAGTGGTATGAACCTGGTCAACATTCGTATCGTTGGCCTACTGAACAGGCCACTGTTTTCGAACGTAACTTTGCGGAGGAGGTTTTTAAGATAAAGGAACAGCAAGCGACGGCACCTAAGCTCACACCAGAGGAAAAGGAGGAGGAGACCAAGGCGCTCAAGGCGCACGAGATTTTCAAGCGCAAGGCCGACAAGAGTGTGGACGCTCTTGTCTATGACCAAGTCAACCACAAGCGCCAAAGGACCTCAAAAAGGAATGACCCGCCGATGTTAATGTCAGGCGCTCTAGGTGACCCCCCTCCAGCACTCCCGAAGCCAGGAAAAGGTTCGAATCTGATCCCCGAATCCGATCCGAATGCGGCCCTTCCATGGGAGGGCATAGGTCCACCTGCGGCGAAGATTCGCATGACTGTGACTTCGGGTTTCTATGTCAGAAGTTTCTGCCACGACCTCGGCATGATGCTCAACTCTTCAGCGATGATGGCAGAGCTCTGCAGATCGCGACAAGGCGAATTTGTCTTGGGTAGCTCCAATTGCATGGAATATTCGGATCTCGCTAAGGGTGAGTCCGTATGGGCCCCTAAGATGAAGAATATGCTGTCCATGTGGAACAGCAAACCACACGACAAGCCCTCTGAACAGGCTATGGGGGCTCAGCAGGACACCGCTAAGAGCAATGGATTTGAAGGGCCGGCTGAACATGCATCTGCAGAGAAGTCAGAGGAAGCAGAGGATTCCAAGGTTCCTGAAGACGACCCTTCTAGTGAGAAACTACCACTGCCGACACCGAAGTCGTCTTCCCCAGTTCCAGACTCTAAGGAGACCAAGGATGATGACGCCAAACCGGATGTAGCGGAAATTCCTGCTACGACGACTTCGCTGGTATCTGGAGAAGCCACTCAGTCAGAAACTAAGGAAGTTGGTGCAGATGAAGAGGCATTGGAGAAGGTATCCACTGTCGCTTAGTTACTAAGAGCAGGTTAGCGAAGGGGTCTTGAGCAAGGCATTCGGTGCTACTGCTGCTCAAACCCCAACGTATCCATTCGAGGTCATTTCCGGAACGTGGACGTCCCGTTGCCCGGGAAAGGGAGGCATATTTGAAAGCGACATGGAATCATCCACGAGAGACGCATTTGCACTTGTATTTTGTTGCATCGGTTGGGCGTTGGGGTTCGTTCACTTGCATATAAAGCGCTACAGGCGCCAAGGGGTGTGTACATATCTGGCCAGATACCTACCCCTACTCAACACCAAGCGAGCTAGATTTGCTATCCAGACTTGCTATTCAATATAGCACTTTTCTACTCATTGCCTGCGTGATGAATGACTAAATGGCTTGATCATGTGAATGTTGCTACATTATGGTAACCAAGTTTAGCCCACGGACATTCGCTTACTGACAAATTATCCTAGATAATAGGTAGACATGGAGAAACGCCACCAGTCAAGCTCTCAGCCTTAGAGTTTTCTAGTAGAACATAAAGTGAATAGACCATAGTAAGGCTATAGCCTTCAACGCTTTCATTAATAGGAAGGCTTATGCGAAATGCTAAGTACCATGTAAACGTATACCTGATTTCGCCTCGAACGTAGCTTCGTTATGGAAAGCCTAGGTACTAAATAGATGGTAAAATTGACAACGACAACGATTCTATCTCGTTCTACATTATCGTCTAGGTAACTATCGTAAGCTTCGTGATCATTAACTATTACTGAAACAAGGTCGTCACTGGTTCCCTTCTGTCCCCGTTTTCCCTTCTAACTACCGGTATTCGGTACCTCGAGAGTTAAACCGACACGTCGTAATCCCGATCCCCAAAAAACCGGACGTGGCCTAGGTAATACATACCATCTCGCTCGCAAGACCTCGAATGTTACAGTGCTCCGATGGCAAAATTATACATGAGGTAGATGCTGTTTGTTGTAACTCCCACTTCGGAGGCATTTTTATCTATCCAAGGGTCGGTCCCCCTTTTTCGATCCCCAGTCCAGTTGTGCGCACAAAGCCTTGTATAAGACCTGCATAGATAATACCTGCTACCCGACCCCCTCTCACACGCCGATCAAAGAGTTAGAACGCCCACAACTCTAATTCCGTTAGTGACCTATAAAATTGGCTTAGAACGAGGTTGAATCCGCAGGTGGCGAAAGGCTCTTTTCCCACTCTTTGATAAAGTTCGACGTAGTATTCTTCAGATTGCTGGGTGCTAGTCTATTAAGGATGGCTTGTGGGAGTTCTTCAAGCTTGCTTGGCGCCTGCGGAGATGTTGCGCGAAGCTCGCTCTGGGATTGTTTGCGTCTCCTATTCTCAAGTTGAAATGTTAGATACGGATTTGCCATTTTGGTGATCAAGCGACTTGAGACGAGTCGGTTGTATTGTGCCTTGCACGGTTTAGTGTCTCATTGGATGGTGGTCGTCTTACAGTGTCCCTCCATTTTCGTTGGTCCTCTCGGGAATTGCGGTTATGATATCCCCGTTCACAGTGCTACCACTCCATCGGGAAGTCTTGACATTTGGTGATTCCCAGTTCGACCAATCTTCGTCATCAAAACTGTCAAATGTGAGTGGAGTCCAGGAGAAATGTTTCTTGGCCCTGGCGTCGGCTCTCGACGTCGTATGTCTATGCTGGAAACGATCGCTGAAGCTGTCGGTAGAGTTTCTACTTGGGGTCTCTGTCATCGACCCCGGCTCGTCTTGAAACGGTATGCGACCGCGGCTCGAAGCAGATGCACGAACCGTATCCTGGTCGCCTTCCATCTTACCTAGCCGAGAAATCATTTCACTAGTCCTATGTGTGGTCCCAGATATTGCTTCATCGCCGACAGTTGCTTGTCTTAAGTCCTCAACAAATGTCCAAAGACCTTGCTTAAGTTCGTTGGCCATTTGTTTCATACCATTTGCTGGCGGGAATGGCTGGTATGGCTGGCTTTGACGAGGAGCCCAAGTCGCACGCTTGTTGATAGGAGCCGGACTAGGGATTGATGGCGGCTTAGAGTATGGTTCAGCTGATCGAGCTCCGCTATCGTCTCCATTTGCCGATCTTGTTGGTGAAAGTAATGATAGGGTACGTGCATGCCCGCCGCGAATAACCGTTCTCTTAGACTCTCGAGGTGTCCCCTGGCTTTGTGCGCGAAGGATGGCTTTTCTGCGCTCCAGCTCGCTATTATATCGAATACTCGCATTTTCATCGTATCCCCACGGCGCATCCAAAACCGATGCCATCGCTTGGAGGGGTTCGACATTTCTATGAGATGCTCGTTTCCTATACGCAGCAGAGTTTGTCCACTGCCTCTTGAGTTTCCTCAAATCATCTTCGGCTCGCCCTAGTTCTTCGCGAAGCTCCAATACGCGACGCTCTTGGGCCGCAATGGCGACAATAAAATCATTTGGGTCGGTAGGCGAGCCTAATGCTGAGGTTTCTATAGGAGTTGGAGGCATGGAGGAAGTGGGCGTAGGTCTCGAGGGAAAACTGTTAGGTGGCGCAATTGGCAACGTTAAGGAAAGTCGATGGGAATTTCGAGAAGTTGTCGAGGTAGAACGAGTGGATCGCGTCTGAGACGTCTCACTTAGAGGCGGCGGCGAAGACATCGAGCCTAGGTTTGACTCCCTGTCGGTCTCTTCGTCCCCGATACTCTCTTTATGACCAGCACGTGGTGTCGCATGAGATGAGATAGGTGTTGGATTACTGGTAGGACCCGTACCAGCAGCGATTTCGGGACTCACGGCAAGGGCTGCGTCGAGCGAAGCGGAAGACTCTTGCAACCCGCGAAGTCGGCGCTGTTCAACTGCCATGTTTGCCCAGATAAGCGACTTAATGAAATTCCGTAGCGAACGAGACTGCAATATTTGCTCGGCAGGAAGATTTCCAGTTGACCTTCGCCTTTGAAAAGGAGTGGCTGGGAAACTATTGGCACGCCGGTGCCTACTTTTCCCAGAAAAAGACCGTTTAGAATATAAAGTTGTTGTTATGATGTTGTTTAGTCTCTTGTCACTGAAGAGAGTGTTGGAGCGGGCAGCAGTAATCAAAGAAATTTGTAAAAGTTGAGTGGATTTCATGGACATAAAAAAACACAATCGGCCACCCGGCGAGGCAGATGGCGATCAAAATTCAGGGCGGTGACTGGAGCTCGCTTGGACAAGCTGGGAAATTGGGGGGTACGCAGCACCACTCAGACTGTCAGATTTGCTCTGTTGGGGTCTGTTAGGGATGCAATAGGAGGCCAAGTAACCCAAGCAAGCCTGGCAAGCTGTACGGCTCGGCCGGGGTTATAGCTAGACCTTGTTAGGCGACGAATGATAAGAGAATATGCCAGGGTCGACGAGGACCGGGGGAGCCCATTATCTTCCTAAAGGAGGGGACGATGTTCGGGTCACAGATTGTAGCAAAAGAATGTGGTTGTTTATTCGAAGTTTTGGAAGGATTTCTAAAGGAGAGATCGTATCGACGACGGAACTGGTAGAATTATAATAGTTGTTTGAAAACTTGTAACAGGCAGAAATGATAGGAGCCCGATAATGGCAAGTTGGATGCAGGGAAGCTCATAAAAAAGAGCGTCGGGTTGCTTTAATTTCATTTCGTTGTATTTATTTTGATGGATTTGTTTCCCCTTCGATCCCCGTTCGATCCCGGGTCACCCAAACGGAAACTCCACAAATCCAATCGTGCGCTCATCTCAGGGCTGCATGGGCTGTTTTGTGCATTCAGGGGCAAGCCAAGCTTCCAAGCTTCCACGATTCCATGTTCCATGAAAATCGACGGCTCGAGATGGCGTTTGTTGCGGAAAATTGCTTGTATTTTGATTGGGAAGATGTTTTGGTCCGAGTTTCCCACGAGTCTTGACCCTGCAAGGTTCGAAATGAATCTTGTTAGGGAGTGGGGAACTTAGTATAAAACCTTGCACTAAAATACCGGATGACGACTGGCTCCCAAGCCGCTGGTCATACCATCCGTGTTTTCTGTACGAAGGTACGTAGGTACTTAATTAAGAATCTAAGACTTCTCACGTGAGCACCCGTAAGTTGTATCGCGTCGCACACGCGCTATCCCTGCACACCACTAACAATCGCAATTGCCCAATTAGTCTTTGTTAGTAGCACTTCAAAGGTGGACGCTTCAACCCGAAGGAAGGAATAAGGACGTCAGGCAACACAAGGAATCCAGAAGGTTTCAATTAATTCCTACCGGTCAAAGACAATGCTCATTTTCAAGGTTGCTGCCTATGACTAGGTACTAAGGCGCATATTCCATCTTCTCAACTTTCTAAACACCAGGAGTCTTCTCACCTTGGATCTGGTCCCTCCTAGCTTGTTCGCATTCCGCTCCAATTCCAATGCCCTTTCCATTTAGATATATATGCGACTTACTCCAACAGCTTGACGACGAGACTCGTCAAGATGAACACAAGAAGCTCCCTTCAAAGACTATAATTGAAACATGGTTCAGTACGCACCGTTCGCATCTGAATGCGCATGAGAACGATGCATGTGCTATACTTTCTACTCTGTTGCCAGAGAGAAGAACGGATCGGGTCTACTTCATTCAGACCTTAAGGCTTGAAGGCATATTTGCCAAAGCCCTGATTCTTGGAAACTCTAGGGTTCTAGAATTACGAAGATACAAAAGCCCCGGTCTAGGCGTAGACTTGGCGGACTGCATTGAAGGTATCTTGACACGTACGGTAAGTAGCGTCACTGAATAGTAGGGAATTAAACAAGCCGATATGATCCTTTCTCGAAATTCCTACCCTGGTTACTAATATTGATGAAGCCTAATCCAACGTACGACAACAATGAGCTTACAGTGGAAGAAATTGATGATACCCTAAGCCACATTGCAGCCGCCTGCAGATTCAGCTCACCTGCAGTTAGGGCCTTACGCAAGACGCCAAATACGAGGGATCAAGATAAATCCCTAATGAACATCTATAGACGACTCAGTCCGCGAGACGCAAAATGGTTCACTAGGTTGGTATTGAAGAATTACCAACCAGTGACTATGGATGAGCGGATTATCTTTCGTTGCTATCACCCCCTATTACCTCAGATGATGAAAGTCAGAGATGATTTTACCAAGGCTACTGAGCTTTTGCGGCATATTAGTCGGTCACCTTATGATCAAAGTGTCATTGCAAATATCTTGAAGCCGGTCATTGGAACAAAAGTTGGACGGCAAACATGGTTCAAGGGGAGAAGTATCAAGCACTGTCTCGACATGGGTAGATCGCGGGATATGAGTTGCGAACAGAAAATCGATGGAGAATATTGCCAGATACACATTAATCTCCGTAAACCTCATTCCCCCATTCAAATATTCTCTAAGAGTGGGAAAGATAGCACTCAGGATCGACGCGGTCTTCACCAGTAAGTCACCATTCAATCACTTGTATTGGAATAGGATTAATTAGAATCAACAGAGTTATACGAGACTCGCTCAAATTAGGCACACCGGATTGTCCACTTACGGTTGGATGTATTCTCGAAGGGGAGCTAGTAGTGTACAGTAATAAGGTATTGCTTTCATATTCTTACCTTCAGGAGTGTGCCTATTCTGACTAGTATAACAGGAGAATAAAATATTGCCATTCTACAAAATTCGCAAGCATGTTTCACGCTCTGGTTCTTTCTTAGGAACCAAATTCGACTCGCAGTATGGTATAACCCCTTATATATATAGGACAATCGACTAATTTTAGAATAGGCCTCACGATTATGAGCACCTAATGATTGTATATTACGATGTACTAATGGTCGATGATGAATCATTGCTGGGCGTTCGACAATTTGAACGTTTCAAGCGATTGAGTGAACTCATAACTTGCCGAAGGGGTTGCGCTGAGTTAGTACAGCGTGAGATCATATCTTTTTCTCAGCCATCTGCTGCATCGAAATTGCGCAAGGCCTTTGCTAAATGTATTGTTTCTCGCAACGAAGGTCTTGTTTTGAAACCTGACGGTCCCTATTTTGACTTCAGTACTAACCCGAAGCCATATACCTGCAACATCAAGTTCAAAAAGGAATATGTTCAGGGATGGGGCGACGTAGGTGATTTTGCCGTTATCGGTGCCTCTTATGATGCAGCTAAGGCAAGGGAGTACAAGAAATCCAACATTAATTGGACTCATTTCTTCATCGGGTGCCTAGAAAACAAGGAAAAGGCACGGGCAAGGATAGAGAAGCCTCGATTTGTTGTCACTAACGTGGTCGAGCTTTCTGAAGCCCTTCTATCAACTGTGCTATTCCAATGTTTTCCATCACCGATCCCTTTCAGTCAGAACGAAACAATAGACTTGGAATTCAGGGGAAATGAAATAGAGAAACGCCCGACAGATGTCTTCCTAGATCCGCTAGTATTCGACATGCGCTGCTTCTCATTTGATAAAGAACCAAATACACCTTTTTGGAGTATGCGATTCCCAGCAGTCTCCAAAATCCACCATGACAGATCCTACTGGGATACGATCTCTTTTACTGAGCTTCAAGAGATTGCATCGAATGCCACCAAAATGCCAGAGGCTGAAGATAGCCAAGAGATGCGCGAATGGATAGCAGCGCTTGAGAAGGCAGACCCACGTGGTGTAGCCGTTGATGCTACGACCCAACAAAGTATCTCGTCGGAGGGAATATCCCCCACATCATCTAACAACAATCATCCAGAGAAGGAAACCCGACGTAATCCAACTATAGGGGTTGCTGACGAAACACATCCTCAAGAACAGCTCATAACGTCTTGTCCTGGTACGACCATCCTAAGCCAAAACTCACTAGAGCCCTCGAGGCTATCAGCTGTTGAAAACTATGCCACCAGCTCGGGATGTCAGAAACGGCCAGCTCCTGATACGACAAGAGCTTCTCAAAAGTCACGAAAGCTTTCTAACCCAGCTCCTATACAATCAAAGTCGGCAGTCATATCTACGAGCTTACCGTCTAGCCCAAAACGGACCAGACAACCACTCGGTCAGATTGACGCTAATTCACAATCTCAAGTATCCCAAGGGCTACTATCCCATTCATCAGCACCTGAGATTACGTCGCCGCCAATTAGCAATGGCCGTGATCAGACTGCCCCTTCACTAGCTGTGTCACCTGATATTTCTCATTCATCACCAAATACTACGAGGGACCAAGCTGAGTGGGAGCAGCATACGACTTCCAAATGTTGCTCGCTAGCGGGAAAGAAATGTGCACTTAAGAACTGCTCTATTCTACTGTCGCCATGCATCGCTGGGTATCCTTGGGTCACGGAGAACTTACTAGGGGAACATGGTGTCCAAGATTTTATTTTAGATCCTCGGGTATGGAACCAGTCGCCTGCGCCTAAAAGTTCGGCATGTAAGTGGGATGCCTCGTCACAAAAGATGAGGAAAATACGGGTTCGGAAGATCTGTCTCGTTGAGTCGAGGCGCCAAGATGCTACACAATCATTCTTTGGGAAGATAGAAGCAGCTGACCTAAAGAAAAAGAACGGGGAACGTGGATGGGTGGCTGTTTATGATTGGCGAGTTCTGGAAGAGATATCAGATCTGGAGTCCGGAAGGACCAAATTAGAAGGAATAGATCCATGGAGAAAACATTACGTGGGAATCGCGTAAAAGGGGGAAAGGCATCTAGAATTTCCAAGGTGTTACATTTAGAAAGGGGGTTTGCATTCCGGAAGTATCGGAATTGGAAGACGCTTAATGCAGTAATGCTTAGATTCATAGAAATGCCACCTTTCAGTCATATGCAAGCGGCTCTAAGAATAAGACTTCAAGCTATACGAAGTAGGAGTTTCATACTTGTCGTTCTTAAATTGTAGAGTTACATTATCATTACAGAATGCGATATATATAGTATGGCATATCGCCTTCTGGAGCTCTAAAGTTTTCCAAATGGTAGACTTAGTAAATCTAGCACCACTAGGCAAAGCACTAGGCAAAGTCACCTGTGCAAGCTCTAGTCATTGCCCCGTCTGTCTAAAACTTCCCAATTAGGAGGTTACCGATCATCTCCCTGCCGGTGACGGCAACGGTACGCCAGAGGGTGGGGAAGTCGAGCGTGCTGGTGAGGCCGTCGGCGAAGCCGAAGAACAGCATGGGCGGGATCCAGCCTCGAGCGTACTCGAGCGCGAAGCATCCCTCGGGCATCTTGTATTGCCTCACGATGCCCCGCTGCATGAGGTTCACGCTGCCGGCGGGGTAGACGACCGGCGTGAAGTCGCCGGGGACGTAGGTCTGCTGCTCGCCGGACAGGATGTAGAAGTAGTCGTCTGCGGTGTGTCGTCCCGTGTGGCCTTCGGTGCCGACTGCCGTGCCGAAGATGATCAGGTATTCGGTGATGCCTGGAGAGACGGGTTAGTCGGTGAAGTTCCAGGAACCGTAAGGGTATCAAGTAGGGAGGAATAACATACTGGCATGGATGATGTACATGCCGCCCATGGCGCCGCCGGCATTGTTGAAAAACCACTCTTCGGGGACGTTCCACTTATCATTGACGTGGGACGGGTGGTTCTGCTTCAGCTCGGTGACGATGTACTCGACGATCTTGGCGGTGTCGTTACCGCCGGCTTGGATGGCGCGCTGGGAGACGTCCCGCAGCTCGTCGGTCCGGAAGATGTAGAAGCTCTCGAGGTTGCGCTCGAGCACGTAATGGATCGGGTAGAACACGCCAATCAGCACGCCGATGAAGGTGAGAAGCTTCGTGAGACCACCTGTCGTGGAAGTGGAAGCGGAAGTTTTGGGCGCCATGGTTACACGGGGAGGAATGAGAGCGGGTAGACAAGAGAAAATAGGATGCAGCCCTAGAGGTAATTGAAGTTGGAGCTCTTCGCTACCTTACCTTTTTAAAGGACGGGAAGCGTGATGGTTAAGCTTCCTTCAATTGAAACGAAATTGTCAATAATATTAAATTCGAACTTTTTTTTTTTCTTAAAAGCTCGAGGTACGTACCCGTAAATAGGGGTCCATGTCGAAGGTGTTTACTTCTTACAGAAAGTGGATCCCGGCTAGCTAGACAGCCGGATCGCACCACATGTGCTGAGCTGCTGAGGTACCTAAGTACCGACAGTCGGAGCTTTAGAGTTTCCCTAGCTCCAGCCCATTCTTGCATCGTCGGAGCAAAAGCCGTCCGTCGTCCCGAGAGCAGTTGCATCATCGCCTGGGCAGCCAGAAAAAAAAGTTCTTGGCCTAATAATCTGTCCCAAATCTCAATCGCGCAAGACGAAATCTTTCGCTTAAAACCATTTCGCAAGCTCGCAACCTCGATTGCTCGAATTACGGATCACACGAAGTCGACCCACGAACGATATGGCGCAAGCGCTCGCAATCCCCGGCCAGCTGTTGGGATCGGCGGATCAGTACGTCGCGGGCGCGGGCACGCATATCCACGACTCGAACCTGTACGCCTCCGTCCTGGGCACTGTGAACGTCGTCGGCGCGCAGGCGCAGGCGCAGCAGCAGCAACAACAACAGCAGCAACAGCAGGTACAAGGGCCCCAGAAGCGACTGACTAGGATCACGGCCTTGGCTCAGGGACGAAACGAGGACGGCACCAACAACAACAATAACAGTAGCGGTGGGAAGGCCACGATCTCGGTGTCCCGGTCCGGCGTGGCGGAGAAGCGCGAGGTGCTCCCGGAGGTGGGAAACGCGGTTCTGTGCCGCGTGACGCGCATCACGCCGAAGCACGCCAACGTCGCGATACTGGTCGTCGGCGACACGGTGCTGGAGGCGGAGTGGGCGGGCATGATCCGCGTCCAGGACGTCCGGGCCACGGAGAAGGACCGCGTCAAGATATACGAGAGCTTCCGGCCGGGGGATATCGTGCGGGCGCAGGTGGTGAGTTTGTGTACTATGCTATGCTATGCGAGCTTTCGACTTAACTTTTCTAGCCCCCCTTTTGCTGTAGAGATGTGTTTGGCTAATCTGTGGGTTTAGATCTCGTTAGGTGACCAGGCGAATTATTACCTCTCAACCGCGAGCAACGAACTTGGCGTCATCATGGCTACGAGCGAGGCAGGGAATACGATGTACCCCGTCAGCTGGAAGGAGTACAAGGACCCGGAAACTGGTCTTAGCGAGCCTCGGAAGGTTGCTAAGCCATTCTGAGCTGTATCGCTATCTTGGGCATGATGATCGAAGATGACCAGATTTTCTATCTAAAGACCTTAAGAGGCTTTTCAACCCACGGCCGCCAGGACCCGATGTGTTGGGCTCTGGCCTGCCAGAGGGGCAATCTGGCCCTTAGACTCGGCCAGCATTATCTGCCAGCAAAGGGCTTACATCCGAAGTGATGAACTAATCCGTCCGAACTCACTCGATGAAGTTGTATTCAACATCTAAGCAAGCACTGTACTGGTAGAGACGGCATCGGGCATATTCTAGGTAGGCCTACACTACACAAGTGAAGTGTGAAAGTGGAATATCTTCGCATGACTTTACAGCACTTGAGAGATCGAAGAGCTATTGGAATCTTGTGCGGTGGCCACCCCAGAGAAATATGATGCGATCCCATATGTGGTCCCGTTAGACAAGAATAACTGGTGGCCTGTCCTTTTTGAAACTATCGTGGTGGGCTGTCTCAGCTGTCTATTGTGGAGATTACGAGAGAACCTCTCGCAGGGCATTCATAGACATCTGATATAGTACGTGCAGTACAAGCTACATATGAATACGAAAGACGTCTTTAATCTACGGCATTATAATATCGAATATTTGTGATGTGAGATTCAGCGTTTTTGCGAAGAAATTCATGAGCACTCGGACGACCTCGTGATATTCGTATCGACTGACAAGACCAGATAAGTTTAGCGGTGTTTCGATGCTTAATAGGAGCCACTTATTAAACCCCAGCTTCTAGGATTCTCCATGTTCGAAACTCTTTCGCATCGGCAGTCAATCCTTCGCATTTCGCAAGCCACAGTTGTAGTGTATGCGACTCTTCGTCATGCCTTGCGCCACTGATGTTCAGCATCAGAGGCTCCAAGGCTTAGCTCTTAGTTCACCGCCCGACTTTCAATGACTTTAATATGGAGAGCAGAAGAAGTTCGATATGTTCAAGATCGAGAAAGGTCGAAACTACCGACGACGAGGAAATTAAAGTGTTTAAATCCCTCGAACTGGAAGCACGAGATAGGAAAGAGCTAAAAGCAAAAGATATTACACATAGGAAGGTTGAAGTACCCACCTCCAAAATTACATGCATAAGATACAAACGAATAAACGAGGCGCAGCGAACCTTCACATTCTGAATCCATCGCCCGGTCAGATAACCCCGGTCCTGCCACCGCAAATAACTCGACCTCTTATTGGCTAACTTATTATTTGTTTCACTTGTACCCGGCATGCATTTATGTATTTCATAGTCGGGTCCCGGCGATGGGACGTAATTGTACATACCCAAATGCCCAAATACTTGCACGCAAACGAATTTAGTGAAAACACAAACTTGGAAAGAATGAGAATGAGATGCCAACCACCTTATTAACTATCTCCGAGGTTGTTATTTTCTATTCGTGATAAACTTCAAGATCAACCTCAAAGATCTCCGTTTCATCTTTATTAGCCCTTTAATCAGACTACCGAAATTTTCAACTATTAGGCGAAATCCATTCATTGCATCTGGCCGCAATTCGGAGCAAACAAACGGTTATTTGCCGACCAACAATCAAAGCCAGCTGTCTGTCACACCCGGCTAAAATAAAATACCTACCTTAGGTATCGACAACGCAACCGCACACAAGCAAAAGCCATGTCTGCGACAATGACCATGACCTTTCCACCCATAACCTCTAAGCAATTACCCACAATGACAGCCACGACGACAACCACCACAACCTCCTGCTGCCCGAACTGCGGGCTCTCGCTCCCGTCCCCGTCCCCGACGCCGACGAACTCCGACGCGCAGACGACCGCACTCCTCCAAGCGCAGAAGCAGATCGAGGACCTGCAGGCCCAGGTGCGGCTGCTCAACCAGAAGGCCACGGCGGCCGTCGACCGCTGGGCCGACTACGAGGACGAGCTGTCGCGGCTGCGGGCCGCGTCCATGACGTCGGCCGCCACAACCACATCAAACACAAACACACAGGCGTGCTCACCACCGCCGCCGTCGAGCGTCGCGGCGTCGTCCCCGCGCTCCTCGTTCCTGCCCACGGGTGCCGCGGCGCGCATATCGCAGCTCCTGACGCCGCGCAAGTCGGCGCCGAACCTGGCGGCGCAGGCGGCGAGGGGCTCGGTCTCGTCGCCGCACCTACCACCACTACCCCCGCCAACGGCGAACGGCCACCACGCGAGCGTCAGCGTAGGCACGAATATGAGCGTGGACAGGGATTTGTTGGAGGAGCTGTCGCGCGAGAAGGAGCTTAGGGCGCGCGCGGAGGGTAGGCTGAACGATACGAGTAAGGAGGTGGAGGAGCTCAGCGCGACGCTGTTCGAGCAGGCGAATGAGATGGTGGCGACGGAACGCAGGGCGCGGGCGAAGCTTGAGGAGCGGGTTAGCGTGCTTGAGAGGAGGGATGTGGAGAAGCGGGATCGGCTTGAGAGGTTGGAGGGCGCGATGGGGAGGTTGGAGAGGGTGAGGGCGTTGTTGGGGGAGAGCTGAGATATTGGGGGATGACTTAGCCTTTTTTCCTGCCCGCCCGGTAGTTCAACTGAGGAGGAAGAAGAAGACGAGATGAGGTTTTAGGATGGGAGGATGGGGTGTTGCTGGACTGATAAGGGTCCGGTTTATGCGGAAGGGTGGAGTGCCCGGTTGTGGTACCCGCGAACCGCTCCGGAGCTTGTCGAGTCATGTCGAGTCATGACATGCGTATTGATATCAAGGGGGCCCGCAAGACGGAAAGGCGTTGGTCGGTTACGAGTCACAGGTTGTTACGAGTTTTCTAGGCATATACAAGGACACTTTTGGGCGCCGTGAAATTACGGATATGCGATACATATAGATAATCAAGCTCCCGGGTTTTCCAGGTTGGGGGTTTATTCTTTTCGGCGACCATCGATTGCATTTAAACATCGATTCTAATAGGTTCGCATGGGGCATCATATATAAAAGGAGGGCAATATTCGCATTCGGGGCTTAGGCAGGTAAAAGGGGGGAAATGCACGAGCAAAAGATTGAATCATACGACAAAGCGAAAGGCATTCAGCATCTACACGTTTATAATGAGGCAGGGAACCTACTCGACGTCGGTTGCTTCGCCCACGAAAGATCATTCCATTCTGAAGGCAAAGAAGTAGATTCCATGATAAATACGATGAAACGCCTTTCTAACAAGAGAGTTCCTCGTGGCTGTTGAGCGGGCTAAGGGGTTTTGTGATTATTCATGTTGATGCTACAGTCGAGCCCCGCCGACGTAAATTCGCTTTACCTTCGACTCTAGATCGTGATGCTCCTGTTATTTACTCCGATCAGTTGTAGTATCCATGGATGTCGAGGTGGTGAATGTGAATTGCTGATGTCAGCATACTAGTCATCGTCCGACCCAATGCCTCTATGTATTATAGTTTGAGAAAAGGGGAGAAGACAGGAAGGAGACTAGCAAAATATCTAGCAGCTGTCGACTATGCGGCTTCCTCGCTTAGAAGCCGAGGTAGGTACATCTCTATAGATGATGCTATGGCTCATCTAATTGGATGTTAATCTGTCGCCAGCAAATCATGTCGTCAGCGCTTCCTTCTATCATCCCCAGTCCCACTTTAAAGTTTACTAGCGGGAAGGTAAAACGGCTAAGCGAGGAACGGCCAAAGGCAAATGAGACAAAACCGTTATGGAGCTGACCTTCCTATTCGTTACCGAGCATCTCCCTTTTCGAATTCCCAGGTGATAATCAAAACTTCATCCAATCTCGACTTCCCAATTTTCGCCGGAAGCTATCGGTTCCGATGCAGGGAAGTGTTTGGGTGTAGGTAGAGTGGTAGGTTAGGCAGTCAGGTAAAATAACCGAAACAAGGTGAGATTCGTTTATCTAGGTGCCCATCTACCCCAATGATTCAACGACCATTTATAAGCTCCCTGGTGTATAATCCCTCTGGTAAGATGTTCTCTCCTTTTCTGCACTTCCGGCACTTGTCTATCTAGGTCCTCTGATTCTCTGATCTTCTCCCGGTGCCATGGCTTCGATCCCCGCGGATGCACTGACCCGTCCGGCCGTGCTGGCACCGGCCATACTCCTTATCGGTTATGTTCTATACCAGCTTTTCCGGCCCTCCGGACTCCCCGACGTCCCCATTGTCGGCGCGAGACCCGGCGAGTGGTTCCCACTCTTGCGGGCCAAGTGGCGCAACACCAAGGACATGAAGACCGCTGCCGAAGTAGCCTACGACCTATATCGAGACCAAACGGTCGTCTTTCCTATCGCCGGCGCGAAGAACTTCGTACAACTGCCAGCCAACCAACTACAATGGCTTGTCGACCAGCCCGACTCCGCGCTTGATCTGCATGCGCAAGTCCTTGACTCGCTACAGCTCGACCATACCGTCATGGACCCGCGCCTTATCCACAACCCCATCCACCAGAAGTTGATCTCCACCGTTTTGACCCGCGAGACTGGTAACTTGGTTCCGACGCTGCTGGACGAGACCCAGTTCAGCGTTGACCGCTTCTGGGGCACCGATACCGAGAACTGGAGCGAGCTCTGCGTCTACGATGTCATGCGCCGCATCATCGGACAGGTTACGAACCGCGTCTTTGTTGGCTTACCGCTATGCCGTAACCAAGATCTTTTGGATGCCGGGCTGGCATACGCGCAGGATATACCGATGAGCTCTACGGCGCTGCGATTCATATGGAAGCCGGTACGCCCGCTCGCGGCGCTATTTGTGACGTTGCCCAACCGCATCCACACGAACAAATTCTACTCCATCATCAGACCGGAAGTTGAACGGCGGTTACGCGATTACGACGCGCGGCGAACCGATCCGGAGACCAAGGCCGCCGACAAGGAGTCCAACGATTTCTTGCAGTGGTCTGTCAACCAGGCCAAGGCCTCCGGCGACCCGTACTTGGCGAAGGTTGACACCTTATCGGGTCGTATCCTGCTACTCAACTTCGCGTCTACCCACACATCGAGTTTCGCCATGACGCACGCCCTCCTGGATCTCGCTTCCTCTAAAGCGGCCTATTTCGACGAGCTCCGGACTGAGATCAAGACCGTACTTGCGGAACACGGTGGCGAGTGGAATAAGCGCGCCCTGGCGGCTATGTCGAAGTTAGACAGCGTGTTGCGAGAGTCTCAACGCCTCAACTCGTTTGTGTCGTTAGCTACCGTCCGCGCCGTCGTTCGAAAGAGCGGCATCGACACCCCCGACGGCGTTCACCTCCCCCACGGCACGGTCGTGTGCGCGCCCTCGTACCCCGTCTTCCACGACCCGGCCGTGTACCCCGAACCCCACGAATTCAAGCCCTTCCGATTTGCGGATAAGCGCGCCGTCGATCAAGTGGTAGAGAAGGGAGAGAAGGAAACGACGTACGTTCAGAGAGCGAGACTCGCCTTCGCCACCACGAGTCCCGAGTACTGCGCCTTCGGCCACGGACGACACGCGTGTCCCGGCAGGTTCTTCGCGGCGAGCGAGTTGAAGCTAATGCTCGCGTACCTCATCCTCAACTACGACTTCGAGATCCGCGAGAAGCGGCCGGAGAACTTCTGGTTCGGTATGAATAGGATACCCCCGATGAAGGCGACTATTAGGGTCAGGAGGAGGAAGGGGTCTGTGTGATAGATAGATGCGGGACGGGTGTTGGGGAGTATGGGAGTGTGGTACATATTATGGGTGGTGAGTATATATAGGCAGGTATGTACCGAGCCGAACTTGTGTTCGTGAGTATATAAGTACGAGTAGGACGTAATGATGTACGATTTCTTTGGCTTGGGCGGTTTTGCGCTGATTTTTACGTTTCGTGATGGCTTTTCATGTCTGGGGTTTTGCAATGGTGGTTTTAATATTGGCATCAAGATGCTGGAGGTCCTCTAATTACCCCTTATTCCAAGGCTCGAAGCCAGCAACGAAGATGACGGCCTATATTAAAGTTTGTGGGTGAGGATTCGGCATCTAGGGATTTCCTCCTTTTATTGCAGAACTATACCCCTAATATAACAGTATACTGTAATTCATGTTGAACATATTATCTCAACTCTGGTCAGTTAAACTCCTTGCCCTGTAGTTTTGTTTTCATGGCCTAAGACCATCTAGCACTTAGGGACCTGGTGTCTCGGCGTCAGTCTAATCACACTTTGCGATGTGCGGCTCCAAGGGACCGGTAGCGCATAAGATGCTACTGTAAGATCGTCCGCCTAGGAGTCCGGATAGAATTATCAAGGTCAATACCACCCTCGACCCCCAACGAGATTGTATCGAGTTCTAGGGCCATGCTCCCCGTTTAAAAAGGTATGCTTACCTCCATACAGCGATCATGCCAACATGGATTGGTGGAATTAGCAGCGTAGAGCTTGAACAGCGACGAAGTTATCGCGTTCTAATCTTTCGTGGGGGGTAAGAGGCAGTCGTGAGTCTAGGTGCACGCGTACCCCTGAAATAATATCGGCTCCCTATTCGCGCGGTTGTTGATCTACGCTGGGGTACCAAGGTTTCGAAAAGTTCCTCTCTCTCATTCAACGGCGAGATACTATCACCCAAGGTGCTGGTTTACGGGATTTCGGCACAGAATGAAAGCTAATATGGATATAGGAGGTCGTTTATAGAAGCTCGGCGTTGGGTGTATGCATCCGGGCTGCTTCGAGGATAGGCGTATCACGCTATATCGTTAGTGAATTATGCGTCTTACCGGATATCGAGGTTTTCTAGAAGAGGGAGCTGTCGATTCGTTAGGTCGGTGGGCATTGCTAGTTCAGAGCTTCCTTTTCTATCGTTGTCCGTCTTTCGAGCTGCCTTTCATTGAGCATGGGTTAGCAAAGTCATGGGTAAGGGGATCGTGATGTTAGCTATCAACTCACCGAACTATATGTGAAGCTCTAGGATCTCGGTCTACTTAAGGGCGTCTGGGTTCTTTTGTCTGCAGATATGGTGCAACGATACGCGGCGGAGGGCGCATTTGGTATAGTGAAAACGGCATTGTTCGTTATGCTTCTGTGTTGGTTTCGGGGTCTGGTATAAGGGCAAGGAACATTTGTATGTAAGAACATGCCATGTTATCAGATGCGGAGAAGTGTTCTAGAACGATTCGCGAATGTTGCTTAGTACATACCTGTTTACTATATGGCATATATACAGGGGGCTATAGAGATAATCCAGGTTGTAAGTATGTAAGAGTGTCCTACATCTATCGCAACTAGTCACAGTAACTACCTACCTACCTAATTAGTTATCCTTCCACGGGAAATACTATACCACTGCTACAATACCAATTCCCATGATGTGGTCCGGCAGGGGGTTAAGATGGGGGTACAGCTTTCGACGCTATTGACGTATCAAGTCTCGGTCGGGTGCCTCGAAACCTTCGAGAACAAACGGATGATTCCATGACACTAGGGGAACCTATTCCGAACCCTACAGGACACAGATAAGTTGTATTGAGGGTATCATCGATGACATTCTCTCCTAGACCCTGAGAAGTAGGTGAAGTGAAGGTGCCAAGAACGGGATATCCCTTCGGGTAGGTATCTTCCTATTAACTTAAAGCCCTTAAGTTATTCATTAGCTAGCTACTAAACAATAGCCTTCTACATTAATTACATAGTAGCATGGAATCTTAGCTCCTATTCCGGGGATCTGAATAGGGACCGCCAATGGCAGCCCCCATCCTTCGCCCAGCCGCACCCCTGGTTCCCCGGGTTATACTTTCGTTTTCTCCCGGAAGCCGTGGTGACAGTAAGGCTATCCCCCCTACCAATGGACGCAGAAGCATTCACTTTTGGGGTTTAAGGGGGACCCCTCGGAGCGGAGCCTGCCTTTGGACTGACAGGGGACTTTGGCGTGATGGGGCTAGCGAATACGAGATTCTGGTCACCACCAAAGATCGTCCGGGGGCTGGGGTTGGATGAGCGAGTAACAAGCGTCAAGTAAGTGAGTGGTAGCACATATGATCGGAGTTTTGGTGCCTATCGTGCAGGATAAGCTGCAGAAGAAAGAGACAAATACACTAAAAAGTTCGAGGCGAATATATTCGATCTCAGATCTCAGCTCTCGCATGTCCCCTATCTGGGTACCTAGGCATCAAAGCCGTTACAGTGATTAAATCCATAATGAATTCTTTAGACCATGGGAATTCGGCCCAACTCATCCAAATATGCATTTCCCATCTGCAAGTTAGGTGCACTGTCACATCGACGATGCCTTTGAGGTGACCAGGGATGACCATGCGATTTCTAGAAACACGCGTATGTATGCAGTTGTAGAAATCCAACAGGGGAGTACATAGTTCAGTACACGCTCGCATGACATGGAGAGAACGTCGTTCTGTATTATCAGATCCATTTACTGCTATAGACGATCCTTAGGTCCTGTATGCCTTCCTCTCCTACCTATTATGGTATCCCGATAGCTTATAAAGACTCATAGGCCGGATATATCTACGAATCTAGTAAGGGTGTTATCAAATGTAGTAGATGGGCTACGCTAGGGACATACTAGCGTAGAGCAGTTGGATCTCAGGGAAAACTCAAGATCGAATTTATCTCAGATCAGGGGTCAGGGGAGAAAAGTGAGTATTAGGATATCATAGCCAAAGTAACCCCTGGGCTAGGCTCTTCTTAGAACCTAGATGCTAGCCATCGAACGACAGTGATCTTGTAGATCGTTATGGACCTACTCTGATTTGTTATGATACAACAGGTGTAAGAGAAGGCCTTCTGGAAGACACTACATAGTACCACTGCATGGGTAGACTATGTAGCCTATTCAGGCGGGCTAGTGTGAACCTCAGTGATCGATGATCGTTCACAGTGTCCGGAAACACAGGCCGTGGTGGGTATACTTCTGACGACTTTGGGTACTCTTGCAGCATTCTGGAACCGCAAGCCCATGCGGCTCGGAGGAAAATTGCCGGAGGATAAGGAAGCCTTGACTGTCCTCGCAGGTACTGTACATCCTCTGTTCTAGCCCACATCAAGCTCTATTCTCCTAACCCCGGGGGGCCTAGATATGCCATGGGGCATGGCATAGCATGGAGGTAAGGCATATGCTACTGCCCAATAAGATGCGTAACCAATATTCGACATGAAGATATACCTCCTGCAGTGTTCTTTGGACCCCCAGATCATGTATTTGCTTCCATAGCACCTAGGTAAGTACCTGTACTTTATCCACAGTATCTGCGAGTAGTTTATATTGCCATCCCAACAGATGAATACCTAAAGTGAGGGCGGCAGCGCTAGGGATTTGAAAAAAACCCACCTACGTCAGTGATCTCAACGGAGGGCGATCTCGCAACGTGACATATCCGGCTCGTGGCGTCCCGTAATCGGCAACAAACCATAGATGTTCTCCGGAGCACCAGACCCCGAGACGGCCGTATACTCGATAAACACCTAACTCACATACCGCCCCCTTCCGCCGCCCTCGTGACCTCGGTTGTCTCACAACGGCAGCACAACATACGATGTCATGAGCCTCGGGGGGCGGCGTTAACCTGGGACAGACCAACGCCGTGAGACGGCGCCACCGCTAAAAGAGGAGCACCCGGTATCTGTTGTTGCCAGCAGTGTATCCAGCAAACCTGCTCAAGAAAAGCCCAAGTGCAAGTGTAACGTCCCATCTGATATAGGGCTGCATAGATAGCTATCATAGCCCGGCTCTTAATATACGCCAAGACGATCTTCCATCCGCCAAAACCTCGTGACGTGAAACGACGACGACGGCGGCGGCGGCATATCGCACGTACATAGCAGCCATAGCACAGCCAGATATGCGCGCCGGCGGCAGCAGTAGCAGTGCCCCCAGGAAACGGTAGGACGGCAGGATCTAAGAATAGATAGCCTCGTAGCAAAATCTCGTATACCGCGGCTGACCCCCGGCTCCGGACGTCCCATTGGTCGCTTCGGGATTTTTATCCAAACAGCCCTACCGTGACACCGGCGTGCCAGCCTTAGTCAGGCACCGTCCGAGATCTAGTACGCCTGGGCGACCCGTTAAGCTAGGTAGTAATGGCTAATAGTCGGCAATCGAATAAGACGGTGCAAGTAATAATTAAATAATAATAAGAAAGTAAAAATCTCGTGGCTAAGGTCCCGTAGCGTACGATTCGCTTATTGGCCTCGTGACCCGGAAAAAGCGGCGGTCGCGTAGGTACCTAAGGTAAGTAGCGTATAGGAATTTTTGGCGCGCGCCCCCTTTTAGGGATATTTTCGCGAGCTGAGGGAAGGGCTTGCTGGTTAAGGTAAGGTAAACCAAAACCCCCTCTCTCTCGGCCCGCTACATAGGTAGGTAGTTTCTTCCAGTCTCTTCTTTCTCCGGCGGAGGATAGTGTGTTTACGGCTAGCACGTATGTACATAGGTAAGATAATCGACTGTTCGGAAATGCTACGAGCATGTTCCTCGCAAGAGTAAGCAAGGAGAGGCCCGAGGCTGGCCATAAGGCGGGTCGTCCCGGTCCAAATGACGAGGTTACATTTCTAGGGTCTTGTTAGCTGATGTGTAGCGAGTCAAGGGGAAAGGTCTAACCCCTCGAGAACACGCCTAGCCGAGGACACAGCTCGGCTAGCGGGATGCATTTTGCTTCTTTTGCATGTACCTGCTACTACTACCTAAGGTGAGATCTGCTAAGTCAGCATTTTCTGCCAGTATTGTTAGTGAAAGTGACCTGAGGAAGAGCTACTAGCAAATATACCATAGACAACGACAGCGACAGCGAGGTAAAATATTCTTAGGAGAACAGCAATTCATTGTATTATAATTAAGATTAGTTATCCGCGAGTTGGCGAGACCAGCTACGTCGCCGTCCGCAAGCATCTGAACCAAGACGGTCAGTCAACTGCTGCAAGTATTAACCCTCATGCCCTCCGAGCATTGGAGCAACAAGCGATAACTATATGCTCCTGCTGAAAGCCTTCATTCCATGTCTCCTTCTCTGAAACTGCTTTTTGCGCTTCGATCCAAATCCAATAAAAGCGACTCCAAAAACTCCTAGCATTTCCTAAGCAACGGCCCAAAGGCGACTCTGTTGCTACCATACCGCTCCCAGATCCTTAGCGTACACAACAGTCCTCCATCAGGATCTTTTCTATTCCAAAAAACAAAACCAGATACAAATAAGTCAAATAAATCAAGTAACGCCGTCCCAATGCATGTGACGGACCGCCCGCAAGGTCGTCAAATTTTTGTTCCCGGATCAAGAGTTGTAAACAGTCGCTATGCAATTTGGTGGAGGGTAATAGGGGTATCCTAATTTTTAAAGCAATGCAATTCCGGAAGGAGCGGCTGAGATTCTATACCAAATGTAGATATCGTCGTAAATCGTAAGGAGCGTGAGATGGTCGGTCTATATAATGCGATATCTCGAGAAAGGAGTGTCTATTTGGGTATCTTCGATGAATGTCGTAAGGAGCGTCGTAAGTTTGTTCATTATGCAATACGTATTATGCGTTTCGTGCAACAAAAAGGAATGTGGGTACCATTGTGTCGGTACTGGACGTGTAGGTTTCTTTGAATCCTGTCAAAGGAGTGTGGTGTACAATTGCGTCTGTGGAAGGTCGAAAAAAGGAGGTATTAAATTTGTTTCGGGACAAATCGGGCTTCAAGTGGTGCGGGTGAGTCGTCATTCTTGCTCTCTGTTGACTGGGAAAGGAGCCGATGATATGGAAGAATGTTGCCGATGGTGGTGCGGGAACATCTGAGACGACATAAAGGTAGGTGACGGTGCCGATAGAGAAAGGGGAGTAGTTGATTCCATGGGGTGACCATGCCATTGCTCGGGGTTGAGAAATGGAGAAGGCGCATGACGAAAGGCCGGAGATGGCAAAGCGTTGGAATCCGGCCGTTGCATGGGAAGTTCAAGCGGGAGGAAATTGGACGACGAAGATGCTGGATGCTGGGCATTGGTGTTCCTGAGCGGCAAGGTCAATTACTTTCATCCTCTTCCACGTCAGAACGGAGAGCCGTTGTGGGATGCCTAACAGCTTAGATCCACACGGTCTGGATTGGAGAGACGAACCCGACACCAAAGTTGTTCGGCCCAGAGCCAAGAGGCGGATAAGCCGTCATGCCAGGGTCCCATGAGCCAAATTCCTCGTGATCGCTATACGTAATAGAGCCTTCTCCAAAGGTGGAAGACACTGGGCTGTAGCCTCCGTACGATGGCGACGGGATGTTGAGATACTGCTGGCTCGAGTACGGTGAGGAGATGGCCAAGGGGCTAACCCCAGACTCCTGCTCGGGTATAACAGAGAGATCCTCGGTGCTCCAGCTGAACGCTGGGTTGTCCTCGTACGGCATGTATGTGGTCGTGGGAGGTGGAGTACCTTGAGGCAGACCATCGCTCATATAGAAGTTGGGTGGGTCGAACTGAGGGAAGGATGGCGTGCGAACCGGTTGTACCCAACCCATCCTGGATCGAAACTCATTGACGGTGTCAATGGGGAACTCCATGAGTGAGAGAGGTGTTTGCGAGTCTCCGTCGAGGCTTCCAGAAACGTTGATAGAGAGCAGGCGCCGAGCAATCTCCTCTACCGGGCCAATTGCAAGGCTACCGAAGTAGGCAGCCCCAATCTCAGGGAAGAGGCGTTCCATCATGATCGCAGCTGTGTAATAATGCGCGACGACAACCAAAGCACTTGGAGATGTGCCGTTTTGCTTGAAGCACATCACGGGAAGCCAGAAAAGCCAGGTGCGGAGTGGTCGGAGTCGATCAAACTGATCTTCAATCGACTGGATTGGGCTGACCTTGCGAGCACCCTTGAGGAAGCATACTAGCTGCGTAGCTAGTTGGGGGTCTTCCTTGTTCTGCTTGAGATGAGCTTCAACCTTGGTGATCTGGTTGATGGTGCGCTGGAACGCATCGAGATCCTCCTTGCGCGGTTGATGAGGCTTGTGATCCGGCGTGGGGGATGGAGGAGCAGTAGGGAACGTGCTGCTTTCGGCAATGAACTCCCCAAACTGGGATTCGTGCTTCCAGGGTTCCATAGCATCAATCACCTTTTACGAATTCGCGTTAGTATAGCTCATTTTAATAGGCATCAAGATGCACTTACGGATGAGGTTCCTTGCATCAATTGGGTCCAGCTTCGCCTATTATTTCATTTGGTAAGCTATGGTCTCACGGGTGCATGCATTTATTGCTTACCAATCTGTCGCCTGCCACGAGAGCACAAGCGAGGCAGCCAGAACAGCATCAGAGTTTTCACGCGAGAACGATCCTATGGCCTCCTGCAATCCCTTGAGCGCGATACCGCGATGCTCGTAAGCCATGCTGCCCACGTGCGGGCAGTTGGTCAAGAAGGCGATGTGCTCAGCCGAGAAGGCGAGCAGAGCATGCATGACGTAGCCATGAGTAGCACCAATTTTGAGAATTCTGCATCCGAATTAGCACACAATATGAACAGTTAACCAAAGGACTTCTGAGACATACGTCGGAATCTGGCGGGTCCAGAGAGTGAACCCATTGGCGTCCATGGCACTCATCTCATTGCAAATGGCAGCAACGTGGAAAATTAACCGGAGGTCCTCAACCGAAAAGTACTGAGGCACAGGCGCGGGATAGATGTTGAGGCTCGGGAACGGGAAAACACCAGTTCGTTGCCACTGCTCGACGGCAGCCTCGATCTCAGGGGTCCACATCAGATCGGGCTTATCGGGAGTTGCGGCCCTCTCATCAGGGACCGGAACATCATTGTACGGGCACCGGACCTTGTGTTTGGTACAATTACGGCTGCTGGTGTGTCAGCAAACTACATACATACATTATTACTAGCGGGCATTACAGACCATTGGGGGAAGTTCTCGTCACAGCGAATGTGTCGACGTTTGCTACAGACCGATCAGTTCCTATTCTGATATGAATGCTGCTGGGCCAAGCATACCAGTTATCACAGCCCTTGCGGGACTTGGTGTGACTAAACGCAACAATCAGCAAACCGAGCCTGAAATTATCTAGTTTGCTAGAGGAAACAAACCTGCGTCGCGGAGGACCACCACCTGGGCCAGCCATTGGAAAAGCTGTAAAATTATAAAGTTGAACTAAAGAACTGATGTGGATAGGTCAGTATACTAGCAATAGCATTGACACCGGCACACCCGTATCTGACATAGACGAGAGACTACTGGCAGTGGGATAAGCCAGTTGGAAAGGCTACTTACGTGAAGCAGGGCACGATATATATTCGTGCCAGATGAAGCGAGCGAATGGGTTTGCGAGTGGATCTAGTTACCGGGCGTTCCTAGACAACAGCTTGGATGTGGATAGCGGGGTGCCTCCTTTGTTAGAGACGGTGTTGATTAAAGAGTAATGGTAGCAGCTGCGTCTATATCACAACATATAGACAGGTGAAGTGTGTTGCGATACGTCTCGAGGATTTCCAAGACGTCGAGTTCGGCGGCGGGGTTTTACAAAGGTACCGTTGAACGAGACAAGTTTAGACGTCGATGATATCGATGACGATGGGGCCTGATATTTGAGGTTCTTTGCTGGTCGTTTCCTTCCAGGTGTTTTAAGCGATTGAATAACTTCTCGAGACTCGGAGTACTAATCAACGGGACGTGGACAGACTCTCTTAAGACAACCGTGCGATAGTCCAATGGTTGATTATAGCAGCGTGGGTTTCTTGGCTTATTGGCTTATTGAGTTTTTGGTGACACTGCTGGACAAGTCGGGTTCACGATTTTGATGGTAGGGATCCTCTTCGAGTCCAAAATCTCCAAACACACAAAAAAAGGAAAAAGCGAATGACAGGAGCCAACGAGGACTTCCTAAAGGGAGGTGAGGTTAAAGCGAGTGTGTGGTTGAGGCTAGAGCAAAGCTCAGGGTTGAAATTGTTGTATGCTGAGAGAGACTAATAGAGATGGAGAAAATCAATGGGGGGCCGGAGGGTTGTTAAATAACTACCCGAAGATGGATGGTGAAGTTGGGCGTGGTAGGCTTGGTAGGCGTGGTAGGCGTGGGCTTTTTTTGGTCGGGCTTTGTACACCGTGCTAGCTTAACTCTAAACGACTGTTCCACTTTCCGCAAGGGGAAGGAATACAGTAGAAAGTGTACATGAGGTACATCCCATACATCCCATACCTACATCCCGTCGCCGGCAGCTTCCCAACTTCCTAACGTAATGTTACTAATGGGCTTCTTGTTATGGTGGGGGTTCGATGAGAGGTTGGCTGTGGTCGGTCGCTAATGCCAAATGGAACCCTCTTCCGCCAAAGTACCTATACAGTATAAAGCACCGTCGCTTCTAACGCTAAGAGAGCCTAGTGCCTTTTCCAATGGCTGCGGGTTGTGGGGGAAGCAAAAGAAGGAAAGGTGGAAGGAAAGGGAAAAGTCAAAGTATCCCGGTATAGGTGGTATGGATAGGTACAGTACAACGCTGGAATATCCCACCAGCCCACGTACCCTGGACTCTTAAAGGGTAGGTACTATGTAGGTATGTTAGGTTCATAATGTATAGCCTACTAGGACAATGAAATGCATTAAACTACAACAACAAAAACAGCCAATCCGAGTACGGAAATCGATTATCGAACGATGCAACTTCAACTATTAGCACCAAGTAATAGTCCGGCGTCTTGGGATGTTCGGTGGTTGGGTCTGTTGTGTAAACTGACTGTGCTCGATGGATGCCCAGGTGCTGGATGCGCAGTATTCTGGCACGCTGGATCGAAAAGGGTGGTGGTGCTGAGCCTTAGTCGCCTGCCAGCAGCAACCAAGCAGCACCAAGCACCTAGGCAGCTAGGTTAAGGTGTTGACGCTTGCTACGCTTGGTGACGCTAAGTACCTATATACCAAGGTAGGTACTCTGGCTCGATATTTACAGTATCGATGCGTACATTCGTACCGTACCGGTTTGGACGTGATACTTGTTCAGGCCCGGCACTGGCACGGGCGTGTGTGATGCGAATAATCGTTCAGAGAGGAGTGGGTGGAGGAGCAACAACTGGGTGTGAAGGGTCCAGAGTTGCCCAGGTTGCCCAGGTGGTATCGTCCTCTTGCCTTTCACCGTTCCATGATCTCAGCCAGATCCCTGTCAATGAAGCATCTACAGTCTATTCCTTTCTGGGCTTAGAGACAACGGAGAGGCGAAGCCAACTGCTCGGCCCCATCGGACTGGATCCTCCAGCTTAATGGACCACTGGACAAAGTCAGCAGTTGCATCAACCCTTTTTTCCTTCGCGCCATCCAGCATCCAAGGCATTTCCCTGCGTGCATTACCTGGCCTAGGCTTGGGCTTCTATCGTCCCATCATCCCATCCACAACCGCAACGGGACTAGGAATAGGGCGGCGAGCGACGGCGAACGGCCCTACACGTGTAGTCCCTCGAACGGCAACATTTTTATATTGCAAGATGTTTCTGTCATACTATCGGGGGCTTTCTCGTCCATTCTGTGCTGGACGTACATACAATATTAACTGGATAAGCTCGAGGCCAATAACTGGCTGTCTGTTGGACATGTCAGCGTGGCGGGGCTGTGAAGTCGCCCCGACTCCACCTGGATCACATAGTGGCCATGGTCGAGGAGATATTGTTATGCGAAAATATCCAGTCACCTTGAATACTGACCTGAGATCTCGTGGAAGAAGCCGGTCTCACTAAACGTAGTCGGCAACACACAACTTCCACCGTCGTTCATGTTCACGGTTAATCACAAGGCAACCCTGACGGTATGGCTAACTTTTATCAGCATGGTCTTTGGTGTGGTAGCATGCATCGATGCCGGACTATGTTGAGGCCTAGTCTGTAGGAGTCAATCCATACGCGTAGAAACAATGATCCATACCGTAAGTGTCTCTCCCTAGGTAGGTTGTGTCGTGTGCCTATGCCGCATGCATGCTTCAGATCCTCCTCAGAGGAACCAGTCATTCGGCACACTCTTGTCGATTACAAAGAACCGCACATGGTCCGGTAGGCTACTGATAACTGAGACGGAAAATTGAACTGTACCCTGGTACTAGATATACGTCGCACCATCTTTACAGTTAAGGTTGATTTAGAGAAGGCATCCAAGTAGCTGTGCTTGGACGAATATCTAAGGAATAGCACGCCTCATGTCAATGTTGGTTCACATCGAATCATGAAATTCGTTGGGAATCCCCTGACTCCTTTAGCTAACCGCGCCGCTCATATCTAGGTACATACTACCGAGGCAAAACAGAGACTCCTTTTTGTAACTAGCTAAATGAAATGGTCCTAGCCCATCAACGAAAAGGGTCAACAAATTCGCCAAGGGAGGTTTCTTGGAAACAGACTTCGCGGACAGCCAGTGTTTCAGGTGAGAGGACGGACACCACAGACACCTGAGCCTCAGTTGCGGCTTGTGGGTAGGTTGCGTTTCGCATAGTGGCTAAGGAACCTGTATCCCGATGCCCCCGTCGCAAGAGTACCGAGACTAAGTAAGTAAGGTCCCGAGCCCGGGGGAGTCGCATCGTCTAGAAGTCACAGAGAAAGAATTAGCTCCGATTTTGTCGCGTAGCCCGTCGTTACGGCATAATTCAGCAAAAGGACAGCCGCTTTTACTATACCCCGAACCGTGCCTAGGTAAATAAAGCAAGGAGTAAACTGCCTGATATCCCAAGCAAGCATTGTCCATGACCGAGTAGCATTAGAACAACGTCATACCGAAGTTTTGCTTTCTTAAAAAGGTCGAAAGTTCCGACTTTAGCTCCGCAAGGCAACAATTTTTTCTATGTGCGCAACGTCGAGTTACACCTGTCCTAAATGGATAGGAGCCCGAACGCACGTACCATGCGACCTGAGATCGATCTTCTTTTTTCCTCGGCTAGCGACTAGTAATTCTTCAATATCAAGTCAAAACGGCATAAAGGGAAAAATAATAAGCAAGAAAAAAGGCTAAGCGCGTTCTTTCAGCTTGGCCCATAAGTTACGGGCATTTACTACATATTGCTAGAGTAGATTCCTTTTAGATTCTCGGTAAACATATTAATAAAACTATTCCAAGCGATCGATCCATACCATCTACGGAGAACATACCCGATCACTCTTAGGTCCCGCTCCGGACGGAGCATCCACAATTTTCGGGAGCGGAGTAGCAGCTACTCATTCTGCCAAGCTGCTCTTGACATTTTTTTGCAGCGAATTTAGTAAGGCCTCGGCAAACTGAAAAGGTAAGTAGGTCGCGCCCATGAAGACATAATGCAATGCTATATTAATTCTATATACAAACCCAACCTACCTAATATGTGAGGAAAAAAATATTCCGGCTTGTCAACTAGCATCGGCATGTATGCTCCTAGTGCTCTCCACTCACGGAGTGCATGAGGTAGGTAGGTGCTGGGTATACTCCCTAGTATACAAACATATAATGAAGCCTATTAAAACCAGCAGTCTTTCTTGCATGGTGCATCGTTCTCTTATCGGATTCTATCGCATTCCTACAAAAAGGCACACCCATTATCGTGGGTTTCTCATGATGGATGGGGAATTTGGCAGGGGGATTCTACAATCCCCGATCTAGAGAGCTCAGTTCATGCGGATGCGCTCGACGTGGTTGGCTGAAACAGCAGTTTCTCGTGTCCATTTTTGGAGCGCATCTGAGGTGGATTGCAGGTCCAGTCAACCCAGATAGGCTCGTCGCGGAACGTGTGAACTGACCAGGACCCCTGGTCCGCTGCGCTTCTCTGCCCCTGTCTTCCCCCGGAGCCCTTCTCCCTTAGCCCTGAAGTCCCTGACGTCTTTTGCGTCCTTGACGTAACATGGTATGCGATGTAGTAGCCTATTCCAATGTAGAAAGAGATTCATCGAGTAAAGCGCGTCTCGGTCAGCGGTGAGGAATCGAACCATACTGCCATATTGGTCTGTGTATCCACTTAACACCGGAATCATTCTCATATTAATTGATTGGTGAACTACCCGCGGCCCCCCTTAACTTTTCCTTTGTTAGCATAGCCTCTTAATATTTTCGCGGTTCAATCACAAGGCCCTGAATGATCATTTCGCGCGTACAAGGACACCCAATATCAACGGAGAGGTCTCGTCTGGCGCGCC